TTTCGGGTTCGATGTTCAGCTTTTCCCGGCTGCACGGAGAAAAATATCGCCAAGGATCGAAACTATGGAAAAGGAAGGTTCAAATCCTTCGGCCAATGACATTGCCTGGATACGAGTAGTCCCAATGAAATTAGGATGCGCCCCTCACAAGGAAGGACACTTTTTTCCCGGTGTAGCTGACTAGAAGGGGCGAGGTGACAGACAGTGCGTGCGACAGAAAGAGAAAAGGAGAGCGAGCGTAAATTTAAATAAATGCTTTGGAGCACACTAAAAGCGATTTATCTTTGTCGATTGTGGATTACGAACATGCCCCGCCCCAAAAGCCACCGCCCCTGGAAGAGGAAAAAAAACATTTTTCATATTGTGTCAGCAGCGAGCTGGTCTCTGTGTGTGTTGGCCCTGTTTGCGAGTGTGTTTGTGAGTGGGATTGTGCGTCTGTTTGCACAAAGACTTGTCAGTCAACGTGGGAGCAGCTCACCCGGAGCTGGAGAGGATTCGCGCAGGGCGCGGAGGGCGCGGAGGGCGCGGAGGGCGCGGAGGCGGAGGACTTCACAGCCCAAGGACCCCGAGGAACCCAAGGAGCAGCTGCTGCCCTTGCCACCCTTTGTCTGTCCTGCGGTCCGCCCGTCTGTGTCCTGCTCATCAGACTTCGTTTTATTGATTAATCGTTTGCTGCTGCCTGAGGTTCGCTTCCCCTCCTCCACGTCTTGGTCACATTAGCGCTCCTCTGCCGCTTCTGCCGCTTCTGTTGGCTCGAATTGGCCAATTTTCCGCTGCATTGCGCCATTTATTTGCCGAAGAGGGCCCTTAACTGAAACTTTCCCAGTACAGGGCCTACATGGCGTACTCACCTCACTTCTGAGGGCCCAGAGCGAAAGTTGCTCCTGTTTTCAGAAGGGGACCCTGGCCTAATCAGGGGAAAAACTTTTATATGGTGCTGGTGCGTCGATGTGGGAAATGCGACCCAAATGCCGTTTGCTGGGCTTGCGATTGCGAAGCAACCCATACATTCCGGTAACGATTGTAGCCCTTTTCCAGAAAATAATTTACGGATATACTGTATCTCGTTGGCGCTGGCAGTTCCTTCCATTGAGCAATTGAAGCTACCACAAGAACACGCGATCTTCCCTTCCACTTGGTGGTAGGATATTTTTAGCATCCTGCTGAGGAATCTCGGCGAAATCAACTTTTTCCTTAATCCACCGTGCACCGCAAAGTGATATCTATCAATCTGGCGTCTTGGGCCAGCTGCTTCCACTTCCACTTTCACCCTCGGCAGGATTATAATCTGGAAGATGCGGCGCCCACGCAAAACTCGATAAATTGCTAGATTGCACAAAGTGGCATGCCGGGAAGGAGGCGGCCAGGACGAGGACAGCCAGGATAACCGGAGGAGGAAGGCCAAGCCGAATGCCAATGCAAAAAAAGGTGGAAACAACTGCCTGGGCTGCGGGGGGTGGGGGTGGAGGGGGAAAAGATTATTGGAACACAGAAAGTTTTTCTCCTGACTGTCGACGCACACATGTGTCCAGCCGCAAAGTGGGTGGGGGGAGGGGGGAGGGTAGGGGTGGGAGGATAAAGAAGTGCAAAGCGGACCTCACAAAACGCGGCTATAGTGTAATACAGCTCAGCGTTGTCAGCTGTCGCCAGGCGACAACAGCAACAAATCGTTTATGGCCCAAACACCTAAGCAAATATGGCCGATAGAGTGGCGAGAGAGGGGAGGAGGGGAGGAGGGCGTTATCCTTCGGCAGGACATGTGCCAGTGTGTGTGGGTGGCTGTGTGCGATTGGCGCACATAAGTGAGAATGCGTGTAAAGTGTTTGTAATCAATCATTTATGAAATTACGCTACTTCCGCTTTTGACAATTTTCTTTCGCCGTCGCAGGCTTCTCATAGAGCCAATACCGCCCATCCATGAGCCCCTCCTTGGGTTCCCATATGACGTAAGGTTGTGTGATATGTGTGTATATGTAAAATGCAAATTTACACACTGCCACAAAGTATATGAAACAAAATCGACTAGCGGACATAACGAAAGTCTCCCACATTAAATCGAAATCATCGATGGAAATAGATTGCGGCCAAACAGCAGCCAACTTTGATGACAGCACATACAGATAAAGGTTTTGGCCAAGCCAATTTGGGAAATACACACAAAGCACATCTACGCAATTGATTAAATCACTTGGAATCAGGCGAGACTTGAACTTTGGCTTTATTGCTCTCTGGTGAAGTTTAAAGTTTCACTTTGCTGGCTCTGGAGGTCAATGCTTTATTGTGGCTTTGTGCATAATAAAGCAATCTTATGAATATGCATGTGCTTTCACGCTCATCTATTTGTCATTCATTCGATGAAAAACTAATTGGCAACGAGCAGAGTGGCAAATATTTGTTGTGCTTTTCCTAGTTGGCTCAGGCTGCAGACTTGCCGTTAAGGAGACTAAATATTACATAACTAGCTGTTTCCTAAAACCGATGAATACTCGCATGTTTGTATACCTTAAGCGAAGCGTTCAGTTCCCCGGCTTGCAAAGCCAATGCATTCCCCTAAAAATTTGCCAGTCCTTTCCACAAATATGACGAACATAATCGAATCGCCGCAATGATGCGACCATCACGACCAAGAGGTCTTCCAAAGGGGCAAAATGTTTTGCAAACCGCAAATAAGGACACAAAACGTTGCCTCGAAGCTCGGTTCCGGAAAATGGATTTTCCCTTTGCGGTTGGCCGCAATGTCAAGCCTTTGCGACTAATTAGAGGAGCTGCGGCGGGGAAGGTGGGTGTTGGGTGGTGGGTAATCATAAGTAAATATGCCGTTGGTGGAGTACTAAAATCGGTTTACTGGACCATGGACGATAGCGCAGCCCATGGATGATACTGATACCGATACCCATGCTAGCGGGGTTAGGTTGGTTAGGGCCACACTCCACTCGGGCCATGTGCAAAAACGTGTTTTGAGCTGGAATCTGGCACTTGGAAAAGAAAGGCGAAGGAAACCTCTGCTGAATGGCCACCAGGAGCGAGAGAGAGATGGCCAGGAGCAGCGCGCGCAGTCGAAAATTCAAATGGCTCCTGTCGGTCCAATTGCCAAACTATGGCCATTTAAATACTGAGCTCGTAGAAAATTACAAATCTCAATAACACCATAGCCAGCTTCCCAAGGGAACGCTTCATACACATGCTGATTCTGATAAGTTTTGGAATTTTCTTGGCAAAACATTGGCCTGTTGAAACTTATATAAACTGCGAAAAACTTTGCAGAGTCCCAAAAGCCAAAGAGCCTGCGAGAGAGAGAGCGAGGGAGAGTGAGAGCGAGCGTGCTCCCAGAGAGCGTGTGCCGCTGACACAGCAAGAGAGCGGAAAGGTCCTGGAAATCTCTCACCCGCTCTCTGCTGACTGCCTTCCAGCGGAGAGCGCCCTTTTCGAACTAGAAGTGTGCTAAGGCTGCTGCTGGGCACTCTCTGCTCCGATTCTCTTTTCTCCGCTCTCCGTTCTCCGCCACCCTTTCGCCACCGCTCACCCCCCACCGCTGCTCCTGCAATCCCTATCCTTCGGTTAGTTTAAAGCCCTTGTTGTTGTTGCCTCTGCGGCTGCACAGCGCATTAAATGTGTGCCACCAGGCGTATGCGTAATTTAAATTTAAATTTGTGTGTGTACATATGTCTGCCCCCAGCATCTGCACCACCCCCTACACCACCATCAACATATCCATCCCCATTCCCAGCCCCTCCCCCACCCCGTCCCCCGCGCAGCCCACTCCCACTCACATCTTGTGTATTTTTGGCCCGCGTTGTTGTTGTTTTGTTGCCGTCTGCTTAGCATTTGCCTCAAGTTTTGTTAATCAGCGCAATTCACATTTCTGTTTTTTTTTTTTTCACTGCCTCTCTCTCTCGGAGATTTTGCAGTATTCAAAAGGTTTTCCTTTGCCCACAGAGACCCTCATTAGCGTAGTCATTGTTTCAGCCAGCTTTTCCGTCGCCCCTTCAGCCATTTCAGGTTTTCAGGTTAAGGAAAGGAATCTCTGGCCGACACTCGACGAATAATTACCAATTATATGGAACAGACATCAAATATGCACCGAAACACCGAAATCTGGTGCTCCTATGTAGCGGACAACTGCAGCCGAGCTTAAGTGCTACAAATTAACCGCGATGTGGACTCCGCGCCGCTTCTTCTCCTGCTCCTGCTCCCGCTCCTGCTCCTCCTCCTGCTCCTCCTCCTGCGCTCGCCATCCTGCCCCGTAATTACGAGTCTGAAATATGAATCCTTGGACAAGAGTCCTGGCTCGCTTACGGGCCAAAAGCAGCATGAGCCCTCAATGAGCTCTGCACTGAGAGAATGAAAAGTTGCCAAATGGCCAACGGGTGGGGCAGGAAATTTGAAATGCAAAAAGGCTTTGTTCTTCGCGGGCAAAAGGGCTAAAGCTTACTATTTTTGACATCTGCTTTGCCTAGGGAGCTGCTTACTGTGAGAGTAAAACGAAGAACCCTTGATAAATAGATAAACCTAGATGCCCTAAAAGCTTAACTTTGACCCTTGGTCAGACACTGAAAGAAACGTTTCAACTTATCTGAAAGTCTACTACTTGTTGTCATTGCAAGTCCGGCAAAAGTGTCTAAGGCAAAAGTGTTACTAAGTCCGATCACTGCCAGTATCTAAGGTTCGGGTTTCGGCAGCTAGGATAAGTTGATTCCAGATACTTGTTTTGGCCGAACAACGTGTGATTTGCCGCAGTGTAAATTCCGCACTTAGGGCCTTTTGGGTTTGGTTTTGTTTTCAGTTTTTCCCTTTTTTCGCAGCTCAACTTTAATAATTAATGAGCAGCTAAAAATGTCACGCGGTGCGGAAGAGTTTCGGCCTGGGCCAAAGTGGAAAGCGAATGAGGTTTGGGCTTAATTGGGTTAACGGGGTTGGACGGCGGGACTGGGACGCGGCGGATTAGATGGGTTAAGAGCCAAGGATATTAGGGGGAGAAGGGGAGAGGGAACTAAACTCACCTTGCAGTCGTCGCACTGGTTGATCAGCGAGTAGACCTGCCGGCAGTCGAAGCGGAACAGGATCTCGGCCAGCTCGCAGGTGATCCTGTTGGCCAGTCCATCTACGTCCAGCAGGTCGCTGAGCACGCGGACGCACTCCTGCCGATCGGTGAGGCTGGCATTGAGGGCCAGCGTGTGCAGGGAGCTGAAGACGCTCCTCTCGCAGCAGTTGCGCAGCCGCAGGACCTTCAGCCGCTCCAGCAGGTGGCCAGGTGACTGGAGGCCGCACAGGTGCTGCGGACTCGACTCGGCGGAATCGCCCAGATATTCAAGGCACTGTTGTTGCTCCTGCTGCTCCTGCTCCCGCTCCCGCTCCCGCGGGTCCTGCTGGTGGGCCAGGACCGGCTCCTGGGCGTGCAGATGGCTGTAGGACAGCGTGGGCTCCGGCTCCGCCTCCTCAGTGGTGGAGGACACGTCCACGTCCACGTCCACGTCCACGTGCTGGTCGTCGGTGGTGCTCGGAGGCCGCTCGCTGGCCAGTGGGGAATGGCTGTCGGTGGCGTCCATCGTGTGATCCCCAGCGCGGCGCAAACGCATCTGGGTTGTCTTATAGTTTACGAAATACTTGACTTTATTGTTACTGGTGGCACTCCGCTTGGCCTTGGAGGCCACTGGCTTCTGTTGCTGCTGCTCGGCGCAGGATCGCGGGCAGGTTGGGGGCCCGGGTCCCTCATCGACCCAGGCCATGGGCAGTGTGCCAGCCGAGCACTGACCCTGCAAGAAGGGGAACATTTATAGATATTAGCAAAAGCTCCATTGCGAAAGGTGTACAAGACAATGCCACTGATGATATGACTGCTTGCTACTGCCATGCGATTGCGAAAGCCATAAAGGGGATATAAGCTCAGAACAATAAAACTCGAATCTAGAATACGACGTTCTTAGGAGCTCTTAACCATGATTTAAGACCGACAATTGAGGAATACACTTAACCAGGGATTCGCAGTCTCGATTTAATACGGCATTGGATCTGAGTGATACGGCTTAAGGAGCTCTGTTTTCCGTGGAAAGCTGCTGTCGAAGAAGTCGGTGGTGTCCTTAAATCCCAAGTACCCCTGGCCACATACACGTATACAAATGCGAAGCCAAGGTAATCTGTACTGCAATGTAGTTCATATTTATGGGAACACGCTGCTCCTAACACCACTCTTCCCCGCACCAATTAACTGTCTTGTGTGATTTAAAAATTAAACCAACCGACTGTGATAGCCACACAAACACCACTGCAAACCACCCCTGCACACCCCACACAGCTACACACATTGGGGAAAACCAAGCCGGGGGAGCAACAACTATATGCAGCAGGAAAAACAAAGAGCACACTGCTATATTGGAAAAGTTTGCTCGGCCAACAACAACAGCGAAAGTCATAAAACGCAAAAAAGCAAGTAAATAGAAGCCAAAGCTGCGAACAGCAAAAAACAGGAGCATTGAGTGCATAAAGAGCTGATGTTTTTGTTATTAAAATGACCGCACTTCGTTGGAATTTTCCACATGCTTGCATAAAACTCAAGGCAGCGGCTACAACAACAGCGCAGAAGGGGCGGAAGGTGGGCGGCAAGTGGGCGGCAAGTGGGTGGCAAGAACGAGTTCGCGTGGCTGGAGAATTCCGCAGGAATCTACTATCAATATTGGAGTACCAGTACCAGGAGCTGCTGCAGCGGAAGCTTAAAACCTTTTGCGACTTAATCGTTTTCCGGTTAAAGCATGAATATTTATGAGGCGGGCAGGAAAAAGTGTAACCCGATGGCTCGCACCCACCCCAAAGTGCAAGTCTATCAGAGATGCTTAAAATGAGCTGGATATTATCCGTTCTAAGGTGATTTGTGGTTGGTGTGAGTAAGGCTAACTTAGACTTGGGCGATTGAACATGGTGATTACTGTTGAGACGCACACGTGTGTGCAGCTCAGCATCCTTGCTAATATCCTGTTAAGCACCGAGCTTATTCAATTGGAAATGTCAAACAAGTAAGCTGCTTCGTAAAATTTTAAACATCAATTTAAGTCCGAGTAATCCGCCTGCACGCTGGCCGAACAATGCGGCATTATGCTCTAGAGTATGCACAGGAAATTCCCTTTTTTGCAGAGCTGCGAACAAATTCAGAGTCAGAAGCGGCAGCAACTTGGCAGCAGCGATGACCCTTTGAACTTTCGGGCAGTGAGTAATATGCAACAATCAACAACTCTCAATTGCTGCGTGTCCTGTTCGCCCAGCTCTGTGTTCCGAATGTCCTGTGCGCCCTTCCTCCCTCCTCTGGCTCCTCCCGCTCTCCACCAGCTTTTCCCACTTCGCCGCCGCCGTCCGCCCGCTCAATCGCTTTCCATGTTCCCGGGGCAATAACAATAAGCAGCAGAGAATTTCACTTGCAATACGCACAAATATGCCCGGGCCGAGGGGCTCGAGGGGCGCCAAGGGGTCTTAACTCAAATGAAAAATCATACAAAAGGGAAACTAATACAGCAAGGCACACTCACACCCACACTCACACTCACACACACACACGCAGGCAGGACACACTCGAAGGACGAGAAGGACGAGCACGTGTACGGGCGGCCATTGTTGATTTAATGGCAGACCAGCTGCGGCCCAATGCACAACAATGCGGCTGGAGGACCAAAGGGATGTGCTGGGTAAAAAATAAAGATAAATTCTTCAATTCGCAGCAGGCAAAATAAGAAATTACAGTTCCTGCCGGGGGCGGATGTCCGGAAAGTCCTGCCCCCCACTCTCTGCAGATAAACTTTGAAAACTTTCCAATTTCTGCACGATTGCCAACACCATAATGAGCACTAAGAGCGATTAATATTTAATTTATGCATATTCCGTGAAACAACGAACGCCCTCCTAAGCACTAAGCTCCAAGAATCCGTCTTTGCTTGGCACTGCCATGAATTTGTTAGCCCTCCCACAACTAAACACAAAATCCGGCTGACACTCCTCAGCATTTCCAGGTTCGAAAGTGTTAGAATCCATTGGCCATTATCGCCTTGCGTTTCGGTTGCATACTCGTGCAGAGCATATTGGATGCAGTGAGGCGACAGTGGCCATTGGCCAAGGACTCCTGGCGAGATGCTGAAACATTCATGTGTGCAGGACACTCGCCAGCTGTCTCTGCGGCGGGTGAAGTGTTCTTGTGCGAGTTGTCATTAACTTTGCTGTGGACCTGTAACTGAAACCGAAACCGAAACTGAATCTGAATCTGAGTCTGAATCTGACTGACAACCGAATGGCTTTGGGCTTGTGGCAAAAACGTGTTGCGTGGCACTATCATTTCCGAGTTTCCACTATGGTAATCAGATGAAATGGTGTATAAGAATACAAGACACCACGGGAATCACTAGTTACTCGCTTTAAATAGTTGGGCAAAATAGTTATATAAAAACGGACTGGTAATGTACAATTTCTTTCAGTGCATCCACCATTCCCGCCCTCCGCCCTCCAGCACATTGCACACGCCAGAGGAAAAGAGAAAAGAGAAGGGGGGCGCAAAAACTCAAACAATGCCGGCATAATGGAGTATGCATTATGGCTAATGGCACACGCCTACAACTACACATCTACGCCCTGTGTAGATAGCCGGGATGTCCTTTGTGGCTGTGATCCTTTGTGCAGGTTGCGAGGTGGCGAGGTTGCGAGGTCCAGAGAGGCGGGCCACAATGTCTAATAAGCCGAGGTCCTAAATGCTTAGACAATGAAAATGGACTCGGCCCACACAATGATGTCAGTTGCAGGGCGCGCGGAGCGGGCTCTTTGGGGTCCAAGGAGGAGCTCTCCGGCCACTTGACCTATGACACCCTGACAGCTCGGCCCGGCCACAATCTCTGATGGATGTGTGACATGGCACTGGGCCCGGCTGGTTTACCCTAAATGCCCTGAGAAATTAATGCCTTGATTAGTTGGGCAAGCGAAATATTATTCAGAACTTTTGCCGAGTGCCGAGTGCCGGGGGCAATTTAAATCCGCCAGAGCCTCCTCGGCAGCAGGAATGTCAACTTCTGGGGCCAGAAAGGAGGGAAGCATCCGAAGTGCACTTGAGCTAAACACCAGCAGTTGCAGCAGCAGCAGCAGCAGCAGCAACGTGCAACATGCAACATGCAGCTACAATGGCAAACGGCAAACGGAACCGACAACACTTTAAATGTTACAGCTTAACCTCGACGGGCAATTCAAACAATGTCCTAGCTCACACACACACGTCCTGATAGGGACGCGCTGCCTCTGTGTTAGTCGGCAGTCGCTCTGTGTGTGTGTGTGTGTGTGTGTCAAATTTTAACGCCTGTCAACAATGCAGGCGGAGAAAAAATGCAGCGGCAATGGAAACGACAACAACAGCCCAAGAACAGCAAGAACATGTCGCAGGCAGCACTCAAATTTTCAAATGCATGCATGCAAATGTGTGGCAGAGCGATACCCTTCCTGGAAAAGGATGTTGCGAGTGCTCGAGCCCGGTTCTCGAATGCTCGATTTCCCGGAGCTCGGGGCAATGTGCTTGTGCACCCAGGCCAAGTGCAGGCAAATAGTTCGGGCCAAGACTGAATATTTGGAGTTTTCTGTGTTCCCAACTGGGGACAACTCGTGCCCGGAAATTAACTTTAAATCATTCGCAGCTCGACAGCATTTGCCTTTGTCTCAAGTAAGAATTGTATTTGAAATCTGATTACCTTTATAAGGAATGAGCAATATGCCAGCTATACAATTGAAGTTTCACGTTGATCTATGCATATTTGTGTGTGGTGTATTTGGATACTCCATTCTTATTGCCTCGCAACTGAATATTATTCAAAAATCTACCTCTCGCACTTCTACTTGCGTTGGTGGTGTGCAGTATCGTGTTTCAGCACTTGTATCTACACATCCCCATTGAGGTATCAGATATTCGTGCTTTCGCTCAGATATTTATGCAGCTCGTCAGTGCTGCTGTTTCTATGGATGTGGCTGTGGCAGTGGACGGGGATGTGTTGTGCAGCAGCGTAAAAAGTGACAGGCGACACACACACATGCACACACATGGCGCAGGACGAGGCAGGAGATGGCTAACACCCCGAGCTCACACACACACAGATACAAACTGGCACTGGCACAGGCACATGGCCGCGTTGACGTGGCTGAAAGCCGCAAGGGACAGGCTTTGGCAAGTGGATGCGACCGAGCACCGAGCACCGAGCAGCGAGGACCGAGGAGGTGTCGCAGTAGGTTGGGCGTAGGCAAATTGTTTGTCACATGGCCGGGCCAGCTCCCAAAGCCCGCCCCTCGCCGGTTCACCTTGATGGGCGATGGGCGATGGGCGGTGGGTGGTGGGCGGTGTTCGGTGGGTGAGTGGTGAGGTGTCACTAGGACTCGCTGCCGTTTCGTTGTCAAAATCATAAACATGACCCGGCCACGCCCCACGCCCCACGCCCATGTGGCATTGTTTTGCACTTTGTCGAACTGCAGCAGCGCAGAGCTGCACGCATTTGCCAGCTGCATTGCTTTGCATAACAAGTGTAATCCAGCAGCTCAGCACCAGTCTGGTCCGCAATTATGCAACAATTTTCGATGTGCAATTGGCAGGCAAAAACCAGAGGCAGCGGAGCGTTTTCACAGGCGGAAATCAGGGAAATCGGAGCGAGCAAGGCGGAAATCGCTTGTCGTGCTTGGGAAAAACCAGCGCAAGATTGCTGGCGACGAAATCAGGACTCCAGGACCTAAGGCGAGAGTGCTGTCAGGACGTTCAGGACAATTACAGTTCGTGCATTATTCAGCGAGGACTCCCAGAGGGGCACTCCAATGAGACAAATGGGTCCTGCACGCAACTGAAGTGGCCGAAAAGAGGGGGATTTTTATGGAGTGCCGCACCGAGAATCTGTGGCATTTATATTTGACTTGTCAAGCAATTAAATGTGCTTCTGCTGCCACAAGTTCGCTGATTGAGCAGCAAATATTTGCTAGTTCCAACACATTTGGCCAATAAATCCTTTTGGCAGCAAACTAATTTGTTAATATTTGCTTGCAAAATCCGGCTTTTTGAGCTGCCGGCATTCTGGATTAACCTTTTGAAACTAAATTCTTAATAGTGATTATTGTTAGATCAAACAGTGCTTCCAGCGCACGGCAGCAAATCGCTGTTTATCTACCAATTATTTTGGCTTACTTGGCTAAACTTTCAGATTGGTGCCGGGTAAATGCGGCATTATGTTTCAGGGCCATTAACTGGAGCGATCCATCAAGTTGAAGAGCTGGAGGCGGGGGCGTCATATCATTTTAGTCATATTTAAACAGCGCCTGTACTTATCGCTCATTATTTATGCATATATCAATCTATACGGCCACGAGACCCCATTAACGGGCAAACAAATGCCCCAAAATTCGTGGAAAAACCGCGCCCAAAAGGAAACTCGCACACAAGAGCGAAAAGAAGGAAGGACAGGCGGGAAAGGATACTGCAGAGAGAGAGAGGGTAGGATTGGAGGGAAGGGGAAAAAGGCGACGCACCTGTCTGTCTGTCACATCACATATTTGTTTGCCTAACACTGACACGCACACACACGCGAGTCGCAGGATCAGGCGCCTGTCGTTATGCCACACAATTTTATCAACATTAATTTGTCAAACATTTACCGGCTTTTCGCATGTGTGGGTGGCGTCCCTTCTAATGAGAACAATGAGTTGAATGAATTTAATGAAATGAGATGTAAACATGTGGACAGCTGCGAGCGAGCGGTGAAAAAGAGCGGGCGGCGGCGGGAAATTGTGGAAATGTCCTGTGCCCTGCTCCCCACATCCTGCTCCAGCGCTCTCCCTTGTTCTCGCACTCGTAATGAAATTCTTGAGTAGAAATTCATTTTGCAACTTTTGCTGAAACAATGCTCATTGAATAATTTACGCCCTGCGCCGGCACAAATGAAACCCAAACCAAACGGAATGGGGAAATGGGTGCATCCAGCAGCTGGGTGTGGAAAACTGCACCAGTGCTCCACTTAGTGAGCTCCCAGTCCCAGTCCCTTGGCAATCTACGTGCTCGGGGCCCAGGCGCTGGGCATAATTGCATTAGCCGGATGCGCTGGATGTGGCTCCCATTTCCCATTTCCACCCCGGGCTAATGTAATTGTTTTGTGTATTTAGCAGCCTGGACATTGCATCCGAGCATCACGTCCTGCTCCTGCTCCTGCTCCTGCTCCTGCTCCTGACCTCCAACCTCCCTAATGAGCCAATCAATGCACACGAATCGCCGAGCTGGGAAACTTCTGGCCCCGTTTGACAAGCTCGAAATGCAAATGGCTGGCAATTAGCGTTTCAAGCGATTCCAGCACGAAGGTGCCTACACTGCCACCAGCACCTTGGGGCGGCTAATCTGGAGCCAGCTAATTAAACTATGTCTGTGTCGGGCTCCTAATGTGCAGACATTTGGCCCAGACCTCAAGTCGGATCACAAAGGGCTCTCATGCATTATTTGGCTCTGCCAATTGCCAATTGCCAATTTTCGATGGGTTAGCCAGTCAATAGGAAACTTTGGCTCGGAGAACGAATATCATGGAACTATTCGGCTTCGGTTCCTAGTGACCCTGAAAAACCATGTGCAAGCCAAACTTTCAATTAACTAAAAGCATTTTTCCACTTGGCGATTGTTCATCAATCACGTGCAGTCACAATTTGCGGCCAAAATAAATATTCAAAAACAAAAGTAAGCCCTTCGCCAAATATGTTTTCAGCATATCCCACTTCAACATTGTTTTCGCCGGCTTTCAGTGTAATGAAACTGCAAGAGGCGAAATATAGTAATTTGCATATGGCATTTCCGTAATCAATTGCAATCTTTTCATTCGATTGAAACGGCGAGACCAAGAGCAGAAATCAAGGGAATTAAACTCCGGGCTGCAGGCTGGCAAACAGCAATGGGAAATTACCACAATTGATGCATATAGACATCTGGGCATTGAGCTGGCGATACTCCGCAGAACTGGCATCGTTTGCCTGCTGGCGGAAAATTTATGACAGTTTTCGGTTGTTTGTGTCTGGCTGAGTTCCGCTTTCCCGATGGCCTGAATGGCTAGTTGGGCAGCAAGGCTCCTCCGCAGTGGAATGATGTAACCAGAAGGAGCAACCTGCAACAGCCACTGCAGCAGCAGCGGCAGCAACAACAGCGGCGGCAACTGCTTACAAAATAATTGATTTTGTTCACATCCTTGACACAAATAAACATGCGCTCGGCTCGGCTAAAGTTGAACCCACCATAAGTTTGCCATGCTGGGGGTCGCAGAGCTGCATGGAAATTTTGAATTAAGTCCGCACAAAGCTTGAGGATTTTTAATTGAATTTGAGGGGTTTCCACTGCAAATTCAATTCAATGCTCAGGGTGCACAGTTACAGGCGAAAGTTTAATGAATCCAATGAAGTTGCTACGCCCGATTGGAGTGTTTGTGTTGTGTCCTGTGGAAAAACAGCACAGCTCAAGGGCCACCAACTGGGAATATGGAGTCCTTGCAAAATGGCTGGGCTGCGATGAGAAGCGCAGCTCGATTGCTCCATTCCTCCACTCCCGCGTATTAAGTTTCGAAAGGCACTTGAGTGACAACATCCACCCACTGGCCAACCCCTCCCAGTTCCCGATGCTCCTAAAATCCTAGCCCTGCACTCGACACAGCGAGAAGCGCCTGGCGCGCAACCCACTGGGGCATCAACTCATCAACAGGCCGCCGAATCCTGCGAATTCCGCCATCATAAACTCTGAACTCGTCGCAAAAAGCGCCACCAAAAGAGAATGGCAGAAAGGCAGAGTGAAAAGGGCCAAAAGGAGAGATTAATCCACTATGAACCGGGCGACTGGAGAACCTCTGGCTAATTTGCAGCTCGGATGCAGGCGTTTCGTCCTTTTGGACACGGCCTAATTGAAAGCTTAGACATTTCTTTGTGCTGCCATTCGATCAGGCGATAAGCTGCCCTAAAACCCTACAAAGTCAAAAATAAGCTGACAGGGCAATCGATTATTGGATCCTCTTAAAAGCAGCACAATAACATTGCTCTTTGTATTAGAATACAAATTTAAATTGAGTCTCAGTCGCAGATGGAAATCCAAAGAAGCTCCTCAAAATAAGCCATTTATTACTATCCACATTCGCATTAGTCGTACAATCGAATGCCCAATCTCGGAGCAATCAAGAGTTTAGTAGAGACAAACTATCACTTATTTCTGATTTCATCCTTCTCGAAGTGACCTACTTTCCAGAGATTCCAAGAAGCCCCAGTTGAGCTCCACAATATAAACCTATAAATCGGACTAGATGTGAAAGGCTTAATTATTTTTTAGACACACCATTTACGTCTTGGAAAACGAATTGATCATTTTAATTGCTTAATTGCCGGCTGGCAGACAGGCAGACAGTCGAAATTAAATAACCAGGCAATGATTGGAAAATCAATAGTGCGGCACTGGCTTGAGCAATCGCCATTTGGAACTGGGTTGCAGCTAATTGTCTGTCAGTCGAGATGCAACTTAGTTGCGGTCCTGGCGGAAGCCAGGCGAAAAAGGCGAGAGCCTATTCGATTCAATTAAATTTGCATTAGGACTGGAATGCATTAACAAATATCTGGATCTCAATTACACTTGGCAGGCCAATTGGGTGGGCCTACGTAGGTGAGTGCTTGGCCGGGTTTTTTGGCACGCTACCAAAACCGTGCCAGCCCAAAAAAGAAATCAATTGGAAAGTGTTTGCCAGTGCCTCGTCCCTCCATCTCCACCACCACCTCCACCTCCAGGCTCAATTACCCGGGCATTCTCGTTGATTTGCAGCACTACCGCTGATGACTCCGGTAGGAAAGGACGATGATGACGATTCCGGCCCTGATGAAGCTGTTGGGGCTCTAGAAGTGGTCGCAGATTTGGCGCACAATTGTCACAGCGAACACTCTGCCATATAGCGTCGAAAAATCACTTTCCTTTGGCAGCTTGAGTGGCAAGCCAAGACAAACCGAGAGTAGCTGCCTCTAATAATGTGGAAAGGCCTTGTGGGCAGGTTGCCCCTCAAGCGGAAACTTAAGCTGCAGTTTGCCGACCTTAAAGGAACAAATTCCAGTAGTCCCCTGCTTTGCGCTCGAAAGTAGGCAATAGTAGGCATGTCCCTGGACACGCCGTCGACTTGGCCAATAATTGACGGCTGCTTTCAATATGCCCAAGTCTCGCTGTCCAAAGAGCGACCACTCCCAGTCGAATCGCTCGAGAGTCCCTCGAAGTGCACACAATTTGTATATGCATTCGAGTGGGTCTTTGTGCGTGTTCCTTGTGTTTGCACTGGAGTGCACTTAAGCCGAGCTCTGTTGTCGATTGACAGCCCCATGCACTTAGGAAAATATCGTAGTACCTCGCAACATAGTTTAGTCATCGGGCAAGGGTTTATATAGGGAGTAACTGATTGGCATAGGCCATATATATTCCAGATGGCGAAATCACAGGGATCCAAACACTAAAGCTACAACGAAACACGGCAGTGATTCAGCTTCAGAAAGAAGCGAATTTTTCGCAGAGTGAATAGTAAGTTCTTGATGGACGCCAGAGGAATGGGGACGCAGAAATCCCAGAAATCCCAAGTCAGTCGGAGCGATGAATTGAGGTCCAAGGACTGGGAATTGCAATAAGCCGGCAAACTCACCTGCAAGTCGGTTCCTGTGCCCGGCTGTGCCAGATCACAGGCTGATATCCAAGGATTAAGGCGTGTTAACGAAGTCGCAGTCCCGAGTATGGACTTCTTCAGATCCACGGGCGCTGGCAAGGATGTGGTGATGCTGCTGGCTCCTGCCGACTCGGTGCTGCCCAAGGCGGGCACGGTGTTATCCTTGTGGCCAATCAACTGCGCCGTCTGCGCATCAAGGATGTGGCCGCTGGCCTCCCGTTTGTTATTGTTGTTATCGTAGCTGATGGCGAACTCCTTCGAGTGGCTGTTGCTGTGGTCGCTGTGCTGCAGGACACCTTCATCAATCAGTCGGCTCTCGTCCTGCTGCTGCTGTTCGGTCTCTCTCTCCGATTCCGATTCCGCTTCTCTCTCTGTCTCCGTCTCTGTCTCTGTCTCCGTCTCTGTCTCCGTTTCCGTCTCGCTCTCTGGCTCTGTGTCTATTTCCGTTTCCGCTCCGGGTTGCTGTTGCTGCTGCTTGTGCTGCGGCAAGGGCTGCTGCTGCAGATTGTAGTCCTCCTCGTCGGCGTCTTCGTTGAGCTTGATCAGGCGATCGAAGGACTCCTCGGACAGCAGGTCGTCCTCGGCCACCAGGGCAAAGATGTCCTGGTCCTCGTCGTAGGCCTGCGACGAGGGGAACTGCACTGTCAGGCCGCGATCCTCGTCGTCCTCCTGGTTGTTGGCCTCGCTTGACTCTGTGCTGTGACCGGCTGTGACTCCCAGACGACCTGGGTCCGCTCCCGATCCGCCTGTTCCGGCTGTTCTGGCTGTTCCGGCTGTTCCGCCTGCCCTACCTGCTATATCCCTGCTGCTGCTGCTCTCGCGTCGTCGTCGCCGCTGCTGAAGCCTGTCCGCGACCCTCGAGGACGCCCAGGACTCGGAGTGGGCCTGGCCCTGGCTGTACTCCCGCGGCGGCAGTTGTGGGTGGAACTGGAGCGCGAAGTCGAGATGGTGGGGCAGGAAGATGGGCAGCAGGTACGAGCCAGAGCTGCGAACGAACGATGACGATGACGACGACTCGCCAGTGGACGGTAACGTGGTTGCAACTCCTCCGCCTCCGCCTCCGACTCCGCCGCCACTTCTGCCCCTTTTACGGCCGCCTGCTGTGTTTGCTGCTGCTGCTGCTGCTGCTGCGGATGTTGATGCTGCGGATGCTGCTGCTGCCGCCGCCGCTGCTGCTGCAGATGTTGCTGCCGCTGTTGGTGTTGCTGTTGCTGAGCTGATGCTGCTGCTGCTGCCACGCCGAGCCCCCGAAATAAACGCAAGCGCCATCACGACCAGCCCGGGTCCTGGCCGCATATTGACCTCGGGTTCGGCGGTGCTAGCATGGTGCAGGCCCGCTTGAGACGCGCTTGCGACTCCAATTCAATGCGAATAATGATGGGCTCATGGCCCCATCATCATCAGTAGTGTGGGCTGCGGAGCGGTATTCTTGGGTGGCGATCGGCTCTCTCTCGATCCGTCTGATCCCTCTGATCCCGCCAGAGCCGCTCCAGCTTCAGTTGCTGCCCTGCGTCCACATCCAGCGGCATGAATCCGCAGCAGCCAGGTTCCCAGTTCCCTTCCAGCTGAACACTGGCTAGCATGCAAATCACCTGCGTTGAGGGGCGCTCGCGATTTTGGGCTCGAACACACTCCGCTTAGCGTTTTAATTGGCCGTTACTCGCATAATAGTATTAATTATATTTAACGTCGATTATTGTTGTTGCATTGGTTGTGGCTGCGGCTGCGGCTGCTGGTGTTGCACAATAACCTTGGAATGGGAACTTGAATTGGACATTTTGAAATTCGTTTGCTTCGTTGAATTGGGTTTTCTCTCTTTATTTTGTATGGGGCTTGGGTTGCTCACATTATTAACATATTAATTAAGAAATCTGCACAAAGACAAAGAATTGGTGGTTAGGCACTGTTAGGGGCATTTTTCCGATATTAATGTGTGTGTTTTCAGTCAAAAAAATGGGGGCTAATGTTCGAAAACGTTTTGTGCGCTCACGCTCTCGGTTTCCCAACGCGCTCTATTTGCGCGCTCTCCCGAATTCATTACGGTAATGCTAATGGGTATGAATATGATTCGGAACTTTTTCGCGATACCAGGCTTGAACTTATAGCTTTTGGGTAATTTTTGTTTGGATTTACATCAATTGGCTTGCATATTTTCACTAGCGCTTAGTTTGCCGAAGTTTTCGAACGGTAAAACCGAGCGAACGCGAGCACGAACAGCACACAAAGGAAGAAAAAAGCCGAAAAAACGGTCGTGGAAGTCCCGTATATCTGACACACACACACAGGCACACTTGCACACGGGCACACGGGCACACGGGCATGCAAAGAAATTTATATAATTCGCTGCTCTGCTTCTGCTTTCAGCTGTCTCTCAGCCGCTGGTTGTTTTTGTTGGCTTCGCTGCAAACACAAAAACAGCGAACGCAGGGATCCATCCACAAGCAGCGTGAGTGGGTGTAAGCCGTGGCTCTCTCGCTACCCACACACACTTGCGAGCGCTCGCTCTCTCGCCTCTTTGGTCCTGCGAGGCAGCAAGGCAGCGAGTGAGCGAGTGAGCGAGTGAGCCTGTGTGCGTGAGTAGTTACTTGGGGCGGCCAGGCAAGCACTCCGCATAGCACTTTTCTCGGATTTCAGCCAAGAAGAAGAAGTTGGCTAGGAACAAGAGCCAGAAGATGGCGCGGACGCAGAGGGCGGGGAAGCAGAGCAGGGCCAGAAGGACCAAAAGAAGTCGCCCCTCTCGCTGTATTGGTGGTAAGCCTGTGCGTGTGTGCCTCTCTTGCGTTTTCGCTGCGTTGGTATTGGTGTTAGAACCAAGAGTCCAAGAGTCCAAGAAGTGGAAGTCGAGGCATATTTGGGAAAACGAACAAAAAGTTCCAAATCACATTCATGTCCTTTCAATAACCCTCGAGAACGTGTGTACCACAATTGACTCTGAATAAAAAATCAGCATTTTCCGCGTTTCATTCAAATCCTCGACTGTCCTCTTTGCTTTCTTGGCGGAGGCTTTCTTCCTTCGCTCTTTGTGTGTTAACTTTCACTTTTGTTTTATTTGCTGCGTTGACACTGCGCACACACACACAGACGCACAGACGCACACACTCGCACGCACGCACACTCGTGGCTGGCTGTATATGTATACGGATTTTCTCTTTTTTTCGATGGTGCGTGTGCTGGCTGTGGATCCTTTCGTTTTTAGTACAACTGCCGCTTATATAAGCCCGGAACGTAGCACGAAAAACTTTGGAACACTCCTCAGCGGGTTTTGGGATTTGGGTTTTGGGTATTGGGTTTTCGGGTTTTCGGGTTTTTCAGGGGTTTTCGCTTTTGGGTTTTTCTATCCGCTGCCAATCGAACGGCAGCGGCATTTCAGGGACGAGCGAAAGCAAAAAACTACCCGAAATGCGGGACATTCATTTTGGCATTATATAACATTTCGCTGGGGGCAACCGTCCGTTTTCTTTGGCGAATTAACGAGTTCGAAAGCACTTGGGGAACACTTTCTCGAGTGGCAAATACTCGGGGTTACCTATGCGCTTTACCTATGTAAATAGGTAAATATGTACTATATACACGGTGGGGGGGGACTCTATTTCTTCCTCTTCTTATTTCCCGTAGAGCGCAGCATCAACGGCCGTGTTGTTTCGCATGTGTGGGCGGGACCCACGGCCCAAGGCGGGGGGCGTGGTAGGCAGCAGAGCTCGAGAGTTATGCTTGGCAGATTTTCCTGCTCGATTCTGTGCTTTTTTCGGCTAAGACTACGATTTGACTGCGACTCGAGCCACAAATTTGGGTAAGATTCGTTGGATTTCGTTAGTTTCGAAAAGGACCCGAATACCGATTGATTCACTGAAGAGCTGAGGCTGCCTGCCGTTGGCCAATGGCTGCTGTTTTTACTGGCTAGGACTTTGTGTGTTTTTTGTGGACGCGACGTCGCAGGACAAATACCGTACAATCCTGCTTCCTGCTGATGGCCCCAAACGGCACTGACTGTGCCACATTGCAGATGGCGCTCGACTGGAATGTGCGAGCGGTCCACAAGGACCCGAGCAGCTGCCGAAGCCATCCGAAGCCACGGCCGAACTCACGCCCGATGGCTCAGCAGCTGACAAAGGAGAGCGGCGCGCTCTCCCGTGCGCCGTCGCTCTCCGGCGGTTTCCAGGACCCTTCCTGTTGTCCTGCTAACAGGGCCGCTGTTAAGTAACAGCCGTTTCGAAAACCCATTTTTGGGCCAGTTCGAGTTGAAGTAAGAAGAATTACTTGCTGCAGGGCACTTAATCACGCCAGCGGAGCAGGAGAAGGATTCAGAGAGAGTCACTGCGAAGCCCCCACTTGACTCGACTCATCTATTCCGTGCTGCCCTTCGTCCTGCCCCCTTCACTTTTACTTTTCGGTCTCTGGCTTTTGTGTGCGCATTTCGCTATGGCGTTTTGTCTTTGTCTCACTTGGCCTAAATGTGTAATACCCTATAATGTCGTTTAATCCCACTCGACGTGTTTTAGTTTCGCCCGCCAGCTTAGCCAAAATCAGGCGGAGTCGGAGTCGAAATCGGGATGTCATCGCAGTCGACGCAGGGATAATTGCCAGTAGCCTCTGGGCGATGCAGTTGCAGCTTCCGGATTCCGGCGTCCTCTTCTCAAGCTCCTCCCTTGCCAATTAGCGGTGCAGTAAGTGCTTACTGGCGTCAATTGTGTATACTTGCCTGTTTATTATTTACCACCGCACAAAACTTAAATGGACATTTTCGAGAAGTAAAATGGGAAGAGTGGTGTAAAATATCAATCGAGTAGAAAGGCTTCAGCAGTTCAGGATTGTCTATTAATCGGTTTAAAAATTCATAGAGACTTTCTCGAAAATCATTTCTCGCCATTCCACCGAGCTGATGCACTTTGATGCACATTTCTGCCAGGCTCTCGCCGGCAGTCCAATTGCGATGACTATCCGAGCAGCCAAGCAGCCAAGCATCCAAGTATCCAAGGCCACGCCGACCTTCAGGCAGACACTCGACAGCAGCTGAATCCGTGGAACCGGAGGAAGTAGGTCTAGGAACAGGCAGTCACTCAATAGTTGGCGGTTTGTGGGCCGAGGGATGGGGGATGGGGGTGGACAGACAGCACTTGAATTATTAAGTTTTCTTTTTGGTAATTAACTTAAGTAACTGCCACGACAAATCAAAGGGGCGGCCTAGTCCTTGGAAAGCCTGGCCAGGCCATATTAGCCACACCCGATTCGAGGGAAAGTGACCAAGTGAAGTGGGAAGCAAAACAAACAGAAATCGAAAAAATACAAAGATTACTACACGAATGTAAGAACAGGCGGCAGGGAGGCGGCAGGGAGGCGGCAGGCGGAAGCGGGGGAATCATTTGGCTTGGAAAGCAGTTTGCTTCAATTTATGCGCATTCCAATCAATAACTGTGACACATGCAAGGACAACAGGACGAGCGGAGAAGGACCCGAGACCAGACCCAAACACACCACCCGAGAAGCGGCCAGGGAACCAAGCAACCAAGCAGCCAAGCAGCCAAGCAGCCAAGCAGCCAAGCAGCCAAGCGGCCAAGGAGCAAAGGAACCGGGGAGCCAGGAGGAGAGTGAAAGTGCCAGGACATCGAGCACTCCGAAGATGGCTCACTGCCGCTTGTGTGTTTGTGGCGTGGATATGAATGTGTCAAACTTATGCGGGCGCACACCCACGCCCACACCCACACGCACACGAGCACCCACACACTGACTCGCATGTCGGTGTGCGTGCAGAAACTGATAAGAAATGGAATAACCCTCAAGAAAATTTGCGGCGAGCGAAAGTGTGTATGTGTGTGCGTCTGTGTTTGAGTTTGAGTTTGAGAGGACGCGAGAGGCACTGAGAAAATGGAAAACAAATCCAAAATGCCAGCACAAATAACAAAATAATACCAAAAACTGGGGAATATGCCAGCCATAGAAAGAGTCCTGGATACTCTTCCAAAGACGGGGTAGCTGGCACATCTTTGAATTACATAACGAACATTAAATTCAGCTATAATTGTAGAATCTAATATTAATAATCAAGTAAGGCTCCGCACCTTTACTTTGCAGCTAAGCCCATTTTCATTGAGCGCGTCGCTAACAATCCTGCGATTGTCTCTTGCCCAAAACGAGATACATTTCGGCTGATTAATTAAACCGATTATTTCCTGCTTGCAGAGCTTGCTCCCTGGCTGATTGATACCCAACCCTCTGCCTGGCGGGATGCCATCGAGTGCATTACCAGGACACGTTGAGGGGGTGGTGGGTGTTGGGTGGTGTAGCTCTCGAGTCAGAATCAGACTCGTTATCGTCGTCGCATCTGACAGCTGGGTAAGTTGAGCATCCAATCGCATCGCGTCGCACGTCGGAGCAGCATCCTCTTCAATTTCGGTGCCAGCTTCGGTTTCTTAGTTTCAGTTTCAGCCTCAGTCGCGCAGTTTGCCAATCTTGGCAGTTTCGCCATTTCGCCATTTCGCCATTTCGCACTTTCCCAGTTTGGCAGTTCAGCAGTTTGGCAGTTTGGCAGTTTGGTCCTCGGCTGCGAGCGTGCCAAGGTAGCTGCGCCGCTCAGCCGTTGAGATACATCCGTTACAAGGACGTCGCCTGACCAAAACGAAAGCAAACGAATCGAAACGAAACGAGACGAATCGAGGGGCAGGGCGGCGGCGGGGGCGGCAAGGATTTTGCGCAGTCCTTGCTCGCACAAGGCGCTCCGCTCACGTTATTTATTTTATTCCCTTTCGCACACGCACCACGAAGAGCAACGAAAAGAAAGCTCACACACACACACAGGGGCGGCGGGGGGCGGAGGAAGTTTTGTGAATGAAATTTCGCGCAGGCACAAAGCGGCCAAACAATGTGATAAAGGGAGGCGGCGGCAGGACATCCCCTCGTCCTCCCAGGCCTGGACCCAGATCCAGTCCCTCGGGCAAGTCACGCGGCGAGCGGATGCACAGAGAGCCCTCCACCACCCACCACCCACCACCCAGCACGCCCCAGAAAACAAAGGCAAACACAAACAATGCCGCCGAAAAACACAGTCGAGCTTCGATGAAGCGCATCTCTGATGGGCTTACTCCACTCTTAGTTGAATTGACCACAATAAAATCTGTGGTGAATATGCCAAAAAGTATGCAGTAAAAAGCAAAGCTTGCCCTGAAATGAACAGCTTATCTTGTCGCCTGGTTTCCTTGAGTATTCAGTCAATGCAGCAGTTCGCCGCAAGGAAGCTTCACCGTACTTGAAGTCCAAAAGGAGCTTTGAGCCGTCGACAGCCGCTTCTCGGGCTGCTTCCTTGTTTCCTTTTCCTCGCCGCTCTTCCTTCTCCTTTTCTGCAAGGGAAGTGCTGGAAGGCAAAAAGGAAACTAAACTAATGCTCGGCGCTTATCGATGATGACGATGACGATGGCTATGACTCAGACTCGGACTCGGACTCAGATTGGAAACCGGACTCAGACGCGCCTGTAATCCTGTGACCCACAAATGGATCCAGCCATCTGATAATTATGCCCGCTACGAACTGCAAACTGCCAGCCATTCGAGATTCGAGATTGGAGATGGCGATGGCGATGGAGATGGAGATACGGTTAAGTGCGCGCTATAAAAACCCATGCGGATTTTGAGGACGGTTAGCGGAAATAGGTTACTGTCTCTTCAAATGGGGGGAGTTTGCTGCGAAGTTAGTACTGGCTGTATGTAGCTCGCTCAACTGGGAGATGCGACGAAGCAATCACTTCGGAAGGAAACATATGTGTTGCCAGTTTTTAGTCCAATCAACCCAATAATGGCATTTCGATCTGCATACAATGTGGTATCAGTTCCGGAGCATTCCTTGGAAAACACGACCGCTTGGAGTTACTTTGCAGGCATCAAACGTGATGAAGTGAGCAAGGACGAGTGGCGCATCCGCTGGCCAACCGTTTGGGGCACCCCGCACCCCGCACCCCGCACCCCGCAGCAATTGGCACACATATGCAGGACGTAAAATGTAAATTCCTGTGGGTGTGCGGCTGCCCGTTGTTGTTGGGCGATAAAGCCATAGCTGGAGCGTGGGTGCATGAGTGTGGATAATGGCCCGTCGCAAAGTCGGAACGCACACAGCAACCGACCAAGCAGCCACCGAATGTCTGCACAAGCCCCTTATTGCCACCCACTCACACGGACGCACACATGCGCGCCCCACATAATAAGGTGCGATTTGTCTCGCGCATAAAACGAAATTTCCTGTGTGTGTCACACACACACTGACGTCGGCGGAGGGGTGGTTGGGCGGATGGAGGAAATCGGGGTGGCTGGCAGGTTTTCCTCGGTAGCTGGCCAACAATAGGCGGCTTCTTCGGCGGGCTGGAGGGGCAGCTTCGATGGCTTTGTTGCTCGAACATGACAGCAAGAGCAAAAGCAAAAGCATTGGGTGTCTCTCTGCGCTGCAGAGGGGGTGGGAGTGCGGGGGCTGTTTGGGGGTCTTGGGATGTGGGGATGTGGGCGGAAGAAGGCACATCTTTGTAGGTTAAGGCTTCTGTCAAAGCAGGAAAATGGGCCACAAAAGGCGTAAGACGAGGCAACTCGTTTGCCATAATTATTGCTTTTGTTGGTAGCTATCGTCCTTCCTCACGCACCACGCCCACTCCCCTCCTGGCATTATTATTTTAACCGGAAACGGGCGCATGTGTGTGCGTGTGCCGATGTGTACAATTTGTGAACTGCATGAACTTTTGTGCCGCGGCCAAGAGGAAGCTCTTCCTGCGTGCCGGCATTTAGCAAATTTTGTACGACAATGTTTGCCTCTCTCGCCCTCTCTCTTCGTCCTGTGCAGCCCTTAATTTTATGACAAATATTATGTTAAAGACCGACTATGCGCTACCCCATAAAAGTCAATCATTTTTCATTCCAGCTCCCACGAAGTACCCTTGCCTTCACTTTCGGATGTCCGCTGGGGACATTTAATTTTGGGGTTTTTTGTCGGCCGTGATTTTTCTTGATATGCGATATCGCCTTTTTCTTCTCTCTCTCTCCTCCTCTCTCTCTCTCTTCCCCGCTCTATATCTCTCTTTCTTTTGGGCTGGGTGGCGCATTGTGTTTGCGGGTGTGTTTGCCACCCACTGGGCAGCTTTTGTTGATATTTGGCGCGGCCTGCTTCAATTTATGTTCTGTTTGCCTTTATTGTCTTTCTCGACTTTTTTCCCTTCACTGTTTGCTGTCCTTGCACAGTGGAGCTTCGCTGAGTGCACAGATTACAATTGATACTGTTTCACATGTTTTGTAGTCCAGTCCTTCACTACAATTTGACAAATAAACCAAATATGCATGGCCCTCGCCCTTCGAATACATCAGGATATGAATACGAGTCCCCACTGTACTTTTCCTGGTGGTGGTGCTGTTTTTTTCCGCTGCTCCCCGGCGCTTTCATTTTTTTATTGATAAGTTCATTTAATGGGCATGGGCCCCGCCAGCTGCCATCTCATCTTGACTCCCTGTCACTGCCGCCTCCACCCACCCACTCAGCCCACTCAGGCCGCCCACACGCTGTCTCCTAATGAGTTTAATGCTTTGTTATCATCGCTGTAATCGGCTTATGTAATATGGCAATATAATTGAATCCCGCGGAATTATGTCATTCGGCCAGGACTAAGAGCAGGACTAAGACTAAGGCAGTGTCGAGTGTCGAGTGTGGAAGGGAGTTTACAATTGCAAATTAGCAAATTGCCAAATTGCCAAATTGCCAAACTGCCAAACAGCCAAATTGTCAATGCCAGTCCAGAGCCGATGGCTCCAACCCAGCACCTGCTCCAAAATCATAAAGGAAATGTGTGTGTCTACTTGGGGAAGCCACTTTCACTCAGCGACCAAATGAAACTTAACGGAAAAGAAAATTACATCATGCTCGTTTCAATGGGTCGACATAATATTATTTTCCTGGCCCAGTGGGTCCTCGTCTGGTAGTCAATTTTTTATTTATTTATTTTATGCCTACGCACATACGCGCCTGCGGAGAGAAAGTGGGCGAGGGTGGAAGAAAGCGGGAGAAAGTGGGCTCCTGACAGGTGTCGCCGACTGAGTGGCTGTCTGACAGACTCGCAGAAGTGGGCGTGGCCCGTCGGCGTGGGCGGGGTGGTGAAAAATGGTGGCCTATTATTCTTTGTATTGTTTTATGTGGCATTTATACGCGTATTTTTGTCGTCTTTTAATGGGAAGGGCGAGCTGGCAAGAAAGGCGAACACCCGAGTGGAAAATAACAAGGGCAATAGACCAGCCACACAGGCTGGAGGGCATCGGCTCCTCCGCCACACATCGAAATCCAATCAGTAGATAAATAACACATAAAATGAGGTGCTTAATCGGGTTTGAAGTGATGAAAGTAAAACTGAGCCGTGAGCAAGCGGTTCCTCCGTCCGTCCGTCCGTCCTTGTCGCCGGTGGCGATGGCTTTGTCTCCATCGTAAATCTAGAGTATCACGGGTGTTTGGATATCATTTGCAAGCGCCGAATTTCGCAGAGTGCCTGGCGGCATAATTCCGACTTAAATAGCACGCGTACTAGAGTAATTTATCAGCATCGCTGTCATAAATTAGGTAGTCGAAAATGGTTGATTAGCAAATCATAATATGTCACATATAATAAGTTTGCTTTTGAAATACATTTGAAATGACCGCACTTGCTCTACTTATCGATTTCCGAAGGTAGAGGTATATTTGGTATTTTATCTAAGCAAGCTGCCACTTATCGATAAGTAATCGAATATAATAAAACCAAAACGGTATAAGGTAATTTCAACTGCTTAGGATAATTAGGAACCGTGCCTCTCGGCTTGCATTTGATAACACTCTTAATTTGCTTGAAAAATTATAATAATTTGTTTACGATTTCTAATATATGAAGACATAGTTTTTGAAATCCAACGCTTGTCGCGTTGCCAACCACTACACTGAGTGTGGCTGCAGAACAGTACGGTCACACACTGACAGAAAACATCGATAGCAAACGGCTTGTCTGCGGTAAATTCTGCAAAGCGGCAAGCAGTCACACTCCACACATCGAAGGTATTTTTGAACAGCCAGAAACAATCACACTCTTGTTTGTTAATAATACTAGCGCACTCGCGGCCCAAAATAAAAAACGGTTCGATCGCGCGACCATCGACCAGCCAATTTTTTTGCTGCAAAGCCGACGCCGCCCGAAAAAGTGAAAGTATTTGCATGTGAGAGGCAGAAAAGAGTCGCGGAGTGGGTCAGCGAGCAAGAAGAAGAGCCAGCGGCGCAAGAAAAGAGAGGTGGGGGCAGACACAGAAACGGAGAAACAGTGAGGCGAAAATCGGAAAAGTGCAATAAAAGAGGCCGCGAAATCTCAGCTAAAAGGTCAATCTCGACTCGCGATTGTTTTAGCCACTAGTTAAGTTGTACAGTACGTCCTGCGTCCGTGCAATTCATACGCTAATACCAATTTATATGTGACCGAAATCTGAGAGTGTTCAGTGTGCGCGAGAGAGCGAGATAGCGAGAGCGAGGCCAGCATGGGTACAACTAAGGAGCGAAGAGAGCAGAGCGAGGGCGACGCCGCCACCACCCACTCGACAACAACAACAACGGTAGCAGCAGGAGTTACTACTACGCCAGCAACAAAAGCAGCAACCACAGCAGCAGACACGAGCACGACGAATGCCGCCAAAAAGATTCGCCGCACCTTCTCCATGCCACGCAATCCCTTCCGTTGGACGCGTAAGTTCAGAACGGCAGCGGCCGTTACGTCGTCCTCGGGAGCGGAAAAGGATAACGGAAGCGGCAAGGATAACGGGGGCAGGGAGCGGCGTGGCAGCCACACGGCCATCTCATCCTGCGTGGGCGGGGGGCGTGGCAGGAGCGGGAGCATTGTGTCCCTCAGCAGCTACGAGGCTCCCTTCACTTCGTCCACCAGCAACCACAACAATACGGCCAACAACAACCCAACCACCGCCAGCAATGGAAACAACAACAACAGCAGTAGTAACAACAACAGCAAGCGCACACGTGCTCTGCGCCGTTCGTCCTTCAGGAAGTTTCTCAACCGGATCGCCCAGCACCTGAGTTCGACGGTAAATGTCGTGGTAAGCCCGGAAAATGTGAAAAGCTATGGCGAATTGCAGATATTTCACAATGTATCTTACGACTCTTTGATTAGCAAGTAATGCACTTCCATTATATTACTATTAATCATCAAAACAAGTCATGGTGCCCTTGGTCCTTTATTGTGACTTGTAATGTTGATACGGCGCCTTAGTTTATAAATAACATCATAAATCTAGGGTCACTAAAAACAGAGGGCTAATCACTCTAATCAGTTAGTTCCATCTGGCAATTTACTCTTCGGGGTGTGTACTTCTTTTCAGTACGGCAACAGTCAGAATTGCTTAATTACTTTCAAATGAAAATACATATGTAACACGAACTGTTTATTTGCGATTAATGAGTGCGCATAAACGAGGCTCGTATATGTAGTCTCTTATATACTTAGTATACCTTTCTTTCTTCGCTTTGTTTGCGAGCTGCTTAGAGCGCATCTAGCTCCGCATCCCCGCATTCCGCACTTCGTAGTGCCACAATGCCCCTTATCAGGAGTCCAGCCGTCCTTCCATGAAAGGCATCTTCGTTTAGTGCGTTATCGGCTGCTTTGTTTTGCTCACGCTGCTCTTTGTCTTCGCCGGACGCACGGCATCTTCGTCTGCATCTGCATCTGCATGTGGATGGGAGTGACTCGGATTTGGCACCATTCTGGCGCTGGTTCTGTGTCTTTTGTGCCGCAAAGAGTCACCACCCACCGGGTGGGGAATGGAAAATGGGCACGAATCGCCCCTTGCCACGTTTCTGTTTCGTATCGTTTCAATTGCCCAGCTTGTTGTTGTGCTACCCGTGCTGAGTCACAATTTGCGTGACCGATGATAAGGGAGTCGAGCCGTGTAGTCAGTGTATATCAGTCCAAAAAGCGGCTTATTGGGACTTTGGCCGGCCTCCTCCTCCTCCAGGGAGTTTCGGTATGTTAATCTATATGGTATTGCCGCAGTCTTTGTTCACACATTCCGTTCGATGGATAAAAAGCCTTTGTTTACACAACTATAAATACAGCGGATTCCGCTTTTTTGAAGTGTATCTCAAATGTTCTACGCTCTTCAGCGGCAATTTACGATTACCATACGCGAGGACGGGGCATGGAAATTAATTTTATTTTTAAACAATTGCTGTCTCATTATTATCATAATTTTTGCTGTGGCTTTGAGTGGCTGCAGCGGGGTTCCGGGGGTCTGTAACTAGGTGTAGGTGGGCGCCTTTTGTTTCGCAGACAGCAATTGTTCAAACAATTTTGTGTAATTGTTGCCAACATTTGTTGCTCCGTTCGGGCTATAATAAACAAACAAACACACAGGCACCAGAGTCCGAAAAACAAGAGTTTTTCAGGTCGTGAGCTGCTGGAGCGAGACAGCACTTAATGACGGACCGGGTGCACCGGGGATCGGGAGCTCCGGCGACTGCCAACTCCCCAACTCTGGGCTGCTGGGGAGCACAACTACCAAGAAATGTGTGCCACGCTTTTGTCGGAGGAGACAGCTCGACAAAGTGGGGAAAGCGACAACTGAAGAGCTAAAGACAAGTGCACGGCGCAATGACACACCCGCCAGTCGCCCGATCCCCTCCAGAAAGCGATAGCGCTGCAACTCGAGGCTGCTGGAATTGAATTTGATCTAATAATACTCACATTGGGCGCCCCAGTGTGTGCGTATCAATTTGTAAACGGTGGAACTTTAGCGTCTCGAATTTTCTGGCACTTGACGCTTTAGCCGAGTAATATAATGCGAAAGGCGATGGAATAAACAAATATTTCAAAGCTTGCTAAGCCTTATATTTTAAGTCGTAATCAGATTATAGATTGCTAACCTCTAGGTATTGAGTTTTTGATTTTATCAAATGGAACGATCCGCTGCCAGAGGCTTTACTGTGCCTGTAAAAGTTTGATTAATTGGAGAGGGCAAGCCTTATGGCCGTAGTGAAGCTGACCTTTTCAGCGCTCGGAATTCCAGAACGATAACCGCATACGAAAGCAAACTTAATTTCATTCAAAACGAGTCGGCAATGGGTGATCAGTGCGGGTGAAACACTCGCAAGCACGTTGAGCTCAATGAAAACTACAGTATCTGTAGGTCTGTAGTTTCTGCCATGAAAGCGCCTTGCGAGTCCACATCCAGCGGAAGATTGCAATGGGAAACTCGAACGATTACTGTGCCATTAAGGCTTTGCAGAGTTGGAAAGGTGCAGTTGTAGTCTCTTTGTCTTTTGGCACCTTTCACCAACAAAAGGCACGAAAAGGCCAGACCAGATATTCGGTTAACTGAGCAACAAGTACTTATTACTGCCGTCGCTGTATTTTCTTAATGACATTATGTGGCAATTGAGCATTGTTGAGTTGGTCGTTGTTGTGCGCTTACCTCATTGTAAACATTGTAAACAACTACTTTGATTTATGATTCATGCCACTGGCACTTGGCATCTCGCTTCACTCACTTTGCATTGATTTTATTCAGAAGCTGAGTTTGAATAGCTGCAGAGAAACAACAAAAGCGGCACAAATGGCGGAAAAGCGAAATGCGAAAAGAAAAGCAAAATCGCGCTGCGAGAACTGGGAAAACTGCGAAAACTGTGAAACGGCGGCCACAACAGCAGCAATAATATGGCTTATTAAAGATTGCATGCCAAAAATTGCAAATGCCACCGGGCACCGTGGAGGGCAGGGGCAGGAAGGGGGGTGTAAAAGTCAAAAGTGACACTGTGTGACGATCCTAGCAACAACAACTGCAAAGGCGCCAAAAACAACACGTGAGGTAGATGGCGCACATGCAAACAAATACACGTTGAAAAACCAGGGGTTGCAACTGGCATAAGACATTACTATATACGTAGTATTTGAAATGTTAGTTTTTGTTTCGCGTTCCCTTGGAGCAACCTAATTGCCTAATTGCGTGCGATGGAAAGCTTGAGCTACTCTGTACTCTGTTTTTCTCTCAGTGCCTGCAACAGTTTTGTATATTTCCGCCACCCAAAAGCGCGTCTCATGCCTATGTTGTTGTTGTTGTTGTTGTTGGTGGTGCACTTGTTGATGGCAAGATTAGTACGTAACGCTAGTGCCCCGTCCCTGTCCCCACCCCCCCTCGTCACCTCTGTTTGCTGATTTTCTATGATATTTCAAGAGCACGAGCATGGGTATACCCCATGCGATGGGGAAGGGGTTCGGCGGCGGTTGGGAGGCCTTTCGCGCACTCGTAGTCTTTGTATTCCGTATTCCGTATTTCCGCCCGCTGGCTCACACGTAACTTTTGCTGTTGTACAACTGTGCGAATTATTGTCTATAGTCTATGGTTTGCTGTTTGTGCTCGCAGTGCGATTCCTAATGCTGCAGTTGTTGTTGCTGTCGCTGGGGCTGCTCCACACGTTTTCCGCACCGCTCGGCCCCATTTCTCCCTCTCTTTCACTCTGCCGTTCTGGCTGAATTCGCTTTCAAGGTAAAATCAATTGAGATCAAACTAATTGAAAAAATGTTTTCGGAATTTTTAGCCTTTGCAGTTATTTTCGTACTTCCATGGCCCGGCACGATTATTTTCATAAACAATCATTTCAGAATTTATTTCGGTTTCGGGGTATAGCAGTCCGCTCTATGTCGACGGATTATAGCATACAGCTTATATAGCTCTTAGGTTGTCCAAATAGCAGTTACTCTTCTATGGCTGCTTGGTTCCCGGTCGGCAGCTGGAAATTATCCACGTCATTCGCAGTTAATTACGCACTGCTCCGGTGGCCCCACAATGATAAATGGCTCTACAATCCCACAAACACCCCAAAAACCATCATCAAGTTGTCCGCTCCACTGGGGCCTCCCTCCGCAGTATTCCATTATGTGCCAAGCGTATGTGACAGCAGGTCCGAGTGAAAAGTGCAAATTTATCGCTGGTCTGCTGTCAAGCGATTTGCCCTTGCCCGAAAAAGCCTCAAAATACCCGTTGTGGTCCCTGAACGGCAGATATCAGTTAAAGTTGACAGAAGTCACAACAAACAGTGGCGATCGCAAGTGTAAGGCCAGATCTGAGCGGAGAGGCTATACTAGGAGCCTAATGACGGATTACATTCTTAGTAACCGAGCTTGGAGGACCCTTGAATCATTGGATCATTGACGCACTTGACTTTTTAAATGGCTCAGTTGGTTATTTAACTTAATCACTAAGTGATCATGACACTTCAATAGGCGTCATTGAGGAATGTCGCTTTTGAAGTATTGATCACTTGATCATCGAACGAGTTCTGCTATTAATCATGTGCAGTTAATTCTCAATCTAGACCCCCATGAACCAGAAAGTACTATCCTCATGCCGCGAGCTGTATATGTAGATATGAGCACTCGGTTCTGATAAGCGGCGTGTTCGCTAGGTGGCCTGATTAGAGCCCCTTTCTAGGCGCAACCTTGACAGAGTCGCGCGCTCTGCTCCACGTAATCGCGCCCCTTCCGAAATGGGCGTGCGAGTAGGCCCACTTACATAATTAAATATACTGAGGCGGTAAAAGAGAGACAACACTGAGGATTACTTCTGGCGAGACAATAGACCCATAAAGCCGGAGCAGGGCGTCTGCCAAACGCGTTTGGAAGACCTTATCTGGCAGCTCCAAAATCTCAAAATCTCAGTCGGCGAAATGATTTACACTCACCGTCGCCAGGCCAAATCAATGATTATGGTGACGTTATGCATTAGTAGCACATTCTCAGGTGTCACGTGATTGCCGGTCGAACCCATCGGTTAGATCAGAGCTGAAGCTCGAATGCGATTTGGCGATTAGACGCTTGACGAATGGGTGGCGATAAGGCGCGGAGATATATGGGGGCAAGTGGGCTCTAATAATAGTCTGCTCGAGCGTTCCATTAATAAAATGCCGTCCAACCGGTAGGAGAACTCGGTGCGGTCTCGGATCTACGACCGCTCTCGATCCTACCGAGATTCCATTCCGCTCTCTCTGGTGCTGGTGCCCAGCCCAAAAGCCAATTTCATTCATGCTGTGGCCAAGATCTCGTAGCTAATAACAACCTCGTGGCAGCCACATCAGCGGCATCAGCGGCAATTATCTTCAATTATTTACAATTATTTAATAAAAACGCAAACGTAACTGCACAACAGATATACTCGTACATATCTGCATCTGGAGCGGCATGTTGTTGCGGCTTACGTAAGGGCAAGCAAATACTCGAGTGCAGTGCAATATTTTTAAGTTATCTGGCGCGGTACAGCTCCGCTCCAGCCCCCACCCTCCACCCTCCCCCGCGCTCCGCTCCGCACCGCTGTCTTATCAGAAGAGCGCTGGCCGCATGAGCACACACTTGCTCCGGCGGAATGGAATTTTTGCTGGCTGGAATGAATAAAGAGGAGAAAAAAGCTAAATGAACACGAGACGAGGGCCTAATAATTCGATACATCAAGTTAAGCGAAATACGCAAAAGTAAACAAAGCCATTGGAGGACACTTGATATTTAGAGAAAAACATTTGGGGCCACTTGAGTGCGTCGAGACTCACCCGCGGACAAACAAAACGGGAGAAATTTGCTTAAATTTATAAATAATAATGACGATGATGATAAAATTGCCGGCGCAAATTGAGACAAGTGGCCAGTGGCTACTTTTATTCTATGCCTCCGCGCTTCTGGCTCAATTAACCAGCCACAAAAGTACAAATGGAAGCCGGGCGAACGCGGCGTATGCGCAACATCTCAAAGTCTGCTGCTTTGGCTCCAGCTGCGTGAGAAATGCCCACCGCGATTAGGTCAGCAGACTCATACGAAACGGGAATGGGAAAAAATATGTGTATATAGACGAGATCTGGACCTGCGTTTGGGGCAGAAAACCCACTCAATTTATTCATTGAGACGCTGTTCCAACCGCGGAATCAAAGACCCCCGGTTTAAGCGATGGCTTCGGCTCAGTTTACATCACTGCCGTCCATTTCAATTGGGTTTTGTCTAATGAGCTGAGCTGCTTAAACTTTGGAACCCTTTCAGCTTAGCGCCACACCTCTAATTATTAAGGAAATCCGCTTAGTGTCGGGGATTCCAGGCTGAAAACCTGGTGCTCCAGGGCTTAGTCTTTAAGTTTCAAGCACTGGAAGGGGTGGCACTTAAATTTGGCCCTAGTTCGTGCCCTTTGCAGGGCATCTTTCCTTTGTCCGGGACGCACTCGAGCAGCCACTTGGCCGCCATTCAACGTGACCACTACCCGCCCGCTCAATTTCCCCACAGATCACTATACAAATGGCATTTGTTCGATGCAGTCAACGTCAGTTCAATGTCAAATTGCCAACAAAAGCAACAATTATTCAGAGCCAACGATGGGGGGCCAGTGGTGTCACTAAGCTTAAGCGAATGAGACAACGAAATCCGGGCTAATGTCTTGAGAACTCGGGAACTTGGGAACATAGGAGCTGGGGAACTGGGGAACTTTCCGGCAGCGTGACGCGAGTGAAATATATGTGCTAACTGTCGACCAAGCTAACCAATCTCCTCATTTCTCCCCCGGAATTGCCGCGTCTTCAGTCGGAGGAGCAGCACTCGCCTGCGAATCGCATCGCCTTCATTGAAATTGTGCCATTCTACACCGGATGCTGGCGCAGAAAAGAGGTACCAACCTAATCAGTGGGCTGCAGTCCAAAGCATGGCACAGCCCGCTGGTAGTGTCATGATCACCATCCCTACATCAATGCCCATCCCACACAGAGATTTATTTTCTTTTGGCCAATTTACCACTGGCCGCCTATTTCTTTGCCTCCTAGGCTTGCGTGGGTTTTCGCTTTCAGAAACGGGTTTTTGTGTTCGATTTGCGCTTATTTTAGTCGCTGTTTTGCCCACTTTTTGTTGACTCTATGAATCCATTATTCGCTGGCTTTTGTTCGATATTTTCGTACAACACATTTTCGGGTATATTTTTCTGGCATCGAACGATGACGTTACCAGTCTTACTCATCTCTTGTCCGTCTGTCTGCTTTCGTCACCGAGTCTTGCATTTGGCCGGGTAATAAAGGAATCGGGAGACCCACTTAGCATTGACCTCCGGCAGCCAAGTGACCTCCAACTGCACGCCAAGTTTCCCGCGCGACTGCCAATTTCATAATCCACCAAATTTCATTGCTGAACGCAACTAAAGCTGTTAAAGGCACTCGGCCACGTCGAAAGCGCCACATCGAAACAGACTCAATCTCAGCCACATAATTATAATTCCATTGGTTTTCGTTGCGATTCCATGGCTTGTTTGTAATATCGTAAATCCTCAAATCGGCGCCTTTGGGAGGTGTAGCTCCAGTGGCACAGAGGACAGGAACAGCCACGAGCGAACACCACATTACATGCTAGAGATCATTATTGTTCAGTTTGGTAGAGATTCTCGTTTGTTTTATGTTTTGCGGAAAATTCCCCTGTTTTAGAGATCTACACATCAGACACACCTCCTCAGCGCATTGAAGCAATTTCGATTTCTTTTTGATTAGCACCGAAATTTTCCACACCATTGAGCCCAATCACACGCCCTCCTTAAATATGCACTTCTAATTGGTTCATTAAATATTTGCATAGCAGTAAAGCTAACTCGCGGAAGCTGAACATTGCTGATTATCGAAAATATCTACTCATAGCTAGTGTATTTAAGAGTATTTAGCTTTTCTGTTTCGCCTTGTTTTCTAAATATTTCTTCATTTACCGCAAATTGATGGCTGCTCGCAGCGCTAAACAATTTTTAATTGGCAACGAAATTGAAACCCAATCAACGAGCACTGAGCCAATCCCCAGTCTACTCCACTGCACTCCAGTGTGATCTGGAAACGAGATCCTTCACCGGTCGGCAATTGGTACTCCCCAGCGACTAACACAGCTCTCCCCTTTTTCCTCCCCAGGCGAACAAACATGGACAGCCATCGGGCCCGGGATCTTCGGCGGGCGGCGGAGGAGGAGGACCAGGCGGCGGCGAGCGTGTTCCCCCCATCGGAGGCTATCAGTGGCCGGCGGATCAGACTCCAGGTGTAATGGGCCTGAAGAACCACGGAAACACTTGCTTTATGAACGCGGTGCTGCAGTGCCTCAGTCACACAGACATCCTGGCCGAGTACTTTGTGTTGGATCAGTACAAGGTAAATATATTTACTTCGCAGATAACTCCATATAAGTCTCAACCTTCTCAACCTTTCGTCACAGGCTGACCTGAAGCGACGCAACAAGATCAACTCGCGAAAGTTCGGAACGAAGGGAGAGCTCACCGAGCAGCTGGCCAACGTGCTGAAGGCGCTGTGGACCTGCAAGAACGAGAGTGACCACAGCACCAGCTTTAAGGCAGTGGTAGATCGGTACGGAACGCAGTTCCGCAGCTCGACGCAACACGATGCCCAGGAGTTTCTTTTTTGGCTGCTCGACAAGGTGCACGAGGACCTCAACACAGCCAGCAAGCGGCGCTACAAGAGCCTCAAGGTAGGCGAAATTCAAGTGGGCGGCCAGTCCGCTTTTTCGGATAAGGCAACTAACTTATTTTTCATTACCCCCCACCAGAACTCGTATGGCCGTTCGGACGAGGTGATCGCCGCCGAGACGCTGGCCAACCATATCCGGTGCAACAACAGCTTCGTCCAGGCCGTGTTCCAGGCCCAGTTCCGCTCATCGCTTACCTGCCCGCGCTGCGAAAAGCAGTCAAACACCTTCGACCCCTTCCACTGCATCTCCGTGCAGCTGCCGCAGCTCACCCAGCAGACGATATTCGTCACGGTAGTCTACATGAAGCAGCTCCCACGGCAGGTAAAGATGGGCTTGCGAGTCCCAGCCGGATCCCCGATAGTAGCGCTTCGCGAGCAGCTCCAGGCGGACACGGGCATCGAGGGATCGCGAATGGTCCTGGTTGACTTAAACGCCGAAGGATTCACGCGCGTTTTTTACGACACACAACCCGTGGAGACGCTATCTAGCATTGAAACCATTTACTGCATCGAGGTGCCGGAGGCAACTCCTGTTCCCAAGGCTGCTACTCCTCCAGAGACGGGGGACAAGGCTGCTCCAACAGTAGCGGCCTCTGCTCCTGCAGCAGCTCAATCGCAGGCGGACCTGTTGCTCCTAGTGGCCAACGTATACCGAGCGAAGGATGGCGCGGACATAACCCGCTTTGGAGCCCCCTTCAGCATGAAGGCACCGCGGGACTGCTCATACCAGGATCTGCAGAAACGAATGCTCCGCGAAATGGCGCCGCTGCTGAAGCCAGAGGTGTTCTCCTATGCCACGCCACTGTCCGAGATGTTCCGCATTCGGCTGCAAGATCCTTCCGCAGACCCTGATACCTATTTGGAGCAGGTGGAGCACCCGCTGCTTACCGAGATGATCGACATGGCGCTTTCCGTGCTGTCCTCCGAGGCAGGACCCCAGCATATAAAGCTTCTTCTGGAGTGGAGTTCACCCGAGGCACACTTTATCAGTAAACAGCAGGACACGGAAGAAGCCGTCGTGGAACACGAAAGCGTTGCGCGTCTGAGTGCCAGCAAGCCGAGCGACACAGCCTCGCTGACTTTGGAACAGTGCCTGGAGCACTATACCAAGGCAGAGACTCTGAGTGCCGAGGATGCCTGGCGCTGTCCACACTGCCAGCAATACCTTCCAGTAGTGAAGACGCTGGGTTTGTGGTCACTTCCCGACATCCTGGTGGTGCATTTCAAGCGTTTCCGGCAACATCAATCTAAGGGTCCGCAAGCGGCCAAGCTGACAACAATGGTCAAATTTCCGTTGACCGCCTTCGACATGTCACCGCACTTGGCACGCGGCGTGCATGAAAGCGCCAGCAGCTCGCTGGGTATGGGACTGGGACTTGGGCTCGGTCTGGGCTCAAATCCCTGGAAGAAGGCTCGTTCCGGTGACTCGCGCACCTCCACTCTTAACTCGCGCTGCGACGCTAAGGACACGCGGTACGACCTTTACGCCGTATGCTACCATCAGGGAGATACTTTGGAAACAGGTCATTATACGGCCGCCTGCAAGAATCCCTACGACCGTCAGTGGTATAAGTTTGACGACCAGCGAGTAAGCAAGGTGCCAGAGGACGACATTGAGCAGGACATCATCAATAACGAGGCCTACATGCTCTTCTATCAGCGACGCAGTGTAGATGCAGGCGAGTGTTCCGGTTCCAGTTCGAACTCCGGAGATCACTGGGTATCGCGAATTGCCCCAGCACCGTCATCGTCCGCCTCATCGACGTCAGGAAAGGATAAGGAGCCGGTTAAGTTGGAGGAAACCAGCGAAACTCCGGCGGCAGCCGTGGCGGAGAAGGCCCAGTCCAAGCCGGTGGACATACCCATAATTTGCCAAGAGAAGGCGAAAGGTAAATTTTACCCGAAATATACAAAGATATATATTAATCTTGTGCACTTATTTCAGTTACTGAAGAATGCCCAGAAGCTGCTCAAGAAAAGACATCGATTCCACGTGATCTACATATTGAGGAACTGGCATATGCCGATGCAGATGTAGACACCAGTTTAAGTGAGACCAGCAAGGCGGAGGCAAATGTAGAAGCTATGGATGAACCTCGAAAGGTGGATGTAGAGGAAGCCACGCCTATATTTACAATGGATGAAGATTGCCCAGAACCTGGACAGGAGAAGAAGGAGGAATCCGTTAAAAAGGAAGACGAACCCTCCGAAGCCCCAGACGTGAGCGAACCAACCGCCGAGCCCAAGACCAATGGCCATGTGAGCTCTTCGTCCAGCTCTTCGTCCTCGGAAAGCTCGCTCTCGTCACGCTCCTCGCCGCGATCTTTGAGTACTTCAGTGACAGCTGCATCTACTCTGCAGAGCAAGTTCAACGGCCACATGAGCGCCGCTCCAGCTCTTTTCAATGGAAATGGAAATACGCAGCTCTCGTCCAGCTTGCAACTATCCCGACATGTACTGCACAACCATCAGTGGCACGGATCAAGGAGCAGCGTGTCAGCAGTAGAGAATGCTACGCACCATCAACAGCAGCAAGCGGCAGCCAGTCTAAGCCTTCGGCATTCGTTTTCCACAAGTTCAAATTACACGGAGACACTATCATCCTTGCTACGCAAGTCTGCAAACACATGCAGCAAGGACACACTGCTGTTTATTGACCAACAGAGTCACCATCATACAGCCGGACTGATCGAAGATGACGATGATTCGTACATGGGCAGGTCCCTTTGGGTAGGTCGATGTAGTTGTAGAATACCCAGAGACATTCTTACTAAATTTAAATATCCTGTTACAGATATCGCCCGTGACGCCACACAAACTCATCACTGTTTCGCCCAAGAATTAGATGCGATATTATGATCCATTTGGATTGTAGAGTAAGGAAACCCGATAATGAAAGCGAAGCCGAAACAAGAATATACAAAAACGCACTATAGCCATAAGCCTAAGGTTTACTTTATATGATATTTCTTAACCGGAGCTCCCGAGCGATAAGCAAAACGCATTATGAAGATGTTATACAACTTTGTTTACTTTAAGATACGTACTCATATATACGATACTTGCAATACTGCATACGTTTGAAAGTTTGATAAAACTTGATTAGAATCTATAAGCATTAGACTATTTATTCGACAGCAATTCAAAGCCAATGACGAGGATTAGTTCTTTATATTTTACCGAATTGACGAAGATTTTTTAACCTAACGACTACCGATATTTATGTAGCCAAACAATGAAGTACAATTTGATTTGATTTAGTTCTCCGTTCAACCTATAAACCTTCTTGTATAGTTCCCTAACGATGAAGTGCTTGGCATGCCTAAGTTTAGCTTTTTGTACATGAAACCAAGTTTCAGACTAAATTTATGCGCATAGATATAAATGTAAGGACACGTATTCTCTTTAATTACAATTACTTTGAATTCTACATTAATCTATCTGATTGTAACTTTTCCACAACCATAAATTTCTGGCACAACTGCATATGATTCTTTCGATTCGTTGTCGGGCTACGTTTTGTGAATCGTTTATAATGCGGATCTATATACAAACATATATATTACTTTATAAATAATGTATTCTATATGTAGACGAAAGCATTACACCAAAACATTATACTGATAAAAAATGTTTAAGGACTCTACCACATTGTTTTCTGGAGAGGAAGAACTTTATTGCGGTGTAAAATGTTCATTGTATTCATAAATAAACGTGAAGTTGTTGAATATGAAGTATGATTTGGAAGTGAACTAATAAAAATGTAAAAAATACTTCGCTGTGGCAAGGAACAGTTAATATCTGTACAATATGTTCTCCAGTATTGTGGAATCGTGACATGTCCCGAATTCTTGTAATCCCAGATCGTTATATTGGCCATTTTCTTATACATAACTGTCGTATTACAGTATACAATTTTACATCGTACTCAGCCGGAAAGTATACTTCTGTAATGGTTTTCAAACTAGGCTCTCTCAAATTATGCAAAAGTCAAGGTAAAGCTTTCTTTCTTTCCACTTTCTCATGCTCTGGCTAGTTTACCGGCCTTAAAAGCAGCCAGAGGTTCAACGTCTGCAGCGACTTGGCCGAAGACTCAGTTCAGTTGCTGCACTTGACGCGTCTGGTTCTGCTTCCACCACTGCGGATTAAATCAAGCCTGAAGAAGGCCAAGTCCAAGAACCTTCTACAAGAAGCAAACGAGCGGAGATGGATTATCGTTTAGTGCTGGTATGTCATCATTACGGGTGTGCTAACTGCGAACTTTTTCTATGGCTCGCTGGCCAAGTTCGTTGCCCAAGTCTTTTGTTTCGCAATGCGTTAACATCGGCGAGCTAACCGCTCACGTTTACTGTTACCCAGTCACTGGGAACCGCCCGATTCTGGAGCATGCTAATGAATTAAGCTAACTGCGGAGCAGCGTACGTTCCGATCTGTTCTGCCCCTTCTTCTAGTTCGGTTCTCTTACTACTGGCTTTTGGCCGGGTGCCGAGCAACTTTCCCGTTAGGCGTGTGGCACGCATATTGGGAACAGACCGCCAACAAGTTCTCCCCTGGCCAGATCAAATCAGCCTGACTTGGCCCGAAAGGCGGTCGGGTCCCCAATCTGCAATTGAGCTACCAATATTTACCTATGCAAATTGGGTTCTTTCCATTTGGGGAGCTCGCTTGCAGGGCAAACAAGTTTCTGGCCCATTAGAAGGGAAAAAACAAAAGAACGAGCTTAGCGGCTGACCCGATTTTCCGATTTTGGATTCCCCGCGCCGCATTCAAATTGCGCTGTGAACCGTGTCACAAAGAGAGAAATTCCACAGCTTCTTGGCACTGCAGCCGCCCACCAAGCTGAGCCACTTGACCTGGATAACTCGGGTCGGTCCGTGGAACTTTTGGTTTCATTGAGATGCCACTGCCCAGAATTTCAGGGAAAGTTCCCTCGAACAATTAATGGTCAAGTGAGCACAGCGCAGAGATGCTAAAGCCGCGTCTCGACCGCAGTTGCTGCTCGGTTTGTTTATCTTCACAGAAACAGAAACTTTCGCGCTTTCGCCAAACAACAAAACATCGAAAAGTGGATGTATGACCGGGTAAAAGATCTCGCTGCTCCGGACAATATTGGACCATTCACTGGGCCGACTCTTCGGGGCAATTAACTTGACTCCAGACGGCTACGGCCCCTGATTCCACCTCCACTATGACCGTCTTTTGTTTTGGCTCTTTGTAGAAAATTCTTAGCTTTCTGCTGCTGGCCCACTTCGGTTTCTCCCAGCCGCAGCAGCAGTCGCCATCGGACTACGGCGAGGAGCAGCCTCCGGAGGGCTACTACGCTTTCGTCGAGTCCCCGAATGCGGTGCCCCCCAAAGTGAGGCCGCCACCCTACACCTTTGTGAATGCGGAGTGCAAGGATGTGGCCGCCGGCAAGAAGTCTGCCGTGTCCGTTCACAACATTTGCGGAGATCTGAACAAGGGTCAGATACCCAAGAACCCGCTGGGACAAAATGTGTTCGGGGAACCCTATCCCTTGTAGGTGAAAATATTTGCGTAACTCATTTCAGACATCTCTAATGTAAGCCTCCTCCCCAGCGAACTTATTCGCAACCAAACGCTGAAGTTCCTTTCGAAAACTCTGCCCGTTCTGAAGGCCGACGATACCCTCCCCAAGGTCACCCAGATCATTCGTGATGAGCCCGTGGAACAGCTGGACAGCAACAACATCGACAGGCCCTATCCCGCCGGAGGTTCCACTCGCGTCCGCCGCAGCCTGCCGGAGGGCGTAGAGTCCAACGAGTACAGCTACTTCGATCCCGCCCTGGACGAGGAGGAGCAGCACAAGCAAAGGGATCGTCAAGCGATCCCCCAGCAGAGGGCCGCCGAGGAGAGGAAGCCACGAAAGTTCTGCGATGGCGGTGGAGTGTAAGTATTTAACACGCAAATGGGTAGAGCGGAGTTATATCCTATCCCCAACGTCATATACAATCTGCCAGAGAACTAGACCGTCTTTCTTTAGGCAAGGGGAAAGGCGCCACATTTCAAGCAAAAAGAGGTCACCACTTAATCACCATGAGTCATCTTTAAAAATTTGTAGACTCGAAGAATTATCAAGGCAAATTAGCGAAATGAGGCGGCCATTTCACTTTCCACATTATAACGAAGCTCATCACTTCAATCGGCATGCATAGATAGATCAAATTAGGAACTGTTTTACATTTGACGATACCATTTCGTACAGGTCACTTATTAAAACATTTTCAAATTTTGAACCCCACCCGCAGATTTTGCACCTTATACAGGGCCATTCAGGGAGACACCGGTGGAGCAGCCCCTTCCACGCCCACTGCGGAACGGCGCGAGGAAGTGGGTCCCATCCGGTACGAGGGTCCACCCACTCCCTGTCCCGCCAAGGTAGAGTACGCCACTCCCGTCTTCGCTAAGAACTACCAAGGCGCCTGGCGTTATGTGGTCCAGATTCCCTATGAGGGCTACTTCACCCAGACGGTGGAAGTGACGCGCTGCATCCAGGCACGCTGCCACTACCTGGACGGCGGTTGCCTGTCGTCACCACGCTGGGTAAGCCTGCTGGTGGCGGAGATCTTCTACCCCAATGCGGAGGACACGGTGCCCACCAGCTCGACCACCACTCAGGCGCCCTCGGTGCAGGACTTCCAGGCCTACCAGCAGTACCTGCAAAAGAGGGCCGGCGTGGCAACCGCCTCCGATGGAACATCGTCTGGAGCAGCCGGCTCCGCGGCGCAGGCGGACGCCCACTGCGACGGACACGATGAACTGGGCTGCTTCCAGGTGCGTCTCTACTACGACTGGTTCCTCATCCCCGGCTCCTGCAAGTGCTGGCGCCCGGACTACTTCGCCAAGTACGTGCGCCGGAAGTCGGTGGCCGACTTGTGAACACCTTCTGGACAGGATATCCCAAGGAGGGCCTTAGACTTAGATTAAGTTCTAGCCTTTAGAGGAACACAACTTTGAGGTGAAAGGCTCATTCTAGTAATCCATCCGGGTACCCCACGGCCCTATACGGATCACGCAGAGTTTGCAGTTCGTGCATCTACCAGATACAATTTGAACCTAGGCGGTTAGCTCCCTCTTTCGACTGATTAAGCCAAGCGCATTGCATTTCTACTAATAAATACGTCTCTACCTAAATCTTAAGAGAGCCTCTCTATTCGGCACTTCGCTGGGACTTCGCTGTGGTTTTGGCCTAGGCTGTGTGTGTGTGTGTGTGTGTGTGTTAGCCTCCTGGCACTCTCTCACTTGCGCTTGTGTTGGAAGATCCACCGAAAACCCACAGAAACCAGTCGCGCAAGTTGCGCATGCGTGCGAGACTCGGGCCCAAAACCTCGGCCGCTGATCTAGTGTGCAGTCAATATAACCAGTTGGTTGGGTTTGGGTGTTTTGGCCGGGGATCCAAGCTACCGCGCTGCATTACATACACAGAATAGCTGCAGAGCTTGCGCAGAAGCCTTGACGAACGGCCTCAAAAGGCTGCCAGACGAGCAGCGGACTCGGATTTCAGGAGCCAATTTTCCGCGCAGCTTGGGTAAGTCAGCCAATTGGAGGGCCGTCTTTTTGTTTATAAACAACAGAAACAATCAACGTAAGGGAAGGGAAGCACTTTTGAACAAATAACACTGTAAACACGGTTACTTAAGGCAAGAAACTAACGAAATCTTTCGATGGTAAAGCGCTATAACTACAGAATAATGATAATTGTTCTTCGCAAGGCAATTAAAATAAAATTTGATGCTTGAAATCAAATAAAATTATGAAATCAAGAATATTGGTGTATCAATGAGACGATGTTGCTAATATAAATTTGTTTAAGTTAGTAAATAAGTGCAAAATATCTTACCTCAGAGATTCAGTCCTAAGGCAGCTTGCCAAATTCACACGCATTCCATTTGGACTTACCCATGCAAATGAGCTCCTATGAATATTCAGTTATGCATTGGTGCCAAGCGTGGGACGTTTCGATCCAACATCTCATCCCACTTTCCATTTTGCGCCATCCGCAGACGAAGATGCTCCGCCAGAACAAAAACACCAGTACCAGTCTGCTGAACCTAAGCATCAGCGATGGAGGAGGCAGTCATCCACAGGGGCAGTCGCAGTTTTTAGAGTTGGATACGCTGCCGAAGCAGTTTGTCCTGTCTATGAAGAAGCTCTTTGACATCCTGGACGACAAGCAGACAGGTTATGTGCGCTTCACGGACATCGAGAAGGGCTGGCAGGATGATGGCTCGAAGGGACTGCCCCGTGGGGTCCTGGACTCGCTGCGTCGGGTCACTCCCAGCAGCGGACTGCTCTCCTTCGAACGCTTCTGCGCCGGCCTCAAGCTGTGCCTGCTCCGCAATCAGCAAAACGCCGTGGAAGACCTGAAGTTGCGGCCACGTTCTCTTGCCCACGGAACTCTTGCTCCGGAGATGGACTTCAATTCTCCTGCTCCGCCGCCAAAGCCGCCACGACAGGTGCCCAAGTCGCCTGCTCTGGGTAAAGCCGACATCCGCCATGCCCTGCAAAACTGGCAGCTGAACATGATGGCGGATGCCGGAAAGCCAAACACGACGCAGTCGAGAGAACAATTCGAGCACCGTGGCTCGGCAGATGGAGGCTCCTCCTCCACCTCCGCCTCGGCCACCGACTGGAGCCTGGCTCTTCCAGCTGTGCCTAAGAAGACCAGCAGCAAGCGCAGGGAGTCACGGAGGCACACTCTGCAACACGGCATCGACTACAACATGCTGAAAAGACTGAAGCAGTTGGAGGAGCAGCGGGAACTGCTTCTGTTCGGACTCGATGGCGTGGAGAAGGCGCGCGATTGGTATATGATGCAGGTGCTCAATGTACAGGAGCAGATTAAGTATTTCGGCCGTTTAGGAACCAGATTTGTAAGTGGTCCTCACTCTAGCTTGTGAACAATAGTTACCCATTTGATGATTTTCCCACAGGAACAGTGGTCTGAACTCCAGCAGGAGAGGCTCAACTTCCAGCGTGCCCGCGTTCTGGAGGCCAATCGCAGCCTGCAGATACTGGCCGACACCTGGGACCACGGCGGCTACCCACTGCATATTAATTTGGCTCTGCCGACACCCACCGTCCCAAAACCGAGGCAGATGTCCGATCTGCTCAGTCGGGTTCGCGAGAAGCCGCCACTCCTGTCCGATTTGTACGAGCCGCAGCACTCTCATTCCCATCCGCAGTTCCTGCGTGCCATGCCCAACTTCGTGCTCAGCCAGCCCTCGCCGGTCAGCCAATCCTCGGCCGGCCTAGGAGACGCCGATGTCGTCTACTGACGAATCAATGCTGCAGCGTACATTGTAAATAGTGTATTATTAAACAACTTGAACGGTTTAAAGCTAGACGGGATTGGGGTAGCGGCGCATGTACTTGTTGAGCTGCTTGTAGTTCAGGTTGCTACCCGGTTGGACAATTCCCTGGTTCACGGTCTTCTTGGCCTCAAACTTCCGGTCCTGGTAGCACTTGTAGCAGTTCTGGAACTGGCTGATCTCCTTGTGGCAGTATTTTTCCACGAACTCGTTGTCCTTCAAGCAGGCAAACAGCACGCCCATCTCCTGCAGACAGGCCACATCGGATCCGGAGTCTGCCTTCCCGCTCACAGTGTTTTTCAGCCGCAGAGGCAGAATCTCCTGGAAGGGCACGTCCTTCTCGTTTTGAGGCGCTCGGCCGCGCGCGGCATACAGGGCTCCGGGTACGCGCATCTGAAACCCTTGGGATCAGTAAGTCCAGGCATTTCAGTCAAAAAATACGATTTTACCCACCTCGTAATTTCGAACGTCTTCTGGGCAAACCGAACAGCTGCTTCAGATTACGTCACGAACTGGTTCACACATTTCGCGGTGAATGCCAGTCCGTTCCAGCCCTGGAATTTCGTTGAAAATAGGCATACGGTCACACTCGAAGTCTCCGTGGAACAAAAGGTAAATAATCAACCTGCAGGCACGCCAGGGGATTCTTCAAGGATCACCGAACACCACGCGCCCATGGAAGCCGCCGAGCAGCGCGACCAGGCGGCAGCACCAGCTGCCCTTTGCGGGCCTTCACGAGCAGCCCACGCCGCAGCCGAGCAGGAAGATCCAGACGTGGAGCAGCACCGGGGCCAGGAATCGGCCATTGGGTCGTGGGAGTGCGCTCCAACCCTGAGCAGCCGCAAGCGGCAGCTGAGTCGCTTCCATCCATACCACGGATCCAACATCCAGTTGGGCGACGACGCCACAGTGGCCTACCGGAGAGCAAGTTTTGCCGACGCCCTCACATTTTCGGAGCGCCCGCTGGCCCCTGGTGACATCTTCTTGGTGGAGATCGAAAAGATAGAGCGCGGCTGGTCGGGCCACATGCGCCTTGGTCTCACTGAACTGGCGCCCAATGTGATTCGCACCAGCAGCGAGGGATTACCCCATTTCGCACTTCCCGACCTGGCTAACCTAGGCAACAGCTGGATCTACCCAATCTCGAAGTTCGAAATGAACCAGCGCCAGGAGGCAAACGACATCATCGAGCCCGAGACGGATGACGCGCCACACAGTATGTACAGTCTTCGCTACCATGCCTCCTTGTCTATAACTAATCTTTGGCAGGAAACCTTCTTGGCGACGCTACGCACGTGAGGACGCCTCGCGGCCTGCTACCAAAGAGACTCTTACGTCCGGCGATGGGCAACGGCAATGATTCAGACATCCTGCTCACGGACAAGGGCTCCCGCATCGGCATCATCTACGTGCCCACGGTGCAAAGCGACTCGAAGGGCGAGCTGCACTTCATCATCAATGGGGTGGACCGTGGCCCCGTTTCCCGAGACATTCCGCTCAACAGAGCGCCTCTGTTCGTGGTGATCGATGTGTACGGCACCACCAAGCAGATTCGAATTATCCAGCTGGAGGGCAGTAAGTGGAATAGATCGGGGTGACCATCTCCCTCCTATTATTAATGCTTTCTTTCCTGCAGTATTGTCCCTGCAGAGCGCTTGTCGCAACGTGATCCTAGAGAACTTTGCGGAGGACGCGATCAGTGAGCTGCCGCTACCGGAGAGCATCAAACGATTCCTGCTGCGCCGTGACTAGGGCTCTGGACCATGAGCTCTATGCAATAGGGCCCAGTGTGTGTGAATGAGAAATGCGTGTGTGAGGAAGTGTGCATGAGCCTGGGTCGTGATAGTCTGTTTACCCATATATATATATTTTATACGCCTGCAGCTCTAGTGAAGTGCCCGTTCATTGACGCCCTACTCCGGACCCTAACAGATTTACGGAATTGGCCGATCTCCGCTAGACGGCGCTAATATTTGTAATTTCTGTAGATATATATTTTTACTTTGGTTCTAGTTACCAATACACACTTTACCTGGACGACCCTATGTTGTAGAGCATAATCCTCGCCAGCGTGTGTGTATGTGTGGCTCGCCCAACACCAGCGGAGGTCTTCTGGGCGCCCTGTCTTTTAGCGTTTCGGTCCTCAAGGCGATTTCCGTTTCCATTACCGCCTAAGCGTATTGTTGCTATATGTAAGTTAAGTCCCCTAAATAAAGGATCGATCAAAGTCGCTGTAACTGCTAAAATCTTACTTTTAACTAATCCGTTTATTCAAGAGTGGATGTGCATTTAGAAAGTGTGGGTACAAAACAAAACATTATGGAGCCGCCGCCTACTTGCCGCGGTTCTCTGCCAGCTTGGCCTTGAAGATGCTCTTAAGCTCGTCAGCGCCGTCGCCGTTCACCTCCTGGTAGTAGGGTAGTTCTGCGAGACGCTTCAGCCAGGCGTGCACCTTGGGAAACTTAAACTCATCGATGGGGGCGACGTCGTTCACCGAGGTGACGGTGGCAACAGCGCAAAAGTCTGCGATGGTCAGATCAGAACCGCACAGATATGGCTGGTCCTTGAGGAATCCCTCGAGGATCTCCCAGCACTTCTGGATGTACGCGATCTTATCAATGGAGCAGTCCGTGGATCCATAATATAGAATGGGCTCGTAGAGGAAGCGCAGGCGCGCAAAGAGGTGGCCGGAGTCCAGATGGAGCCGAGCATCCACGTTGGCGCGCTGCACCAAGTCCTTCGGGTAGAGCTGCTGCTCTTTCTGGCCGTACTTCTCCACCAGGTAGGCGCAGATGGCGTGCGAGTCAATGATTGTGGCCTCGCCGTCGATCAGGGTGGGGATGGTGTGCTGGGGGTTCAGCTTGAGGAATTCCGGAGTCAGATGCTCTCCGTTCAGCAGGTTAATTGGCCTGTATTCGCGCGAAGACTCTGTTAATTGAGTTAAGTGGCTCGGTGTGGGAACCTACCGTAGTTCAAGGTCGAGCCCGATCGCCTTGGCCGTGAGGAGGACGGCGCGCGATGGGGGACTCAAGGTGGCATAATACAGAGCTGGCTTTGACATGGTGGGATCTGTGGGATATTCCAATATTTGTACCTAGAGCAACGGCTGGCTACCTATAGATTCCTAACCCCCACCCGCGCAATGCGGACCAACCCAGAGAACTGGTAACCGCACTCGCACCACTTCCATTTCGGTACCCCCATTTATCAGCACCGAATCCGTGTCGCACCCACAGCAGTATCAGATAACCCCGGATCCGTAGCCCCCATCTCTAGCGACTTATCAGAGCACTTAACATGGCACCGCACAGCGCTGGAGAGGTACTGGAACTACATACATATATAGCTCGCGCGCCGCCCTCTCTTCCCCTTGTCAACCCTTCTGACGGCTTGGAAATTAAGTTTTCCAAATAAATGTAATTAGCGGCACACACACACGCAGAAGGCGCCCCGGGTTTGAGTGTGTGCGCTTGCAATCGCCGGCAAATTGTTTTTATAGTGCCAATGCAGCCTGTGTGTGTGTTTGTTTTAATGGGGGGCTGATTTAGCGAAGCGCATTGATATTAGTTCGCCCACACACACACACACAAGCGCACTCCACTCGCAACTCACATTTCTCTATGCGCACAAAACTAAATACAGAACTGCCGCACGAACGTAGTCTCCAGAGTCCAAACGCGATCTGAGCGCGAACAGGAAACTATATAGCGGCCCCACTAGCTCTGCCGGCGGCTCTGCTGAGAACCTACTGGCAGTGGTGTTGGTGTTGGTGTGGGCGAGAGCGGAGCGGAGCGTAGCCTCGCTCTCTGCTCTCTTTCTCCCACTCTCTCTGCTCCTCTCCGCAGTGGTGATGTTATTTCGTACGTTTATTCATAGGGTTTTGGTACAGGTTAAATCGCAACATGATTAGGCTCTACGAGTATGTGGTTACGCGAAATTATATATAGTTGTATATAGCATGAAGCTTGTAATACCTGCTGCGGCTGCGGCTGCGGCTCCGTTGGATTTCTCTATTCGCCCGGATCCTTGAGCACGAGAAGCACTGAGTAAATACCATGGAAGCGGCAAGTGGGCCCCAGGATGTTTTGATCGAAGCGGAAAGAAAGCACTAACACTAAGGAACGGATCGAGTGCGAATAGAGAGAACATTACAGGTGCCACTGCGAATATCTCGTGGGTCAATCACATTCAACCACTAAGGTCGTCAGCTAATCTAGTTGTCCAGAACGCTGCGCTTCAGCGCCTCCTCCAGATCCGCGTCGAAGCTTTCCGGCTTGGAGTAGTCGGCCGCAAATTTGTCCTTGACCGTCTCCTTGCTCTGGACCTTCTTGTCCACCTGCCCGTTCTGCTTCTCCTTGCCCGTCGTTCCGAAGGAGGCGTTTCCGAAGTCACTCGAGAAGTTGTGGGCCTCGAAGCCCTCAAAGCTGGCGAAGTTGGCGTTGGGGCCTGTCTTGAAGTGGTCCTCGAAGTTGTCGTTGAAGGCGTCGAAGGCCTTTGCCGTTTGATCGATGGGTTTGATTGGTACCACGCCAGTGGGTACTGATGAGTTTTGGATCACACTGAAGTTGTCGTTAAATGCATCAAAAAAGGAATTGTTGAGTTTCGTATTGCTAGTGGTTGTGGCCGTGGTTCCAGCCCCAGGTGCGCCAGTGGTTGCCAGCGTCGCTGCAAAGTCGTCGAAGTCGGCGAATGCGTCCAGCGCCGTCTGCGACTGGTGGTTAGGCTTGGAGTTGGAGTGGTGCGAAGTGCTTGAGTGGTGAGAGGGCGCGGGACTCGAGTTCAGGTTGAAGGCGTCGAACTGCTGCAGCAGGTCGTTGTTCAGAGGCGTGGCCGCCTTGGGCTCACTGCCGTTATTGTTCACGATGTTACTCAGCGTTTTAGCTGCAGATCCCATCTCATCTGTGTAATAGGAACCTGAATTAGATGAGATTATGCCGGAGAATAGCACTATACTCACCCCCCGAGCTAAAGTCCTCCGCAAAGTTCTTCTTGCAGTCAGCTCCCTTGGCTCCTGACTGCTGCTCATCGTCGTCTTCGGCAAAGGGATCCTTGATGCTGAACGGATCCTCGTAACGGTAATCCTTGAAGGGATCATCCTTGAAGTCGGTTGGTCCAGTAATGAGACTTGGAGTCGGTGCCTTCCGACTCGCACTCTCTCCAAAGGCATCAAACACACTGGCTACCGCCTTGGGCACCAATTCCACCTCCGTCGTGCTCTGGTTCTGCAGCGGTGTATTGGAACGCGACAGATGCTGGTTATTCAAGCTGGGGGCGGTGGTAATGGTGACGCTACTGGGGAGATCTGCTAACGCTCCCGCTCCCGCTACCGCTAGAGATCCCGATCCTGATGTTGATACAGAAGCCAATACCGGGGGTGGGGCCGCTGGCGTGGATGAAGATGTCGCGAGCAGGGTGTGTACGGTGGGGACAGTGATGGGCGTGGGCGTGGGAGTGGGCGTGGTGGCCGCCTGCCTGCTGATCTGGCCGGGATCGTCGAATAGCGAGAAACTGTCTAGCAATGACGATCCACTGGCGACCGGAATGGGGGGTGGCAGCGTGGGTGGGGGCAGGGACAGAGCAGTGGCCGTGGGCGTGGGCGTGGGTGTGCTTGGAATGTTGTGGAGCTGCGTGGTGGTGTTGTGTCGGGGGAAAAGAAGTGAATGAAACAAAATTAAATTAAAACGAACTCAAATTAAGCGGAATCAAAAAGCACAACAAAAGGGGAAACCGAAATCAATCAAGGTCAACAAAAGCGTTCAAGCAGCCACGTAGGATTGGGTGGTTCGTGTGAGATCGTGAGCAGCACCATGAGGATGTTGGGTTCCCTGTCCAAAGAACTCCGACGGGCGTACGTTGTATGATGTCGAACATAGATATCTTTATTAATAATGCAAAACGTTGTGTCGGTTACATTTCTGTATCGGTTAGCTGGGCTTCTCTAAAAGTTTCTCTATAAGTATGTATGTGGTCTGCACGGAATATGTATTCTCGGTAAATCAATGCACGGAAGCTTCTTAGTTTCGGTGTGGGTGCTCGTAGTCTGTGGCTATGATAATCGAGGTCTGGCCACATGTGTACAAGTAGTTGGTATAGTCGAGTGGAGGCCGAACTGCTGGCTACACCGCGACGCACTCCTGACTGGGAACACTACGCGGCTCTAAAAGCTGAGTGTAGAGGGTTTCGGTAAATAGTAGTGGGCAGTCCGGATCCGGAGGCGGACCGCCCGTAAAAGTCGAACTTTCGCGGCAGTTACATAAATGTCTATATGCTTGTGAGGCTTATGTGTAAAATGCTGGTATATATATTATGGATGTATAATTGCTTTAAACTTTAGTATTCGCTTATGCAAAAACAACTAACAACTTGCATTAAATTCCTTACAGAGGTCTCACCCACAAAACCTAATCGGGATAATACACTGGCCTTGAAAAAGATTCGGGGGAACCCATAATAGTAATAATAGTAGGTAGATACAATACTGCACAGCAAAGGGAGTCGAACTGCTGCCTGTTTTAATTTGTGACTACATTTATAACACGATACGTAACGCTTGAAATTGGTTTGAGTTCGGTTGAGTTTCGATTGAATTGATTTAGTACATTTAGCTAATTAGGCATGAACGATAATGCGCGTCCTCTAGATATTATACCATGCACCGTGACTGATATATGTACGTTAATATGATGCTGCAAATAGCTTTGTACGCTCAAATTGATTTGTTTCGTTATGCTGCTAGAGGAGGCCATTCATTAACTGAGTATGTGTGTTAGTACTGGTATATGTCGTATATAGAATGGGTTATCTTAGGGTGTTCACTGAAAATAGAGAATTGCAAAGATGAGAGACCAGACGGTTAGTTTCATACGGCACCAAGCAGGACCAAGGCAAATCTAGTGGGATGTACGAGGTTGGGTAGTGGGTAGTGGGTGAGGTGATCTGGGTGGGATGTGTTCCGGCAGTACCTGATACAAAGGGCTAGCAAAGGGTGCTACAAATCAAAAACAGGTCAGAAATCATAATACTCAAGTGCTACGTTCTTGGAGTGTGTATCAAAGTGTTTTATTCTTCAAAATTTAGGAAGTGTTAGTGATAATAAACGTAAAACCAGGGATTAGCACTGCAATACATGCCTGCTAAGAGCAACATAAAACAGATTCAGGGATGCGGGTGCGGGGCGCATGCATTACCACCGATCCCAGCGGACACTGAATTGTGGGGTACCAACCTTATTGTCGAAGTCGTCAAAGTCGGCAAATCCTCCTCCGGCGCCGCCGCTTCCGAAAGCACCCGTGGGCTGGGAAAGTATTTCCATACAAAATTTTCAAATTCTCTATTGAACAGCATAAACAAGTGGTCTTACCTGGGCTGCTCGGGGTGGAGCTGGTCGTGGGGGCGGCACCTTGGACTTCTTTGGCGGCAATGCTGGACTAGGAGACTCCGGTCTAGGCGGCGGTCCGGACTTCTGAGCGTTGGGACTGAGCACCTGGCCCTGGCCGGTTGGAGCGTGCAGGGCGGCAAACGGATCACTGCCGAAATCGTCCTTACCGGGCTGTATAGGATTCAAATATTCATTAAGGAACTAATTCGGGTGTTCTATTCCAAAAACTACCTCCGGAGTAATAGCGCTGTTCTTGTTAGCCGCAAAGGCATCCGATCCGAAGGGATCCCGCTGGGTCTGACCAAATGCTGAGCCCGCTCCGCTCTGACCAAAGGCATCGAAGCCACTGTCGAAGCCTGAGCTCATGTTGAAACTGTCATCAAAGCCTGTAGAAATAGCCGGCTTGTTGGCCGCCTGACCAGAGAAAGGATCGCTGCCGAAGCCGTTGGTAGCTTGATTGGCAACCCCGCTGTTGTTCTCCTCGAAGGGATCATCTTTGGGCATTTGAACTTCCTTGGTGAGGGTCTTGCGCGCCTCATCGAAGTCCGGCTCTATCTTCAACTGGTATTCGGATACGAGTTCGGCGTTTTGGTTCTCCATGGCAGCCCGACAAATGAGCAAAGCGTCGGTCATCTGTCGCTGCGTCTCCAGCAACTGTGTGACCATTGATCGGACCTTCAGACGGCTTATGTTAATCTCTGGTCATTTGATAATATCACGTGTAGTCTTACCGAGCTGATTTGCAGTTGGGTTGCCTGCAGGTGGTTGGTTAGCTTGGAGAGCTCGCGATTGTTGTTGTCGTACTCCTTCTGCAACGAAGCTTCTTCGTCCTTGAGCTTCTGCAGCTCCGAGCGTTTTGCGTTTAATTCGCCCTCCTGCTCGTTGATGGTCTCCTCCTGCATGTGGCACTGGTCGCGAATCTTTGTCACCTGCAAGCAAGCGGTTTTCTCTATCAATAACTATGCCATTTCTTACAAATATTTCGCACAACACATGGTCCAAAACATAAATTAAATGAACGAGAACGAAACACAAAGCAAATATATACAGATATCATGAGGAACTGAAACAAACCTGATTGTTGGTGCGGGATATGTCAAGACTTACGTTGGCCAGCACGGCCGTATTGTGGCTAACCTTATGTGATCGTAATTGTAAGTGTAAGTGCATTCACCAGTTTAGTATGGGTTTAGCCAATTGTTAACAGAGTGTTGGAGGAACATGATAAAGAAAGGAAACCAAAGATTGAATTTAAATAAAAAAATTAAACGTAAGCCCAGGAGCAAGGAAAAGGTAAGCAGTGGCGCAGGGGCCGAAAGCACCCAAAGAATCATGCAAATAACTACTTGAGCCTGCAGATCATCCAGTCGCTTCTGGGCCTCTCCTCGCTGGTTCTCCAGCTGCTTCAGCGTGGCGGTAAGAGTATCAAGTTCACTCTGTGGGTGGAGACTCTAGATTATAAGTTTCAATTTGGAAACTAGTTATAGAAGACTCGCCTGCAAACTGCGCACTTCGCCGTTTTTGATGCGCACATCCGCTTCTCTTTGGGCAATTTCCGTCTCCAGCACACGCCGTTCGCGGGCCAACTCCTCAATCTCCTTGGAGATCATTTCCAGCTCCGGGTTTGAGTAAGTGGGCTTGACCTCCTGCGGCTGCAGATCGACTCCAGCCACAGTGGCGCGCATTGAGGGCGGCACCATATTCGCGATGAGGACATGAGGGGGGTCCACACCGCGCTGCTTTCGCTCGACGAACCACATGGCCAGAGCAAACTGCTCCACAGTCAGCTTGCCGGACTGATTGGTGTCACAAAGAGCCCTAAAAGAAACGGTTGCATTAGAAATATTTTGGCAATATCTAAACAAAAATCCATACCAGATATCTGCTAGGCTGCGCTGCGGAATACCCGACTTGATGAAAATATCCTTCACCTCAAGGCCGGAAACCAGACCGTCCTTATCCAGATCCGACTGCCGGAAAATCTCCTCGAACCGTTTTAGGTCCGTTGGGGTGACAACCCAGTCGGCATTCGCCGTCACCGGCGCTCCAATCGGTATCAACGGATCCGTCTGAATCAGCGGCTGAGAGCTGACTGCTCCCACCGGGGGAATGCGCGTCATGGGGGGCACTGCCACCGGGAGCGGCGGAATAGCCGCCGGAGGGGCGATGTCCTTGGGAAAATTGGCTACAAAACCGCCGTCCCCGAATCCCTCCCCGCTGGGAGCACGTGGCATAGCAGCACCCGCTGGCGGTGGTGGGATGGCGGGCTTCGGTGGCGGTCCTGCGCCTCCGGGCTTTCGCAGCTCGGGCGGCAGCACGCTGGGAATGGTTCGCTTCTGCAGCGTCTGGTAGACCAGGTGCATGGCCACCACAAATTCGTGCATATCCAGGTTGCCGTCCTTGTCCTGGTCGGCCAGGTCCCATATAGTTCCCAGTATGCTCATCGGCAGCTTGGAGTCCATGAGCACGCCCTTGACCTTGTTGCCCGGCAGCATTCCATTGCTGGGGTGTAGGGACTCGAAGAGCTGCTCGTACTTGAGTCGATCGATCACCCCGATGGACCAGTCACCGTTCGCCACACCGGCGCTTGCAACGGGAACTGTCTGAATACGCGACGGCATCGATTTTGGTAGCTCACCCTGGCGATTGGGGCGATGTTAATATATCAAATCTCATCTTGCCCATTTCGGGCGGAGTTGCGAATACTCACCACCTTGGGCGGGTTGGCAATGTCCAGGTAGATGTTGACCATGCTGGCCACCTCTCCCGCCTGCGACAGGGACACCAACTTAAGGGCCACAAAAAAGCCCGGCTTGTCCAGAAAGCCCTTGCCGCTCGGGTCGGACAAATCCCAGATCCTGCTCAACACAACGTCGCTGAGGCCGGACTTCTTTAGAAACTTGGCCGCAGTCATGGCCTCGATTGCCCCGGTGGATTTGGGGTCAATCTGCAAAAATCGATAGAGGGTGGGTGTGGATACGGATGTCTAACATTGGCCGCCATCCTGTTAACAGTGCGGTTTGGAGGCGTGGTGCTTACCAGTTTGTAGTAGGCCTCGTAGACGCCTATGTGCTTCCCGCACACCCTTGCAAAGTCCACATTCATGATGTGGAGTCCACTGGCCAATTGGTTCCGACTAGCAATGCAAAAACACGTAAGCGTAGGCCCGTTATCACAAAATCGATTTTTCTTCCCAAGGGGCGGATAAGCTTCTCTAAGTCAGCGGTCGACGAAGTACGCTGCCTCGCACCTGTGCACCTCCGACGAGACACTTGCTGGAGCCACTTACAGGTGAGCTTGGCGCATTGCGGCCCCTAATTTAGAGCTACTCTCGAATTTTAAAAAGCCTAAATTTGCTTTTTTGCTCGGTGGATAGTGTGACCGTTTGGATAACGATTAAAAATACCGCGCGGCTGATAAATAGGTATACCATTTGGGGATTGCGTTTAAATACCACTTACTTAAATACCATAAAATACCGAACTAATATCGTGTTTGTTTCAATGTATAATTTGTTAATTGCGATTATTTATCTGCAATTACAGCGTTGAACGTCAAGAAAGGAGGCCGTATTTGTGGATACGGACATTTCAGAAAAGCAGCTGTGTAAAGATGTCACATGCGATAGAAACGGCATGCGATGTTTTCGTTAGGGTGACCAGATAATGTTTAAACTTAAACGTTTAATTCAAATAGCTTTTCAATGCAGAAAATGCGCTTATGGATCTCCAACTTAAACTAGGACTTAGAGCAAACGAATGCGACAGTTGGGGGCCCCACACTGGCAGTACAGAACCTTGCCGGGCACCACGCCCACCTCGTAATTGTAGTTCCAGGTCAGCTCGGTGCCGGAGCGGATGTGTGCGGCCGAGAAGAAAGCAACCCAGGGGAAGCGCAGGTCGTGGGTGTCCACGAACACGTTCTGCACGAAGAGATTGGGGTTGCACGAGTGCTGTGGAAGAGGACGAGTATCAACAGACATACGAAAATAATAAGAAGAAAGCCAAAAAGCATAGGGTCCAAAAACGTCCAACTTACGTTGAAGTAGCGACCGAGGTTGCCCGTTGTCTTGGCGTCCATGATGTAGGGCGCCTCGTCCTTGCCGAAAAGCCTCCTCACCGAGTTCTCGCGTACCGTCTCGTCCAGATCGGCATTCGGGTTAAAGTTGATCACCGCACGCTCCTGCGAGTCCAACTCGCTGCTCTGCGTGGAGTTGCTCCTGGAAGTGCGCTTGATCTTGCGCTGGTAGTGATAGTTTGGCCGGAAGTCATCATCGTCCTCGGCATCGGGTCCCCCGTTGTCCTCCTCTGCGTCCGGATCCGAGTGGTCCACCTCCGACTCGTATCCCTCTTTCAACTGCTCAGCGACCTCAATGTAATCCAAGTCCGCGAAGTACTCGTCGCCGGCGTCCTGACCACCTTCGTTGGCCATCGTCTCCGTGAGCAGATGGCCGGCGTATATACAGATGAAGGCGCCCTTGGGGATGTCGTTAACGCAGCGCAAGCCCCATCCCCGATTCGATGTCTTGAACACCTGCAGCTTCATCTCTAGGGAGAACTGCACCACCCGGTTCAGGCAATTCTTCTTGCACTTACAGCGAGAGTTGCACTCGTAGATGCCGGTGGGCACGTGCTCGTGCAGCCGCTTGTACTGGTAGCCGATCTCCTCGATGGGCTTCTTTGGGTTACAGTACCGCACGCCCGCCACCGTTAGCTGCCAGCAGGCACACTTGGACTTGTCCTGATAGGGAAACACAAGAGATTGGATACAATTGGTATAATTGGTGATGATCAGAGCTGTAAAACGTTTTACCGAGCAGTCGTCCTCGCAGTCGCAGCACAAGAGGAACTCTTCGTCTAGATTCAGATGAACACCCTCGGTGGGGATGCGCTGCTTGGCGTAGGTGCATGGGGGCGGCAGTGTGTTGTCGTAGTAGTTCACCAGCGGAATCGCCATCTTCTCCTGCCCCCTTGAAATGTCAGTGTCCTTCACGATCGAGGGATCAATAGAGTACTCGGCCAGGCACTTCAAGTCGGGCGTAAAGTCAAAGTTGTCTACGTTCAACACATTTTCGGTAGCTCGCAGATACCTGTGAACTTCGGCCAGGTTGCGCAAACTTTTGCCACAAGGTCCCTTGTATACCACGGACTTCTTGGTCTTCTGGCGCATGACAAGACGTTCCCAGCCAGAGAGCAGTGGCTTGGCTAACGGACTGTAGCTGTCCAGTCGGTGGACGATCTTAAACAGGCAGTTCGGGCTGCACTCATGGCACTTGTACATTTTGGGAGGCAGGTTCCGCTTGGCTGTAAAGTAAACTACATGGCCTTTGGGCCTGTTTTCGTCGTCCACGTAGATTGTCGAGTTGTTCAGGTGCCGCACTGCACTAGCGCTATTACTGGTGCTGGCACCTCCTACATTGGTGCGTCCTCCGCCAGAGGTGGCTGATGAAGATGCAGCTGCTGCTAATGCGACATTCTGCCCGGACGCGCTGCTCTTGCGGGCAAAGGCCCGCATCTGCTGGTTCACCTTGCTGCTGGACTCCATCTCCTTGGTGTACCGGATGAAGGGCTCCGTACGCTAAATAAGAAACGATTATTGTAGTGAGTACTGCTGGATGAATGGGCCCTATGCTTACCCTTGGGACACGCATCTGCTGTGCGCTTGAACTGTTCATGGTGTTCTGGGTTTCTCTGAAGACAGGACCCAAGCGCAATGAACCCCTGTATATCCACTCAGTATGGTTTTTGTCTCCCTCAAACTGCATCAACACCAAGCTGCAGTCGATGTCGATGACGCGCGCGTATAGCCAGGTGCCGTTCGATTCAGTGTTCATGCTTTGGCCCCGGGTGCACTGCACCATGGGACGATCCACGGAGTACTTTTCCACGTACTTCTGTATGAAATCGCGCGACGCGGCGTGTACGTCCTCCCACACTTTCTCGGAAGCCTGGCAAACTAGACGGACATCTCGGTGCGGAACGTACTGAGTGTAGCCATCGTCGTAGAATATAAGGTAGCGGTAACGATTAGCCTGCTTTAACGGCTCAGCGATGATGCCTGGATAAAAGGCGCTCTGCACCACGCCCTTATCCTTGCCCCGCGACAAAGTGGTGCCATCAAAGTACGCAATCACGCGAGTACCTAGTACACAATGGGTGGATTAGTTAATAGGTTAACAAATATCCACTATAACTAACCAATAGTCAGTCGCACTGGTGGTGGTTCAAAGTAGGCAATGTGCTTGGCAGTTACCGTCTTGATCATCTGGTAGGGCGTGTTGAGGTACCTAATCTTGTAGCTCTTCATAGTGTTTCCGTTGATGGCGGTGCTCTCGGTAAACTCGATTACCTTTATGGATACCCAGCTGGCAATAGCCTTGTTCTTCACAGCGTAATATGTCTCTCCCAATTGGATTGGAGGACGTACGATTTCGCCAGCAGGTGGAACATGATGCTGAGCAAATAGTGGTATTAAAACGATTCCAAACCGCATCACATCTGACTTACCACGTAGTCGCCAACACTGGGTTCGATGTCCAGAGGGGGCAGATGTTTGTGTGCCACCGGACACGAATTATACAGGGCATAGTGCATTTTGTCAGCGGTCGTCTGAACTTTTTCGAGTTCCACATCTGCCAGTGCGAATTGTCGCTCCAAGTGGTCCGCTTTCGCCTGGAGAATCGTTTTGGACCACGATAGCTGAACCGTAAAATCCACCTTGTTAAGCACACTCGTGATGGCATCTTCGAGTTCTTCTTCAATGAACTGCAGCTTGTTTTTCGAAAAGTGCGCTTTTTCTGTGCGAATAAAAGATTTTTAGTGCGTTGGTTGCTATTGCTCATTGTTCATGATAGCAGTCTCACCTGGCTGCTTCTCCTCGTCCTCCTCATCGCTGCTGTCCAGAGCCACAAAGTCGGCTTGATCCTGTTGGAAGTCCTTCAGCAGCAGCGGCTGATTGGCCAGCAGTTGACCCGCACATTCCTAAATTAGGAAATACAATTCAAAGTTAAGTAAAGTTAAGTAAATATAAGTGTGCTACTTGACCTCATACAAGTCCATAGCTGTGTCATGGCATCCCATGCAGAGGAACTGCTGCTTGGAAGTCTTTCGGAGCACCTGGTAAAAGTTCAAAGTGGCCATGTTAGCCAACACGTACTGTTTATGAAGCTTCTTGCAATTGCAATTGACACAGTCCTTGTCGTAGAACATTTCTCCATCTGATGGCAAATCGTTTAGCTGCTCATCCTGTGCAGCTTTAGGAACAGTACCCTTTTCAAGCTCCACCTCTAGGACGTCATCCTTTTTATCAACAATGTGGTGATCTTCGATTTCCATTGAGCTAATCGGTTTATGCTCTTTTAAAGTTTTCTCAATCTTGTCTTCTTCGTTTGCGTGACTTATTGAAGCCTCCACGTCCTGCTCTACTTCCATGCCAGGAGCTTCCGTTTCCTTCGTGGAGTTGTCAGGTTCATTCTCATTTTTCTGTTGCTCCTGCTTTTTAATCCCTTCGTCTTTTTCGGGAGTGCTCTCGGATGTGGGACTGGTGATCAGATCGATGCTGCTATCCGCCAATTCCTCAGCCTCTTTAGCCTCTACTGCCGCAGCTCCATTAGCAGTATCTGATATCGGGGGATCTTTGACACTTTCGTCGGAGGAGGGGGATTTCGCAGGACTCTCTATTAGCTCAACGCTGCTGTCCGAGTCCACTGCTACCAATACCGGGCTGCTTGCAATGTCGATACTGACATCTTTCTTGTTCCCTCCCTTAGGGTCCTCCGATTCCTCGCCCCTCTTTCCAGGTTCATCAGGGGTGTTACCTACATCTGGGGGCTGTTTCCTGGTTGAATCTGGTGTGTCGATTGCTTCACTGTGTGGCGGATCTTCGAGTGTCAGATCCGCCATCTCCACATCTTTTGCGGCTTGTCCTTCCTTTTTTGCCGACACGGTGGATTCCGAACGGTTTTCTCCTTCGACCGGCGTACTGTAACTTTTTTCCCTTGACGCAGGTGTTTCCTGGCCGCTCACCACTGCGATTCCACTGCTCTCTGTGCTGTCCATGGCTATTGACTCCCCAGACATGCTTTTAAATAAGTTTATTTAACTTTACACATTGATGCAAATAAATTGCGAGCCAAGCGAGTACATTGTATACAATTTAACTGGTAATTTACCAACACTGGATTTCAGCGACAGGAAGAAGAAGAGTGAATGGACATTCACCCAAAACCAAACGAACAGAAATTCAAAAAGTACTGTGCTGCAATGGATTTATTTTTCATGTCTACGGAAAAAGAGTCCTGTACATCAGGCCTCGACGACCTTTGGGTGGTAGCCGGTCTCATCGGCGGTGTAGACCACCTTGACGGTCTGGCCGTTGGGGGCCACGTACTCGTACTCCCCGGAAACAACCCAGTTGTCGTGCTCCTTCAGGACTCCAGCTTGCTCGGCGCGGTTGTGGTTGGACAGCTCATATGCGTACTTAAAGTCCAGCACGTTAATCTCGGCGACGTTTTTCAGAACTTCAGCCTCCTCGTTGGCGAAGGTCACGACCAAAAGGCAGGCAAGAACGATCTAAAGGACATCATAGGTCAGAGATGTCCCAAGACAAAGTGTCGAGGTCACTTACCGCAAATTTCATGGTTGAAGAGGGGGATGTGTGTGCTGATAGATTGCGAAACAATTTTGACTAGCTGTTGCCGAAAACTACGCTTTTATAGCTCTCCCTTGGCATTTTACCGGCCGGAATGACCAATTGCATAAATTTTCTTCATAACTGGCTCCCAGCACTCGTTTATCTTAATTAATCTAAAGACATTGATGCAGTCATTCTGCAGGCATTAATTATCGCCCCACTCTGCATATCATATTAATGGAGTTATCTGAGAAGATCTACGCGGAACATACCCAAAGCAGCCGTTCATCAATTGTCAGCAACGCTCGATAAGTTTTTAGCTGATAAGAGTTAACCGGTCTATTCCATCGATGCTATCGTCGATTAGCATAATTTTCGCATAACTCTTGACTCTCCCGCAGATGCAACCGGTTTCAGTCAAGCTGCGATTGCAGTATGGTCACGGATTTAAATTTCTCGGCGCGCAATTAGCCAGTGCTGGAAAATGTCTGGGGCCACCCCGACTATTGCCATTCAGAGGGAATCCCACGTGGTAGTGTCTGCGTATCCGTGTGCACTGCGATCCCCTCCAGAAATAACACGATGGCCAGCGATTCTGGCAGCGATTATGAGGTGGAGGCTTTCATCAAAGCCAAGCGGGTACGGCGCACAGTCAACGACGACAGTGCGGATCTGTTGGGAAACTTCGATGACCAAAAGCGCAGGGAGATCTTCGAGGGCACGTATGTGGACAAGGAGGACGGCCGGAATCCCAGTGACCCGGATGATAGTCACAGCGAGGATGAGGTCAGGTCCGATGACGAAGAATCCGCGGCGGACAGTGCTGCCTCCGGAGCCGAGGAAGAGGAATCCGCGGAAAATGGACAAATAACCAGTGACCAGCTGACTTCCCTGCTTCGCGGCGCATCCAAAACCAACAGACACGTCCTGTACGTGACGAACCTGAACTTCGAAACCACGAAGGACGATTTGGAGCTGCACTTCACCGCGGCAGGGACGGTCAAGTCCATCCGCATCCCCAAGAAGCGGCGAGGGGGCTTCGCCTTTGTGGAAATGGCCGACCTGAGCAGTTTCCAGAATGCCTTCCAGCTACACAACACAGAGCTGCAGGGCCGCAACATCAAGGTGCAGATATCCGAGGCGGGCAAGAAGAAGTCTGCCAACAAGAAGAACATCATCAAGCAGAAAAACCGGAAGCTGGCCGAGATGCGCAACGAGCAGAAGACCTTCACGAAGAGCGGCAAGTTCTACGACAAGGACCTGAAAAAGGAGAAGGCCAAGGAAATGCTGGCGCGAAAGCGGTGGCGCAAGAAGCCCGCACCTAGACCCACATAAATAGCATAAGTTCTTACAATGTAAGCCATTCTATGATTATTTAACAAAAATTAAAAGTTAACGTTACCGGATAAGAAGGTTACTGTTTACTATTGCCAGCGCACAATATAGAAGTTGCGTTTGCCCACGCGCAGCAGAGAAATTCCGTTGCGCAGGATGTGCACGCCCGTAGTAAGCACTTCGGCAATGTTCTGCACCCGCTTCTGGTTAACGTAAAATCCGCCTGCGTTTATAATGCGCACAGCATCGGCTAAAGAGCGTTCACAATTCGTTTATGTCGCATTATTTGAAAGACAAAGATAACTTACTCTCTGTGGGAAAGCACTTCGCCTTCATAGCCAGCTCCAGGATGGACATACCGGGCTCGGTCAGCAGGTTCACCATAGTGGCCCCCTGAAAGGTCTGCTGGATCTCGGGAAGGTTGAGTTCCGCTAAGCCTTCCACGTTGCCTTTGTACAAGGCATTGGTCACCCGTTCCGCTTGCTTCAGACCACTTTCTGTGAATTGAAAACTTTAACACTACTGATACAAAGAAAGAAGTGATATACTTGTACTACCTCCATGAACCAGCAGAGTCACGTCCTCAGCCAGCAGAGTCTGCGCCTTCCGCTTCTCGGGCTCCTTCGTGTGCTCCCGCATCAACTGCTCCACCTGGGGCAGCGGGATGAAGGTGAACAGCTTCAGGAGCTTTTCGACCTCGGAGTCTGGCATGCGCAGGAAAAATTGGTAGAGGGCGAATGGCGAGGTCTTGTTACCGTCCAGCCACACTGCGTTGCCTGCCGACTTGCCGAACTTATCGCCCTCCTCCGTCGTGACCAGTGGCAGGGTGAGCCCGAAGACCTCTCGCTTTCGCTCTACGCGGCTAATAAGCTCGTGGCCAGTCATTAGATTGCCCGTCTGATCGGAGCCTCCCATTTGAAAGCAGCAGTTGTGGCGGCGCAGCAGGTGCAGCCAGTCGTAGGCCTGGAAAATCTGGTAGGTGAACTCCGTGAAGCTCATCCCGTCCTCCGACTCCAAGCGGGACTGCACTGAGGATCTGGAGAGCATTGATCCCATGCGAAAGTGCCGTCCCATGTTGGCCACAAAGTCGATGAGCTGCAGGTCGGCGTACCAGTCGGCATTGTTGACGACTCTGCGGGAGATTAGAAGGAGATTAACGCAGTCTACACGTAGGCTATACACTCACGTTAGGGGAGGCAGTGGGAATTTCTGTTTGTTAGAGTCCCAGAGGCAGTGCTCGTGATTCTCGAACACCCGGCGAAGCTGTTGCTCGATTGCCTTCAGATTGGTCTCGATCACCGTCTCGCCGAGTTGGTTGCGCTCTGTCTTGCGTCCACTGGGGTCCCCGATGAGGCCAGTAGCTCCTCCTACAAGTGCAATGGGTCTGTGGCCGGCTCTTTGGCAGTGGATCAGGCCCATTATTACCAACAGGTTGCCCACGTGTAGGCTGTCGGCGGTGGGATCGAATCCTGCGTAGATGCTTTGTTGGCCTCCGGTGAAAAGCTGTTTCATCCTGGGACTGTGGAGCAGCAGTTTTCATTGATAAAATGGGAATCTTCGCTACTTGCAGATGGCCCAGTACTTACGCCGCTGTGTCAGGAAATATACCCTGAAAAAAGCCTCGATCTGTGAGCTCCAAGAGGTTCCTCTGCGCCAGTTGGCGGTGGCTAAGTCGGAATACATCCTGGAGCGGTTTCAGCAAACTCCGGCGCAGAGGCAACATTATGCAAAGTTCCTTAGAAATTAAAAATTTTAATAGGGACTATCTTTGAGGTTGGAGCCATCAGCTGATCGGAGCGCGGTGAATGGTAAAATCTGGCTTGTTTTGGTTTACAAACAGCTGGTTTTCGCTGCGAATGGCAACATCGGAGCTCGAACACAAAGGTTCCATTTAGAGCCAACGCAGTTTTCCATGACAAGGGCCATATCATAGTCAGATCTAGAGATAATGCTGCTGAAGATACGCCACGCCCTGCTGGAGGTCACCAGTCCACCGGCCGCAAAGCAGTCCGCGATCATTATTAACAACGAAGTTGTCATCAGTTCGGGAAGCATTCTGCAACCACATCTGGCCTTAGACGGGGACAAAGGAGCGCAGATCAAGGCAATTGTTTCCAGGCTGCAGCGCGGTCAACTGCTGGATGTCCAGAATGAGGAGCAGGGGGAGGGAGCGCATATCCGCTCACAACATTTCCTGGTCACCTTCGATCCGCAGCAACGACGGCCGAGGCCTAACACTGCATCTGGTCCGCGGCAACCGCACATCCTCTCCCGTTTCACAGCCCATCCTCTGTACGTGTTCTGTGCGGACGAGGTATGCCGCAACCTGCACCACATACTACTCACCGCCGACTCCAGCGATGCGGGTGAGGTGCTCCGCTCCAGCTTTGTGGTGCTGGGCCTGCGAAAGCCCGAAAAGGAGGAGTCCTTCAAGCGCTTCCTCGCGCACATAGGCAACTACTTGCGACACTTGCAGCCCATGCACACGTTGGACGACGTGCTGGTCATGTGCTCGCCCTTTGGTTTGGAAAACTTCTACAAGACTATCAGCATTGGAAAGGTGTCCAATGTTATGGGACGTAGTGGCTGCTTGTTTGCCATTTCAAATGCTCTGCCACTAGGCTGCGAAGGCTCCGCAGTGTTCAACAATAAGCTGTAGGTGATGGGTACAAAAGAATATTAGTAACATAGCAACAATTTTCGTTTATCAGGCGGCTCGTTGGCATTGTGATATGCACCTCGTTCCAACGCCATCAAGAAAACGTCAACCTCACACTGGCCGCGAACTTTGGCTACCTTTTACGCAACTTTATGGAACAGCTAGGCATGTCCACTACAGGATTCCAACTGAGTCGAGAGCCCTCGAGCTTTGCCTGTAAATTGTCACTATTTCCACGTTGATCTCAAAGTAATTACATACTTACCGTTCCAGGGGAGCGCACAATTGTGGTCATTGAGTCGGCGGGTCAACAAGGCACCGGGACATTCATACGAGTTCACAACAAGCGCTTCATCCTCACTTGTGCGCATGTGGTAGGACAGGTATGCAAACATGGGTTGTTCTTAACCTTGGTGCACTAAATTATTGCCTTCACCGTAGTGCATTGAGACTGTTAATTGCCGTGCTGCCGATCGCGAGTTCCAGTCTGAGGTGATCTGGTGCAATCCGGACAGCGATAAGCCCTTCGACTTGGCGCTGCTCGCAGCTCCGCAGGATGTGCCGGATAGGTACTGCGTGCGACTGGCCAGGAATCCGGCCATCCTCGGGCAAATGGTGTACAACGCCGGGTTTCCCTACTACGTTAACTTCAGCTTCAGGCACGACTTCAATCCCTCGATCTTTCAAGGGAGGATCATCAAGTGCGACACTGGGGCCATTATGTCCGATGGCAGCGTGCAGGCGGGCCAAAGTGGAGGACCGATGTTCGACCAAAACGGATGTATCCTAGGCGTCTGTGTGTCCAACATTAAATTAGATGACGTTGTCTACCCAAACATAAATACAGCCATTCCAATTTGTGATATCCGCAACACGTTGCAGCAGTTTGCACGCACTAACGGTGAGCAGAGTTTTTAATAGATGGTTTATAGCTTATCTCAATTCCTTGCAGACATAAATGTGCTTAGCAACCTGGTAGCCAGTCCTGATATACACCGCGTCTGGTCTCTGGAAATGCCGCCCATTCGCAGCAAACTTTGAGGGGGCTCGCGCAATTTTTCATTGGTAACGTAACTGTAATAAGTGTATTTATTGGCCAACCTTTAGGCCTAAACAATACCATGAGGACTATAAAAATATATTTATTGTTAGTTATTGTGCTTAGTTTTTATCCAAGCAATCGTTAGCGTGACTCTGGAGCACGCTTAGGGTATTAAAAGTCTTTGAGCAGATGGGACATCGCAGAGTGGTGTTCGAAGTCCGGGATGAGGCGCCTGTTGGATCGAGAACCTACCAAAACAAAAATTAATATTCAACTTATGGACTTTGGAATTAGCGTACTCTTACTGGTCTCTGCTCATCCCGCAAACTGCTTCTGCTTGAGCTCAGCGAGGAAGCGGTCGAGCCGGCCTTGCTTTCCCTGTGGGACTGAGCCAGAGCTTCAATTAGCTCTTGGTTCCTCCTCTGCAGTGCTCGCAAATCCAAAAGATACTGATCTTTCTCGCCGGCATTCTTCTCGCGATCTGCCCGCTCCATTTCGAAGTCCTTGCGGTAGATATCGTTTTGGGTCTGTAGATGTTCGATCCTCTCCTGCTTCTGGATGTCTTTTGCCTTCAGCTCGTTAATATCCCGGTTCATTTTCTGCATCAGCTCCTGGGCGCTCGCCAAGGTAACTTTTAAGCAGTCGATCTCCTCAATATAGGTTTTTTTCTGCAAGTTGTGTGTAATATAGCTTTGTAGAAACATCGCGTATCATTGTAAAAAGCACAAACCATGTCAGTGATTTCCAGGTTTTCAACTACGAGCTTAGAGAGTTGGCGCTGAAGGTCGCGCACCTGGCGATCGTGCTCGTCCCTTTGCACATAGTTCAAAGCCATGCCGGGGTCAGGTTCCGTGTTTGATCCATTCTCAGGTACGAACTCAAACGAGTGCTGGAAAATCAGAACACAAAGGGCGGTGAGGCCAGCGGAGGATTTTTTAGCAAGATACTGCGCAGTTCATAGTGTAGATAGTAATGCGTGCTAGCCTGTACCCAAGTATTTCTGATATCGCTTGGACCAAGAGCAACTGGTCGACATACATACCATTTTTAGCTGCTGCAGTTTGTCAATCTCCACCCGCATATTTTCGACCAGTGACCGTTTCTCAGATACGCTCTGACGAAGCTCATCCTGCTCCTGTTGGGAAATGGTCTGCACCACCTCAATCTGCTCAATTTTTGTCTCAAGATCCTCCTTCAGCTTTTGGTTTTCCTGGCGAAGGAGCTCGACCTGCGCTTGGCACTGTTTTAACTGCTCCTTGTACTGCTGTTCCTGGTCGGCGGCATTCTGGCGCCATTGCTGAATCATTTTGTGGTAATTCAGCATGGTTTGATTCACCTTGTCAAGTGTCCCTGGCCGGAGGGAATGGCGGATTATTGCTGGTTACCACAATACGCGAAAAACACTCACTTTTTAGGGCAAGGTACTCGGTCATCATGTTCTGCAGCTTAACTACATCCTCTGCGGAAGCCTGCAGCGAGCAGAGGCTGGGAAACTGCGAATAAACACTGTTCTGTGGATGGATTTAGGGACTGATGTTAGAAGCAAGCAAGGAGTAAGCAGACTCTCACCTTCAGGACATCGGATTGAACATCACCCATGATGAAGCTGGTCGCCAGGGACTGGCGCTGAGATGATGCGGAGTCCAGCGATATGTGCTGCTGTTGGGACGCAGTCATGTTGACTGGAGTACTGTTTACTGTTGGTGGATGTGTGCTCGTGGAGGCAACGGGTTCATTCGCCTCCTGCACGTCATCCAAACCGTCGGACCCCAAGGAACCATCCGGCAAGAGTGATGAGTACGGCGAGCTACCCAATATGACGAACGACTCCTCCTCCGACATGTCGCTGTTGACGCGGTAGCAATGATTGCTTTTAATCATCAAAATGAGAAAGAACGAGCTAGTTTATAGGTGTCACGGGGAATCCCCTTTTTCTAAATCCAAACAGCAACGTGTTTGCCAAATCAAGCGCGAGCTGTTTTTGTGATCGAGCGGGTACAGCTGAAACAGACACACACACCCGTGTTAGTTGCAAGGATATACATATGTACATATGTCAAGTATATGAGCTTTAGGGCAATGATTCATTTACTCGTCGGAATACTTATGCACTCTTTGGTAATGAGTATTTCATATACACCTTAACAGTATTAGGCCCTCTTACCTTATATCTCTTTCTTTGGAAAACAAACAAAGAATAGAATAGAATATTATTGGGGAATATTATTTACCTTTTGCTATTTTTTCAATAACATCATTGACCAGTGTGACCGCATCTCCAGATGTACCGTTTATTTGGTATTTTGATATAATCGGAATCGTTATCGACAATCGGTGGACTCGCTTATCTAAATTCAAAATCAGCTAATTTCAATAAATCTGATACACGCCTAAAACTCGTGCTTATGAAGGTGCATGCACTGCAAAGGCTGGTGGAAAGTCCCGGCATCATTTATTCAAGCATCCCAATTAATTTTCCTTTGTTGCACGGCCGAGATTAATGGGCGCGTCCCGAAGGCCTGATCCTGATAAACCAGTTGCCCGCGGAATTACACCGAAATGTAATTGCCAAAACTCGCAAATTCTAATGGCCGGCGCATTTGGTGGTCTGGCAGTGCGTTCTGAACCCGCCAAACCGGATTCAGTACCTCCATTGTTCGGCCTCAACTTTGTAGATGTGGGTTAATAAGGCTTTCGCGTGTTAAATATAGGTGTGAGTGGAGCTCGCGACAAGGAACTGGTGGCTGGCCGAGATGCGACTTTCGCATTACCATAACCAACCGGTTACCTCATCTCCATCTCAGTCCATCCGCACATTTTAGAATCCATACGTTCGTAACAATGATAATCATCATGTGGTTTATTACTCAAGAATCTCTATTTGATCTTACGGCTAATGCACGCGAATAAATAAAATTAAAAAAACTTAAACGAATACGATACGAAATTCCATTAAAGCTCAAGTGCATTCAAGAAAACTCCTCAAACGGCTACAACTAGAAGGCTCATTCGTTCACTCTCGCACTCCACGATACAGGATGACCTCCTGATCTGGTCTATCACATTCACACAAGGACTTAGGTCTAGGTCTGCGGATCCTCTGACCGGGATCTTACGCCTGCTGCTGGCGGAACAGACGCCTCTGCGTCTGGTGGGGGGGCTGGAGGTCGCTCTGCAGGATGGAGGCGAAGTGCTGCTGCTTCAAGGCGTTGATGGTGGCGATCTTGCGATGCCTGTTGGGCTGGGCGGCGGCCAGACCAAGGCGGAAGTAGGGCAGGTCCTCGTCACGTGGCAGTGGCATCCTCTTGTCCTCCTCCACCGGGGATCCATCGGGTCGCACGCGGATCACCAGAGGTCCGGTGAGGAATCTCTTGGGCGGCTCTGAAGTTAGGGCGGCAGCCACTGGGAGCTCACTGCTGGACTGGGGCCCGTACCCGTAGGCCATGTCCATGTCCATGGCGTACTTGTGCTTCTGCTCGCCACTCTCGAAAATCGGATTGGCGACGGAGCCGGAACTCTGGATGCGATGGGATGCTCCGTGCGGAAGTTGCTGGCGCGTTAGGATAATCAGCGAGGAAGCGGGCGGAGTGGGCAAGGGTTGCTGGAGCGGCTGCCTCGTGGTCACCAGGCTGGCTCCGCTCGGATGGTCCCGCATAATCGAAGACCAGACTGCGGAAGAGAAGAGCGGTCAGATCGACATCGAGATTGAGAGCTCACGTCGAGCACGTCGCGACTGCGCACTGCGGAAGTTCTGACGCGGAAATCGATCAGTCTCCCACGCAGATAGGGGCACTTACTCAGCTCGTTGGCGTCGCGCTGATACGGATCTAGTGCCTCCAGCTGGGCGTCGGAGAGCGTCTGGAGCTTGGCGGACCCGTAGCCGAGCAGATTGTGCTTGCACTGGTTCACTGGGAGACCTCCGACGGCGGCTGTTGACTTGCAGTGCACGCTAACCAATTGGGCGAATGTTGAGTACAGGTGGGACATCTGCAGAGAACAATATCGGGGGTTACTTTAAAGGCAATTCGTATTATAGAATCAAGTAATACAAGTGGGAAAGCAGCTCTTCACTTCTCTGTTCAGTAGTCGAGTATTGTATTGATTTAACATGAACGAAAATTTGAGAGCATAGCTGATACTAGTTGCGAAAAAAACTTTCGAAAAAGACTGTAAATTTCTTAGATTTTATTGCAGCAGACGACTTGCTGAAAAGAAAGTTTGAGGCAATCATATTCCGCGGCGCCGATGAGACCAGGTCTCGTGGGTATCGCAGGGCAGAGGTGGAGCTGCCTGTGCCCCGTAATGGGGGATTTCACAAGGTGCGTGTGTGTCAGCCGGGAGATGATTGCACTTTCGTTGCACAAACGAAATGCATTTCGACAGCGCGGCTGCGAGTTGAGCAACTGCCTCCCAGGGCGCGATTGGATGGCTGGCATCTGGTATATGTGCCCCAGTTCGGATGGGCTGGGTATGGGTATGGGTATGGGTTTACGGTTCAGCGGCCAAAACAGCAGCTCATTGTCTATTCTCCGTGGCCAGCGAAGCGTTGAATGGACTTTTAATTAGCGCCGAATGTTCTACTGCGGTGACACATCTGCATCTGCGGTTTGGGTATTTCTCTGGTCGCCGGTGACGCCAAGTGGATCGCCTCTGCTCCGATGCTAATTCAGTGGCAATAAAGAGCAGAAACTCCCCGAAAGTTCCGAATCCGGCATCGATCACGATTTAGCACCCCTCCCGGCCAACAGCCAAACAAACAAAGAGTCGAAGAGCAAACAGCAGAACAAAGAATTATGTGGGTAACTGGGTTACCTTACTAGGGGATCCAGTATCGGGCCCGTAGCCTCCTTCTAGAAATATATACCCTTGATCTGCATCAAAGTCCAGCAAGAGCTTCATTTGCATTGGCTCTGCTTTGGGTTTTACAACTTTACGCCGTTTGCATAATGCATTGGATGGATCGGATCGGTTCGGATCGAAACGGTGGACTTGGAGGGGCCAAAGTTGGGGAGTTGGCGGGTTGGCTCACATTACCAATTACCGTTACCCACTCGGTGGGGCCACACAAACGTGTGCAAACTGCGAAATGCAGTGGATTCCATCGCACCACCTCAGCACCCCTCTGTGTGTGCTTTTGCTCAAATACTTGAGTGGGCAGCGATTAACTTAAGAGATGGGTTCCTTTGTGCCCAGCCCTCCGCCACTGGAAGCCACTGCTTATCCAAAGCGTGTAAGCTGCGTCAGCAGCGCGTTATCTGATTCGAATAACTCTGTCGGGATTTTATGGTCCAGGCCCTGGCACAATTAAATAATTAGCCAGTCAAAATTGAAAATTCAGCAAAACAGCAATTTATTTATGGCTTAGCGCGAAAATATTCCAAAAGCCTTTGCGGGAGTTGTCAAAGTCACGTACTTAATTCGCTTATATAATATACGCTCGTTTTTATAAAGATATGTTGATTCGAGATCGTCGGGGACAGGTTGTAATTCATTAGCCTTCCAGCGAGCTGAGCTGAGCTGACATCGCCTGCACTCTCCGAAAGTCTAGCCTATAGACACACTGATCTTGGCCGGAGCTATCTGTATCTGATCTCATACTTCCTTGTGGGCATGCCCATACCCATACCCATACCCATACCACACTTAGTCGCCGCAAAACGCCCGAGAAGCGAGACCAGAGATGGGCAAAAGCTGTCTCGTGGGTCTGCAGACGCTTCCCGGCCACGAAAATGGGGGTAAGCCCCTGGCCTGTACCACATGCCATCCCCAGCGGATTGGCGGTCAATAACCTGTTGATATGCGCAGGTTACATTATGAAACATCGAAATTGCCAACCAAAGAAACCAACAAAAAGACAGCCACGAAAATGAAACATTTCATAACAGACAAAATAAAAAGCTAAAAGACGAGGTAATGACTCCGGTTCGATCGGACATTGGCTGGGGATGGAGATGGAGATGGCGATGGGAAAAGGGTTCCATTACTACACATGTTTGCGTATCAGAGCCCAGCATATTTTACGTAAAAACAAAACGGTAATGCGAACATAACTTATTTATTGGGGCCCGAACCGCAAACCGGCTAAACGCGTTTGCACCCATAAAAACATAAGGGCAACAACAAATGGTTAAGCTGTTGTTTATTTTTGCAATCGAAAATCGAAAGCGCTCAAATAGCTGCGATCATTCGCACTCGGGAGCAGAGGTAGTCACCTCGAAACAGGAAGCTGAAGCATCTTCTATAAATACACCTATGTATATAAAGGCGATCGTTCCGAGGCGAATCTGGTTAGAAATTTACATGGGGTGCAAAAAGACGAGTATCTTCCCACAAACTGCGTGTCTGCTTCTCAGCGTTTCGGCGGCTAATTGCCTTTTAGAAATTATTTTCCCATTTCGAGAGACTCGTGTGGGGTGCCGGATGCGGCTTTCAATCACTTCTGGCGGGGATCGGATTGGGTCACATTATTCCGGGCTCTATTGTCTCGATCCGCGGATTTAAGGCGCAGTTCGCGTGCTTAGCGGTCAGAAAAGCAGGGATTCGGCTCGGATTGATGCGCTGGCAGCAGGGCATACAGATCTAATGACTGGCAAATCGCTACATATAATTTAAAGTCCGGCGGCTAATTAATGAGCGGACTGAGCCGCTTTGGCGGAGTTCATTAACCAAAAAACACCAAATAAACACACACTGCGGAGAAAATTGCCACAACGTTGTCACGCTTTGTTGCACAAACATTTGTGCAGAAAAGTGAAAAGCTTTTAGCCATTATTAAGTTTTTCCTCAGCTCGCTGGCAATTTGCAGCACTTGCGAATGTAAATTGAAACTGTTGTTCCTCATAAATGAAAATTAATGTTTGCTCTACGCTCGACCGAACTCGCTTGTTTGGGGGATTGGCTGACTAATCGTGGTTAGATCCCAGGCGGTATAACCTTTTCGCTTCATCAGTTGTGAAACCAGGTGGCTGATGCTTAGGCAACACCAGCCAGCGGACTCCCCTCGAACTGTCTCGAATTCAAGTGGCTGTCCAGCCGGCCCACTGGACCGGTATTCCCAGGCCTGGCCCCGCTGCACCCCACCGCACAATCCTCGCCAGACGCGGCGCTGATAAGGCTCAATGTCAAGACCGCACTCCGCAGGCGTCTATTTATGCCAAGGACCGTTCTTCTTCAGCGTTCGGCTCGAGTATTTGTTGTGCCATGTTGGTTACGATGCCAATCGCGGTACAGTTATGCAAATGAGCAAATGAGCAGCGAATACCGCTCACTGACAATGAACGGCGTCTTGGCAACCATTCATATTCATGCTGATATTCATATTCATTCCTTTGTTTTTTCGGCTTCGACGGACTGCAAAGTGCGGAGAGAAACCCAAAAACAGAAGCAAGCCAAGCGCAGTTAATATGCGAACTCATTGAAGTTATCACAGCACCATATCAATATCCATATCCATATCAATATCAATTTAATATAGCTATAATTAACGATTATGCTCTGCTGATCAAGTATTCAGCGCTGCGCTAGATTCGACAGATTGAACTCAACTCGACAGATGCGCAATGCCAAGGACAATTGCTATGTGTAAGTTTAAGTGGAGTAAACGAGGCGTATGCGCAACCTGCACCTGCCACACGCGGCGTATGCGCAATGTGCACTTTCGCTTACCTTCTCGTTGCGGGTCAGAAACTCCCAGATGGGAATGGCCGATGAGGAGCCGATCTGCATGTGGAAGGCGCCCAGCAGGCAGCAGGCCAAGATCACTTTCGCCGCAGTCGTCATAGTGGCGTTGCTGTTTGTATGTTGCGTACTCCGCCCTACACGGGGAGTTCAGGTGATTCGGGATTCGGGCTCCGTGGGTCAGTGGTTCGCTTTGGTTGTGTAACCTTTGTGCGGCGACTTTCTTTTTTTTAGGGCCCAATAAAAGCGCTTTTGTGGCGTTTTGATGGATTATCACTTGGCTTCGGGGGCTAGCCAAGTGGCTTTCTTCTGTCCGACGCACTTAATTGAATTAACCAAACAACGAGCGTGGCCAATTCGTATTATCGCTGTTTTTGGGTGTACGTGTGTCTCAGCTTGAAACGCAAAAGCTTGTTTCACACATCGGTTTCTCGGCAAGATGGGGGAGTCGGCTTAGGGAGAGGGGCGCCCACCGATCAGTCGATCACGAAATCGGCGAATTCCAAGCGAAACGGAAACGGAGCGGGCACTATTTCACTTTAGCACTATGTCTGAGAACCGATCGCGGCGATGTCTGTGAGTCGTCTGCGAACGGCGCTGGCACTCCACTCGTATTTATGCTCTGAGATCGGCTTTGGCGGCGAGAGATCGTAGAGGGGAGAGTGAGCCATCGCACAGCAGAGCGAAAGCGAGAGGGAGAGCGGCAGCGGGCGGGAGAATGGCAGAGGGCGGGCGAGCGGCAGCGGGCGAGAGAGCGGCAGTGAGCGGGAGAGCAGCAGCGGGCGAGAGAGCGGCAGCGGACGGGAGAACGGCAACGGCAGAGGGCGGAAGAGCGGCAGTGTGCGGGAGAGCGGCAGTGCGCGGTCGTGGATCGGGAGCCCCCGAAAAAAGCAGGGGCGCACTTTGAGGCCATCAAGGAATTGGGGATGTTTTAATACACTGTGTGATGTAAGGTGATGTAATCCCAAAGTCGATGGATTCTCATGCAGATAGTACCTCTCTACCCTTCGAACCGGGTATATTCGACAACGAATTGCTTCAGTCGCAGGTAGGCCACAGGTTTTACCGCTACTCCCAATCCCCCTCGCATTTTTCTGACTCAGCCCCTGGAACCATCAGCAAACTTGTTCTACGCTTGCACTGGAAATAGAAATTAAAAACCAAAGTAAACAATCAAAAAGGCCAACAACAACAAAACCAGTGAGGCATTGCAAAAATTTCAAAGTCAAGTTTGCGTCGTCATCGCGTCTGAGTCCGATCAAGCCGGGCTTGTAATTGAAATTGTTGATGAGCCGCGGGCCCACTGGATTGTGGCGCATTCTGGTCAGCATACTTAACAGCAGCGCGCTAATTAAACAAAATAAAGACATTAAATTCCAAAATGCGACGGCGCCATGATCCTGTTTGGGAATTCAATTCGCGGGCAGATCGCCTAATTCAATTATACGGTAAAAGTAAAAAAGAATGCGATCGCTGGAAATTCCTAACATCACGGGCCCACAAATGGCCATAAATTTGATAAGCCCGAGCTCGCTCCGTTGAGTCATCCGCCCCTCATCTCCGCCAAAAAGAGACCGCTGGGTTGTTGACTCCCCAGATTGAGATGCGGAGTGGAGTGGACCTGGTCAAAGAAGCACCGTTAATGCGCTGCTCCCATTCCATTCCTTCCGGGAATGCGATAAGGAAAGGCTCCGCTTCAGGCGGATTTCGACTTTCTCTTGTCAGCCCCAACTCGCGGATTTTGTTGATAACTTGGCATTTATGTACTTATGGCAAAGCATTCTAATGAAGGCTTGGAAAACACTGGAGGTACTAAAGCCACTTTTACAGTTTAAAGGCTTAAATCCTCATAAACCTATTAGCTTATTTTCAGGCCGTCATGTGATAGAGGATGAGTCAATTCCAGTGGCCGAAAAGTATCTAATTATGTTTTCTATGGGATTTTTAGAGGAGTTTTTTAGAATAAACAAAAGAGGCACTTGATTTTTGGGTTTCTCCAACTAAAAGATATTCAAGTTTTTGCTTGGATCATTTGTAAGGTTCCGGATATATTAATATTTGAAACACACTACTAATAAGATACTTCCGATAAATACTCAGATAGATACTTCACCTCTCACAGGGTGTTGTACTTAAGGAAGTGGCGATCGTAGCGATTTCCCCCGCCGTACAGTTCCTGATCCTCGTTGTTTTTGTACATCATGAAGTCCGGGTTCTGGTCGTCGCCGAAGATGGGAACGTAGCTGCCGAAGCTAAGTGTCTGCTTGAGGTGCTGGTCCGGACGGCGTCCCAGCTGGATAACCTTGTTGTACAGATCCGCATCCGCCTGGAGGGCACGGTCGAAGTCCTTCCAGTGGACGAACTTCACCTGCTCGCTGGGAATAGCGTTGTTATCGAGCAGTTCAAGGAGCGTATTCGAGTTGACGGGCTGCACAACGTTGAGTTCCTGCTCCTTCGCTGCGGATTCTCCGGCGGGCAAGCGCCGCTTGCTCGGACTCGTATCCAGATCCCACAGCCAGGCCAGCAGAGGAGTCACAGAGCTCTGGAAATCGTTATGGTTAACTAATATGTTTAAGAAAGCCCTTCGCTATGACTTACGTGTTCACTTCGCCCGATGCGAGGAATGGTTCTTAGGTTCTTTATGGCAAAGTTCTCCCCTCGCTTGCCCAGCCGCGGTACGTTCTTGGTGATCTTCAGGAAGAATCCTGGACTACTGTCGTCTGCCTGGCTGATGGCCACAAGAGCCACCAAGAGCGAGACGGACAGGACTGTTATGAATCTCATGCTGATGCGACTGGAGCTTCACCTGACACCTGCTTCAATATTGGTAGCCTTTATATACTGAGATCCACCCTCATTTTGTGTTGAACAGAAATGCGGGTGACTCCAGGAATTAGCAATATCGATCGGTAAGTGCACAGCAGATAAAACTGACTAACCTGACCTAAATGCTTTTCTACATATATTACTTTTCATTTGCATAAGAACCAAACTTTGTACTTTTTAAAGATTAGAAGTAGTTTAATTAGTTTCTTAAACAAAGCACTACCAACTAAATTATTCGGTACATCTTTCTTTCAAATACTAAATAAATATAACAAGGCTGTCTGATCCTCTTCTAGATCAGTGAGCTTTGCGCCCACTGGGCTACCTCTGTGGGAAGTGCCTGGTATCGCTGCACACAGTTCTGAATCTGGCCGTATGTCAGCGCCAACTTGTGCATCTCAAACTCTTTCTGGACCTTGCCTACGCCCCCGCCAGCTCCACCGGAGAGCGGCATGATCAGCTCTGCGATGCGTAAGTGCTCGAAGGCCTTCAGAACAATGGACCGCTCCACGGCCTGCATTGTGGTGGACACTTTGGCAAACTTGGAAAAGCGCGCGTAGATGATCTCGAAGTTAAAGGGGTCGCGATCGTAAATCTCCGAATGGTGCTTAATGGCGATGATCAGGCACAGCTCCAGGACTGAGAGTCCGCAGAGCAGCTCTATCTTGTCGTCGCCCTCAAACTGCGATCCCACGGCAGCCATTTTTTCGGCTGTGATGTGGGGGGATTGCGGTCGGAGATGTGCCACCAGGCGGAAGAGGAAGTTCTTGAGATAGGCCTCGCTGATGTCGAAGTCATAGAGCGCCTGAAGGGTGCTTCTGGCCTGTTGAGTGGCCAACACTTTGCCTACCTGCTTGTTCCAGGTCTCGCGCACTCTGGGCGAGAAGCCATACTCCCCGGGATCAAAATGGTTGCGGGAGCAGTAAAGTGCCTCCGACTGGATTTTTTGTAGGTTCGAGAATCGCTCCGCCGCCAGCAAAAGTGAATTGCCGGTCGGAAGGGACAGTAGATCCTTGCACAGCTCAACGTACTCCTCGAAGCGCTGCGAGCTAGGGAAAAGAAAGACCTGCCGGTGCGAGAAGCGCGACTTGACCCGCTTCTCCAACAGCTCGATCACGTCGAGCCTGCAGGTAACGCCAAGCACACAGATGGGCGCCTGGGCTGACTGGGAAACGTCGAAGAGGTTGTAGAGCAGTGTCTGGTTGTGGTGGGCACAGAAGAGGTCGAATTCCTCGAGGATAAAGACCACACTCTTGGAATGCTTGCCGCCCGCCTTGAGACACTGCAGCAGGAAGGCGAGGTTCTCAGCGAACGACCCGAACACTTTGCCGTCCGCGGCGTTCTCCAGCTGCATCTGCACAGTGATGGACTTCAGGGCCACTCGGTCGTCCGTGTGCAGGTTACCGTCCAGGTGGACGACCAGAGTGTTTTCCCCGAACGATTTATTGAGCAGCACATCCGCCAGCACGGCGTTGATTAGCTACGGAATTTGAAAGTATGTATTACTGGATTGGTTTTCGGGCGAGGCCTGGACACATACAGTTGTCTTGCCGGATCCCCGCGGTCCAATGAGCAGCAAGGAGTTGGATTCCCCCATTTCAGCGGTGCGTTGCAGCAATAGGCGCACATTGGACCGCTCCTCTGCGTAGCCCCTCAAGGTGGTGTAGTCTCGCTGGAGGCGCTCCTTAAGGAAGCGCCTGATGCTGACCAGTTCCTTATCCGCCTCCGGCATTTGCGCTCTCGGTTTACAGTTCCTCAGTTTATGAGTTAGAAGGGACGCACAGCTTGGATTTCCGCAAGTAAATAAATCGCGCCAAAAAACGTAAACAATGCATTAGGGATGGAACAAAACTCGATATCGGTTCACTAGGGTACTGTGGTTTGGAACTTTAGTACAACTTAGTGTTGCCTTAAACCGGCTAAAAACCTTCGAGAGATTTATCCATGTCCCAAACCAACACGATCTAATTTCAACGGCTTTAGCACATTTCGAAATAGCAACTTTTCAGTTCAAAATCGACAACCACTTAAAAGAATAAATAATAAAAAATATAAATATATATAAAAAATCAAAAAATGTCTTTATTACGTTTGGATGCGTCCGACATAATCACTGGTAATTTGAGGCTTTGCTGGAATAGGTTTATTCGGAATATTATGTATTTAAGACGGTTCATTAAACTAGATATTAAATACTCAATGGACTTTCAGCGTTTGTTTAATATCGGATGGCAATTATAAATAGCAATGGACCGAGTAATTACAATTAATAACTTTTGCAATATTTCAGCTTTTGGCACTCTTTATTTTCGTTATTGTGACACAGACGTTTTTCAGAATGAGCGCATTGTGGATTTTCCTGTTGATTTCCGTCGGTCCGATGGCAGTAAGAATGGCATTTGCTTCCTGGAGACACTGTTCTATAGAATAATTGATATCCAAAGATCCGAGGACACGTCGAGTTCAACAATGTGATCTGCAACGTGCGCGACAAGATGTTCATGGGCTTTGAGTACTGCTACTTGAAGTCCGAAAATCGCACCTACAAGTACCTTTCGCTAAAGACCAGGATAAACCACCTGCCCCTCGACAACTGCCAGGTAAGAGGATAGAACTCTGTCGGTCTCACACCACCCGGCCATCTTCCAGACCAGGTTCCAGCTGAGGATGCGCGAGAACAGGCGCATCCCGTACAACTTTGACTTCAACGTGGACTCCTGCAAGTTCATGCGGGAGCGCAAGCACGTGATCGCCAACTGGGTCTACCAATCCTTCGCCGCCTACTCGAACATCAATCACACCTGTCCCTACGACGTAAGTGAGCGCTGCCATGTCCTGCCGCTTAACCTCCGCCTTTTCCTCCTCCACCGGCAGCACGACATCGTGGTGGACAAGCTTCCCGTGCAGCACATGAACAAGATGGTCCAGTCGATCATTCCCGATGGCAGATACATGATGAACAGCACCTGGGTGATTGCGGGCATTCCGCGCACCGATGTCCTCCTATACTTCACCAAAAGCTGAACAGAGGTTCTCCAATAAGTAAATTCCAAAAATGTCCACTCCCGTAACCAGAAATATTAAGGTCCTTTAAGGTCCAGTTTCAACATAGTAAGTATAAACGAATCTCATGGGGATGTACTTGTCACATTACTGAGATTTACAAAAATAAACGAAAATGAGCCTAATATGTAGGTATCGACTAGTCAAGTTCATAAAATATAGGACTCTCCACTGGGAGTTCTCAGTTTCTGCACAGGTGGCTGGCAGTGACCTGGATGCACTGCACCTGTCGCCCTGTCAAGTGGCTGCTAATGCGATTAGGGAGGACACCGAAAACGGGATTGGCACCGGGACAGGCAACTCAGCTGCCAATCAGGTGGGCCAGCCACAAACTTCACACATTTCGGACACATATATCCACTCCATAGCCAGAAGGACACGAAGTAAAGTAAACACAGCCCCACACCCTTGACAAGATGCCGGCGGACATAGTGACCACGGAGCAGCTGCGCTACCAGCTCGCCTTCAGCCATGCCATGGAAAGGACGACGAGGCACTGGCAGGAGACGTTCGCGTGGTACCCGAGGATGCAGTGCTGCCACTACCAGCGGATCGACCAGATCTACCTGGAGAGTCGCCAGCGGTACGGCGACGGCCACTTCCTCAAGTACGCCAGCCGGAGGCGCCTGGCCAAGAAGTTCGTGGTGACCGCCGAGGAGGTAGCGGACGTTCTGGAGGATCGGAAGACGCTGGAGAAGGGCGGCATTACGGGTCTCAAAGTTGCGGCCACCGAGAATGGGGAGTACGGCCGAATGAAGCCCTCTAAGCTGTACTTCTGCTAGGACCCCTCTGCACCCCGCTCTGCAATCCTCTCCAGAACCACTCACAATTAAACTATCATTCCCTGCTGACAATGCAAATCTCAATGGCCGTCACTCATTACGCGATTTTAGCATGACCGTGCGCATAATTAACAAGGTGAAAACGTCAGTCCCACCTGCAACTGGTTGGCCCGCCCCGCCCCGCGTCGCCGCCGTAGCGAGTGCCCACTGTACCTTCTCCTACTGGGGCGCGGTTGAAAAGTTCGCACAGGTAATTAAGTGATCGCGTCTGTCCACTCGATGAGATGACTCGCCTCGTTTGTTCGCGATCTCGGAAACTGCTTTATGGCGCCCATAAACTGGGAAATATGCCGTGCACCCATTTACGCTGGCACTCACAGTGCAGTCCACTGCATTAATTACAGATACCACGGATACGGATTTCGTTCAGGACAGTCGCTTCGCTTTGGTCGATAGCAGCACCTCTTGTGTTGATGAATTTACAATTGTGGAGTTTAATGCGGGATTCTCAACGCGGGGATATAGCTATTTTGGGGAACGGCGCACTACTAGTTACTTGATAAATGTGTCCATCGGGCCAGCTGCTCCTCCTGCGTTTGCAGACGTAAGCCCAGGTGTCGTGGGCCAGCTTCGAGCAGTATGATTTAAAAGTTCCATATGCAAATTACCCTCAAAGTTTCCGGCGAGCCCATTCGTCCATCGGAGTGCGTGGTAGATGGAAATGCAAGCGGCAAGCGGCAAGTGGCAAGCGGCAAGTGGCAAGTGGAAATGTGAAATGGGGAAAATAGGAAATGCAAATGCCCATGCAAGTGTGCAAATTACACAAAGGACGCCAACTTTGGGCCAACTTGCGAACTGGGCCAGCGACTCATTAGACACATGACAGCATTCACAGAGCTGGTGGGTGGTGGTCACCACCGGCGCAAAGTGGCGGAGCTGGAGCGGCAGGTGGGCAGCGGCAAGTGCGTGTGAAAAATCAGCCAGCAGCGGCCCACAAAATCGCCGAGCGCGCAATTAAACGGTAGCGGATAATTGCTATCGAAAGCCATAATGATGGCCGGATCAGTACTTACCCCGAGCCCAGTATAGAGTTCCATATCTTGATGCGGCTCTCGAACGGAGAGCTTTGTGCGCCTTTCTCGGCTCTCATTGTTCCCCCGATTTTCCCATCACCGCAGCGCACCGCATCGCATCGCATCGATGCGAACTTTTCGAGACCATCAGCTCTTTTCTGTTGACTCATACCCAGGCCGTTCCATCGGAGGCCTCTGTTTTTGGCGGTGCTCAAGACTCAGGAGTGGTGACAGTCGAAAAAGCAGGCCAGAACCAGAGTGGCTGCGCTGCAGGGCTCAAAACAAATAAACACTGAGACACCTACTTGCCGTACTTTGCACCCGGAGTGGGTGTGCAGAGAGGTCAGGGGTCAACCCCTTTCCGGGCAGGGTAAACAACTTTGCGGATTTCACGCCAGGGCTCAGACAGCATTGCTGATCCTATTAGTGCTCGCCAGGGGCCTCGATTGACTGACTGGCGCCATGTCTCAGGTCAGGACTTCTGCCTTCTGCCTTAGTGCCAGGGCATCGCAGCCAGGACCAAGTCCAGCCGGGATTAGGGCCTCGGAGGGACTTAATCCAGTTTTGCAGCGATCTCGCTGCTAATTGCAGGTAGACGGGCGGGGATCTGCTTCGCTCTGGCACTGGCACAAACGCAGGAAAAGCCAAATAAAATAATAAAGAACCACATACTAAGCCGAAACATTAAATAAATAAAAGTCAGGCAGTCAGGCAGTCAGTCAGGCAGCTCATAAACGCTCGGCAGCTGACGCCGGTCCCAACTTCAAATTAAAACGCCATTGGCGCTTTGGCTTGGCTTTGGCTTTGGCACGCATAGATAGGATTGAGACCTGGACTTGGATTCGGATTCGGACCTGGATTTCAACTGCGACTGCGACTGCGACTGCGCCGACCTGGGTCTGGGTCGCCCATCAAGTCGCTTTGGTTCGCCGCCGCGCCTGCCCATAAGCCAATTTGCCAATTTCATAAACCCGGTTTGATTTGCCGCCAAATCGCAGAAGACAAAACGAACCGCAAGACAAAACCCGCTCGCTTCAGTCCGACTCTGAAAAATAAAACCCCAAAAACGCCCCCAGGCCGGGCAGACGAATTCCGACTTCCATTTGGGATCTTTGGCTCGGTGGAAAGCAGCAACAAATCGCAAGGTGGCCTAGACCTGCGAAGGCATCCACCAAAGCATCTCCCTCAAGGGCTCACTGCTAGCCAGGGAAAGGGACGACGGGGGTCTATGAAGGGAGGCAATTACAATCATTTAAATTATTGTAATGCTTGCGAAGTGTCTCCAAGACATGCGCCTTCATCCTTGGGGCAGCCCCCCTTGCTGCTCGCCAAGCGAGTAGGTTCTGGCTGGCTACGCCACTGGCCAAATTACACTTATGGCCATAATTCAATCAGCGCATTATCAATCACCGCGGCTACTTGTCTTGGCTAGTGAGTCAAGTCAATCGGCCATCGGCTAGCTGCGTCTCCGTCGCACTCGGCCGATGGCCGTATGGGCATCCCGCTCGCACTGCGGTGTGAAACACGTTTGAAAGTCATTAACTTAAATGATTCACTTTCTGAGCCATAAATTTCGCCACTAACTGGCGAGGAGCCGCGCCAGCCAGTATGCGAAAAAACGTCGACTGAAATGTCTTAAAAAATTGCTAAATAATCGCCTTAAATGAGTCTATAAAAACGAGCACCCCGAGCGGCGACTAGAGCTCAATCGGCGATCCCGCGGACCCAATGGCCAAAACCCACAAGTCCGCAGACAGAAGTGGCTCAAAAGTGTTTTCAAAGCCCAAAGTGAATTTTCATTGCCAGCGGAAGTCGTAAATCAATTTTTTCCCCGCCAGAGACAGAAAAATGGGGAAAATGCTCAAGAGCAGTCTCTCAGCCGAAATATTGGGTTTGGGCCTAGAAATCTGAAATCGGGGACCGCGAGGGAAAGGAGGCGCCCATTCTGGGAGAGCATCCGCAGCGAGAAATCTTGTTGTTTGCTGCTGCTCCGACCAATTTCGGCTAAGACGACAGCCATAATGATAGGGGCCACTTTTGCCGCCGCCGCCGCCGCCGCAGCCACGCACGCTATATGGCCAAGATCCCAGTGAAGGGGCAGGGGCAGGGGCAGGGGCAGGGCCGACGAAACGGAAGGGGGCAACTTGTCAGACACTGTGTTTGTGTTCCATCTACGTTTCCGTTTCAATGTTTTCAGACGCCATCATGACATTGTCAGAGGCAGCAGAAGCCAAGACGACATCTCACGCAGCCTTAGAATTCCCAAGGTGGTGGAGTGGCTGCCGTGGTACAGTGTCCCATTTCCGCACAAAAACCGAGTTTCCACTATCTAGAATGCACATACCATCTATACCCAATATCGCCGTGCGGCTTTAGGTGATGAAAGTACTCGGAATACCCGCAAATGGACATGTGGAGAGGGGAGATGGGAGCCAACGCCTTCGTCTGCGCAAAACGGGGCAGGACGGACAAAGAGTCCCAAGCCCATGCCTGTGCCAATGGGATTATCTATGAGCTGTGAAATCCTTTTAGGCGGAAACTATGGAACCCACACACAGGCACAAAGCCAGCACAATGCAACAAGTGTTGCGGCAGATTGAGCAACAAAAGGCTCATAATTATGGAAGCCACACAATGCGACACATTCGAGAGCGAGGATGCAGGGGATAGCCGGTCCTTCGTTATGGTCTATGGTTTGGTGCTGGGTAGTAGGGCTGCTGGCCAGGCTAATGAGTGCTCGCAAACAAACCATAAATGCCGATTTCGTGCGGTCCAGCCTCGGCGGCAACTTCTTTTAATTCCACCTGACACTTGGCCAAGATCTAGGATCGCGGATGCATCGGCTCGGCCCCACTCCTCTCGAATGGAATTTATGCCCGACAATATTTGGGAAATTAAATCATTCCGCGGACAGTTTTATGGCGCGGGCGTGACGGGAGGCGGGTTCGTGCTGGAAGGGGAAGGGGATGGCTGGCTATCTATGACCTCCGCCCCCGCGAGCCCACGAGTGGGAAAATTGGAAAAATGTCAATTATGCGCAATTTTGCTTAAGCAATTGGCATTTGTTGCTGCGCTGTTGTTTGTTGTGATTGCACGCATACTTGGGCAAATAAATTGACAAATAGGATTTGCGTTTCTCCCCGATTTTTTCTTTTTTTTTTTTTTTTTTCTGCTGGCCATTTTGAATTAATAAATTGCCGCCAATTTGCCGCTAGCCTTGCCAGCGTGGAAAAGTCGGCGGAAATCGAAAAGCAAAAATCTGGAAAATATCTAAAAACATCCAACTGCGTTGCTTGATATTCTTCGAGCTGCTAGCCCAGAAATCGGAGCTGCTGCCATGTTATCATTTGATTGGGCTGCCAGTAATTAGCTTAATTGCCCTTGCTTAATAATTCGCACTGAGGCCTGCCGATTGCATAAGCCCATGCCAACTGATTGGCTCTGATCTTGCTGTGAGCTGAATTAATTACGCATCCGATGGATCCGGACTCGAACTCGAACTCGTTTCGCCACTGACTCGAACTGCGGAAGCCTCCCAGTTGAGTCATGGCAAATATGAGGCTGACCTTAGAACCTGTCATTTTTAGCTAGCACCCTAGATCGGTGCTTTTAGAAAATGTAGCATATATCGATCCATCGCTCGATTTGGTAAAACTGTAGCCAGTAAACATAGATACGAGTCTGGCTTCCACTCGACTGCAACAGCTTAAAGACCAATCGCATCCACTCAGCACTCAGCACTCACCACTCACTCCCAGCCATCCGTGCAACCCATTGATGAGTGACCTCGACCGGGCCAAATCAGATCAAACCCAAACCGGGCCAAAAGCCTTTATCGCGAGCGCGCAATCGCAACGGAAGTTGCGTTCAATTTATGGGTGAAATTATCCACTGGCCGGGAGTTGCGGCCATAGGCCATCGGCCATCGGCCATCGGCCATCGGCCATCGGCTCGTGAAGATTTGCTGAGCTGTGGAAATAAATGGAGATCGGAGATCGGAGATACCCGGCCGCGGTCGTCATTGGTTGGCATCAGTGGCCGGCTGGGACAATCGAGTTAGAAGAGCAGGACTCATGAATGGGCCTGGCCAGACTCGAAGTGAAGTCGCTCCAAGACGGGAGCATGAGATCAGCATGTTCCAGTCCCCGGCCGGGCAACCACTGAACCCATTTTCTCACCTGTTAAGGTTGTAAAGACTCGAAAACAACAATTTATCGCTGTCGAGATCGTCGCCTGCCGCTCCTCGAGAGGTGAAGCCTCTTCGATTGACTCGGCCCATGGGGAACTCCATTGCCATCGCCATCGCCATCGCCATCGCCATCTCCATCCCCATCTCCATCTCATCTCCTCATCGGACTTCGATTGCATTGGGTTTGGGCAGCGTCATACGATTTAATTGCTTCGATTGTGTCAGCAGTTTTAGGTGGTTGGTTGTGGCCAAGAGCGGACACATGTATCCATGTACACGTCTTCATCTCGCTGCGGAAGGGGCGTTTTGTGCCAGCCAGCCTGCTCATGGGCGCTCAATAATTTGATGATCATAATCAATGCCCCTTGACTGACATTCGCTGCCGCTGCCGCTGCCGCTGCCGCTTCCCGCCCAGCTTTGCTTTCTTTTCGGCACTTCCAAACCAAGCCAACAAAAGGCGCACAAACTTGTTGAAAGCCGTTTGATCCTTTTGACGAGGCCAGAAGGGGCGCTGCCCCATTGATCCTCCGGCGCAGATGATTTGCCCAAAAGTCAAGTGTTTGTGCAGGCGCTTGAAAGGGGCCGCCAGTCCAGGCTGCTTGTCCAGGATCAGGATAACAAGGCCGCGGAGCAGAGCGTGGGAGTGCCTGGGCAAAGTTCCCGAGCCATCCCATCCAGTCATCAATTTCTGGCGATGAGTAAGGAAGTCTGTTTTGTCTCTGTTTCGGCGACGTTCTGTTTTAGTTCTGTGATTTCTATTCCGAAGCTGCTTCTCCAACTTTAATGCCCGAATCGCATGCGTAGGTTTTCTATGACGATTAAAACCCTCATATGTCAACTCGGCCCATTCATCATCATCTGCCAGCCGGGTACGTACTACGTACCACGTAGACAGAGGTAGCAAACAGTCGCCAGACACTTGGCTGATGAGCTCAAATCTCATCAAGAAGTGTCTGGCTGGCGGTTCGCAAGCATATATCTCTGTCTTACTTGATTTTGGGGAACTTACAGCACCTACTTCAGCCCAGCTCTGCCTGGCATGATGACTTAATTCCCGACCCGGCAGCACTGCAAGAAACTGCGGGTCAGCTTCATTTGCGCTCCGCGCCAGCCGCCTCTGTGTGGGCACCCCGTTTCTCGCAGTGCTGCCGAGCACCTTTAACCCAACGGATCAGGTGCCTCTGCCGTTGGCTGCGATGGAGCCGGAGCCGCAGCCGCAGCCGAAGCTGGAGCCGGAGCCGGAGCCAGTCGACCACTTGAGCGTCAGCGCAGTGACACACGCAAGTGCTTGGCCTGTCGCTGGAGCGCGATCCTCCTCCCCGGAGAGACCTGCGGAACCGAGGAACCCTCGTCATGATGCAGCGCTTTTTGGGAATGGAGTTGGCAGCAGTCAGTGAAGCTGTGCCTGCTTGGGCGCTGCCGTTGACTGCGAGTATTTGCTGTAATCATTGTGGTAGCGCCTGTGCATCGGATGATAAATCTATCTTTTATTAGCATTTCAAACACTCCGATGAGCTGCACGTGTTGCGCTGCCCTGAGTGAGTTGTTTTGGCCAGCCTAATCCCAATTAAAACCGCATTTTTCATCGATCCGATGGGGATTCAAGTGAAATCGTTAATGAGCGCATACATTTTGCTCCCAGCCCGTCCGGAATTAAAAAGATCAAGACCCGGGGCAGGAGCACGAGTCCCTGGCGCGGGGGGCAGGCGGAGCCCGTTTCCTGGGTGTCGTTTATAAATCGCGTGCTGCACTGGAGGTCTTCAAAACGCTTACGAGTTGCAGCCCCGGGGCTCGGGGCACCGCCACAGCCCAGGTCCACGTCGCAGCCTCATCACCAGCATCCGACTCCGATGGGGACCAGTCCCCATTTATTTGGCCTGGGTGTTGACCAGTCTCAGACTGCGCCCGGGGTCATCTGGCAGCTCCTGTCCTCCCTTCCAGGGAGAGTAAGAGAGAGGGAGATCGACCTGGGCTAATGATTGCCAGGGCAGCCTGCTTTTCGTACGCTTCAGCTGGCCAAGTTCCGAGGAGGTACGAGTATTTGGCCAAAACAAGATTGATTTCCTGAAATCGAAACCTTGAGACGAGCTCCAGAGCCAGAGACACGCAAGGGGCCCAGATCGCAGTGATAATGATGTCGAGAGCCAGTTTTTCTCGCTCTTCTTGCGAGCTCGGATTGGGGTTGTAGCCATATCATGGCGAGGTCCGAGGTCCGCGGTCCGAGGTCCGCGTCCCCTTCAGCGAAATGCAAAAACAAATTGTTTGTGGGTCAGCGTGGCGCGGGGCAGGGCTAACAAGAGCAGGAGGATAGGGGTGGTGATGAGGATGAGGATGAAGATGAGCGGGCCATGGGGCGTTCCGTTGTTTCAAGGAATTCAAGGGAAACAGAAACAGAAAAGGATGGGGATGAGGATGAGGATGAGGAGCCTGCCCGGAGGCGGGGAACGACCTCGTCTGGGGCTGCTTCGCTGTCTCTGGACTCCAGCTCCATCTTGGTCCTCAGTAGACAACACACGGAAGCCTAATGCTGGCCATGTGATTTGTGATTTGTGATTTGCGATTTTTGCTTTTGGGCCTCGATCTGTTTCCCTGGAAAACGCGCCATTTCTGGCCTAAGTTCTGGCAATGACAAAGAGCTGACCGCTGACTGGAGCAGCAGGAGCCACATGCGGCAGCAGCAGCAGCATGCTAATTTATGAAGTAGCAACTTGCAGCGACATGGATGCAGTAATTATAGCTTGGCAACTTGTTGCCAGCCTGGCCCAACTGCATGAATGGAGGAAAGCCATTCCAGTTTGCTGTTTTCCATGCTAAACAGAAGCTGTTCTACTGCAGCAGCAGTGGCGGCGTCAGGTGAACGCGGACGTGGACGTGGATGGGGATGGGGATGTGGCTGGGGATGTTGTACGTGAACGCGCCCACTCGGTTAGCCCGATGGGCTGCAAAGAGCGCAGCAAACAGCTAAGACAAAAGTAGGGGTCCAGCCGAAGTTGTGCTACTCTAGCCAAATCAATTGAGAAACGTATTCTCTGGGATTGAAAAATCTCAATACAGATTGCAACCAAACTTAAGTAGCTAAGTTATCTAGTAACATCGATTATATTTCGCAAGCTGACATAGAAAGGCATATACCCCTGTTTCAGGGTATCAAAATAACTGGCTTAAAAAAGCTAAGAAAAAGGTCCTACCCCGTGGCGTTTTGGCTTTTGATGGGTTGGCTCTGCTGACTGCTCGGCAGCGGCAACAGCAACATGCGGCATGCGGCATGCAGCAACGGCAACATGGGGCAGCAGCAACATAGTTTACACACCTACCGAGCCGCAGTCGCAGTGAAGTCGGAGTAGAAGTCGGGGGCTGGGCTCCGTCTGCCGAACCCTCTGGCCAGCAACATGCACTTAACTGGTAGCCACAATGCACTTTATAATACCCGGGAACATGGCTCTCATCTCTGGCGCGGAGTGGGTATCTGCCCCTCCTCGCAGTTGATAGATGCGGCTGCCTCGGACTCCCGGAGCGATCTACCAGGGGGCGTTGCTGCTGTGCTGCAGTGCAACATTGGAGGACAGAGGCGCAGTAGAAGTAGCAGAGTAGCAGAGTGGCAGCGTAGCAGAAGCCGCACCGTTAGATGGCTTGGCTAGTGAGCTTGGGCCTCATTTGCATCGGGCCATAAACTCGGTGGCCCAGTTCTCTGCGCGCAAACCCGAATCCGAATCTGCATCCGACTGCGAGTGCGATTGCGATTGCGAATGCGAATCCAATTGAGACGAACTTTGAGCCGGCGCTAGGCAAAGGCCTTGGATTAGCTAAAGCCGTTCCGTTGCGACCCGCCTAATCCTTCCTTCCTGCAGGGCAGGGCCTTCCTCATTAGCCACCACCACCCACCCAGGTAGGAGTAAGGGTAAGGGTAAGGGACGGGTCAGGGGTTTCGGGGTTGAGGGCTCGGAAGGTGTTTTCGCCGTGTACCAAAATATAATTAGCGAGCCGGGCAAATCTCTTTTTAATGCCGGCCAGTCAGCGGGGGTGTTCCGATTGAAATTGGAGCGTAGCCGAAGGAAGTGTGAAAAGTCGATGCAGAATTTCCGAAAACTGAGCCCAGCACGCTGGAGCTGAGGCAGACGAGGCCGGGAATTAAAAGCGCAGCCGCCTCTCATCATCATCAGCATCATCCTTAGCAACGTCCGCAAAACACTCACGCACACAGGGAATTAAGTTGAGTTCTGGGTTCTGGTTCTGGATTCTGGATTCTGCATTTTGGTCCCAGTTGTGAGCTCTAAGTTCCCAGTTCCCAGTTCCCAGTTCGGAGACATGAAAGACGCCGACCGGTGCCGAGGATTCTCGATGTGGCGCCGGCCAGGGAGTATAAATCATATCACTCACACACAAAGGACGGGGAAGGGGTAAGCTGGCACACAGTCCGGCGACCGCAGCTTGGTTAATTAATTGTGCTGCTCCGGAATAGACACCTTTTCAGGCCTCGAATTTTCCTTTCCAGCCCCGAAAGTCACAGCAAACTTTGCATTTTTCGGAGGAGGGACCAAATTCAACAACATATTTGATCAATTTTCGAGAGCCTACGATTCATAGGCTATTGCTTTAATCCATGTGGCTTCTCCTGCTGCTGCTGAGTCTGCCGATGGAAACCCGCGAGGGAGAGGAGTGCGGAACTGGACTAACTCCGGGACGCCAGCAGTGCTACCTCCACGAGGAGATCTTCCTGTCGCACCACCCTTTGCAGAGTGTTACCGCCAAGAGGCTCCAGCTTACCTGGTGGTGCGCGCTCTCAGAAAGCCTCTTCCTGCTCCTGCTGGTGAAGCTGCTCCAGATGTAGATGGGCCAAGCCCTCCCGTAATTGCCGCATTGCCGCTGATGGGAGCGGGCAGGTGGAGGCGACAAATGTCACACATGCTGCTCGTAAATCACATCGGAAACGGTTTTTCCCCGTTGCTCTTGCTGCACATGATAATTTGGCCAGCTTGGCTTGGTGGAGGTCTGGCCTATGTGCTTCTAATTAAATTGTTCAAAATGTTTTCCAGCGCGCTTCGGGCCTGGCGCTGGAAAATCGCTGACAAATGCTTCCATCAAAACACAGAAAAAGTTTCGTTTTGTTTTGTCAATGTCCAGGCCACATAGCACCCAGAGGTGGACGAGCACAGTGGGCTGAAGTCTGCGGAAATGGGGTCAAATGAAAATGTGACTTTACATGTTTTGCGAACACTTATAAATGTATATTTCACAAGAGATGCTTGAGAAAGTAAATCAATTGCAGGCCAAATGATATTCTAGGTAAGCTTATATACAATTTAGTAGTTCAGTGCTCTTGCCATATTATGATGAACATAACTTTGCACTGGAAGAGCCGACTTTTCCATATGAATACAACGGAAACCAAACTACGGCTACGAGATAATTTAAAGCGAATTAAAAGCGCAACCGTTTGAAACCTCCCGAACCCAAACAAACCGAACCAAAGGCATCCAATTGAAAATAGCAACAAGTTAATTTGGACAACCCCTCCCCCTCCCCCTCCCGCACCGCCTTTCGCTCCTTTTGGTAAGTCATTAGAAAAAATGTCGAGTCGCGCAATTTGAATATTTCGATGGCAATGTATGCGACTCCGACTCCGACTCCGTCGGTTAATTTAAGGTGATAATTGCTTTTTAATGTGACACAACTAAATTTTTCCCATTTACATACTGCGCCCCCGGTGCTGTTGTTGTTGTACTGCTTGTTGTGCCGGAAGTTTTTCGGGCCTGCGCATGTGCAGCCAAGAGGTCAAAGGGAAGGAGGCGGGGCTGGAGGTGCGGGGTCAGACACTTGTTACGTCGCTGGAATGGCAACAACAACAACAGCGACAGCAACGACAACTGCCGACGCCAGTACAATAATAAAGTGTCAACAATTATTTTCAAATTTCCAAACATTTCATTTCATTTTGGTTCGGTGCTAAGCTATTTGATGTTTTTGGGGTTTTGGTTGGTGGCTGTTTGTGTCTGTTCCTTTCGAGTGACGCTGCTTAAAAGGTTTCCAAAGTGTGAAATTGGGATTGCCGCATCCTCTTCGTAGTTGAGGGGATTTCGGGGGGATTTTGAGGAGCCAAATGTTGAAACTTCCAGTAATGGGTTCAGCGATTCGAGTTAGATAAGTTATCTAATACCCATGCACTCAGTCATGTAAGAAAACAAGATATAATGCTATAGTCGAGTTCCTACACTGTCCAGATCGACTGGGCTATTGATCCTGATCAAGAATATATATACTTTATATGGTCGGAAACGTTCACTTCATTCTTAACAACGAATGTTACTCTACGAGTAACGAGTATAATTACAAAAAAATTAAATTGAAAAAGTTTTCCAAATTTAAATGCAAACTTTTAGAGAATTGCGCCAGAAACATTTAGAGGTATGCCACTTAAAAATCCGATTAAAATAAGTTGAGTTATGAAGTTTAGAACTTCAGCCTTGAGACATTTTTATGATTCTGCAACATCTTCACATCAAAAAAATGACTAAAATATTAAAAAAAAATATATTTCTAAATTTGAATGCAGATTTTTAGAGAATTGCACCAGAAACATTTAAAGGTATGCCACTTGAAAATCCGATTAAAATAAGTTGAGTTATGAAGTTTAGAACTTCAGCCTTGAGGCATTTTTATGCTTCTGCAACATCTTCACATCAAAAAAATGACTAAAATATTAACAAAAAATATATTTCTAAATTTGAATGCAGATTTTTAGAGAATTGCACCAGAAACATTTAAAGGTATGCCACTTGAAAATCCGATTAAAATAAGTTGAGTTATGAAGTTTAGAACTTCAGCCTTGAGGCATTTTTATGCTTCTGCAACATCTTCACATCAAAAAAATGACTAAAATATTAAAAAAAAATATATTTCTAAATTTGAATGCAGATTTTTAGAGAATTGCACCAGAAACATTTAAAGGTATGCCACTTGAAAATCCGATTAAAATAAGTTGAGTTATGAAGTTTAGAACTTCAGCCTTGAGGCATTTTTATGCTTCTGCAACATCTTCACATAAAAAAAATGACTAAAATATTAAAAAAAAATATATTTCTAAATTTGAATGCAGATTTTTAGAGAATTGCACCAGAAACATTTAAAGGTGTGCCACTTGAAAATCCGATTAAAATAAGTTGAGTTATGAAGTTTAGAACTTCAGCCTTGAGACATTTTTATGATTCTGCAACATCTACACATCAAAAAAATGACTAAAATATTAAAAAAAAATATATTTCTAAATTTGAATGCAGATTTTTAGAGAATTGCACCAGAAACATTTAAAGGTATGCCACTTGAAAATCCGATTAAAATAAGTTGAGTTATGAAGTTTAGAACTTCAGCCTTGAGACATTTTTATGATTCTGCAACATCTTCACATCAAAAAAATGACTAAAATATTAAAAAAAAATATATTTCTAAATTTGAATGCAGATTTTTAGAGAATTGCACCAGAAACATTTAAAGGTATGTCACTTGAAAATCCGATTAAAATAAGTTGAGTTATGGAGTTTAGAACTTCAGCCTTGGGACGTTTTTTTGATTCTGCAATATCATCACATCAAAAAAATGACTAAAATATCAAAAAAAAATATATTTCTAAATTTGAATGCAGATTTTTAGAGAATTGCACCAGAAACATTTAAAGGTATGCCACTTGAAAATCCGATTAAAATAAGTTGAGTTATGAAGTTTAGAACTTCAGCCTTGAGACATTTTTATGATTCTGCAACATCTTCACATCAAAGAAATTACAAAAAAATTGAAAATAAATAAATTTTTAAATTTGAATGCAGTTTTTTAGAGAATTGCGCCAGAAACATTTAGAGGTATGCCACTTCAAAATCCGATTAAAATAAGCTGAGTTATGAAGTTTAGAACTTCAGCCTTGAGACATTTTTTTGATTCTGCAACATCTTCACATCAAAAAAATGACTAAAATATTAAAAAAAAAATTATTTCTAAATTTGAATGCAGATGTTTAGAGAATTGCACCAGAATCATTTAGAGGTATGCCACTTCAAAATCCGATTAATATAAGTTGAGTTATGGGGTTAAGAACTTCAGCCTTGGGACATTTCTTAATTTTTTTACATTTCTACAACACCAGATAACTCGTTACTTAGCTAGTGGAAGTGCGAACGGTAAATTTCATAATTTTCTGTTCAAAATTGTTCAATAATGTGGTCGTGGCAGTTCTGGGCCATCTAGCATGCTTGATCTCAACAGTCTAGCTTTTGTAGTTCCTGAGACCGAGGCGTTCATACGGACATGGCCAGTTCGATTTGGCTATTGATCCTGATTAAGAATATATATACTTTATATGGTCGGAAACGCATCCTTCTCCCTAATACATGCTTTTCAACGAATCTAGTTTACCCTTTTACTCTACGAGTCACGGGTATATTTAAATACGTATCAAAAAGTTACACCACGAAATACGTGATAATATTCGAAAAGTGTTGTGGTAAGAATTCCTTTTATTTTTTACAATTGTGAAATTTTGTTTTAAATATAATCATAATGATAAAATATAATCATGATAATAAAAAGGAGCATCAAAACGAATTACGCGAATTAATTTTCTTAAGATGACTTGCGATCAGGTTTCTTGCTTAAGTCTTTTGTTTCAATATGGGCTTTCATTCATAAATCAAAACTACTTTGTTGAATAGCTCAATTTTATTATCCGTAGAACAGAGAACCCATTAGCATTCCAAAGAGTAAAAACGGAATCGAAATGCTTCGCCAATGCAGCCAACCCGTTTCCACAACAGACACTTTCCGGCCATTGTGATTCGGTGGCTAATTGGCGCACTTGGCATCTGTAGCCCAGTCCCGGGAGGAACCAAGCCCACACGAGTCGCGCGTGATACGCCGGGATGAAAGCCACAAATCCTAGGATCCAATGAATACATCAACACTGTTCGAAGCCATCCGTTGGCCTGGAAATTTATTGGCCCGGCCAGTGTCGGCGCTGCCAATTAACGCCAGGATGAGAGCCAACCGTCGAGCGTGGAGCCGCAGCCACCAGCGTTGATCTTTGAAGGCAGCCGCCTGGAAGTGGCTCGAGGAGGGCAATGAAGTCGTTGGCTCTGCTGGAGTCGTAAACCCTGATTTATTTCGAATTGAATGTCAATACACACAGGCCCAGTTGGCTCCAGTGGGTCCACGATCGCGTCCGCAGCTCAGACCTCTGGCGAACCGCAGGCGGTCCTGACCCAATTTGGCGCCTGCTGGGGCGCTTTCATTAGCCTCCTCGTACATCATAAACAGATTCATAAACTGGCCCCCTCCACCGCACTGCACTTCGCAGGGCTCCATGGTTTACGGCGTTGAAAGGCGCATCGAATGCTCCGCGCTCCTTCTATTTTGCCCCGTTTTCAAAGTGAGGTCAGCCTGCAGTTTGATTTTCGCTAGCCGGGAACCCAAACCTCACCCCCATCGCATACCATCCCATCCCATCCCAACTCGACTCGACTTGACTCATTAAAATGTAATTTGAGCGCCTTGCCTCGCATTTCATTTGGCCGTTTGGCTGCAGCGGCGACGGTCAAGTGAGCAGGCCATCAAATGTGGTTTGGAGTCGCAGCGAAGTCGGAGTCGGAGCGGAGTCCGAGCCAGTTTCCATTTCATTGAATTGGCCAACTGCTCGACAGCAACCCCCAGAAGCTAGCCCAGGTCGCCATCTCTTTCTGGCCCGAGTCGGATTGATTTATGCCCTTTCGCTCGCACAAGGGTTCGCGTTCGCCTTCACGTTCACGTTCACGTTCACTCGTCCCGTCATTTGTGGCACATTATTATTTAAATGATAAATTGTATTCGGCCGGGAACTTTGGTCGCGGCCTGGAGTTTCGTGGGTGTTTCCGTGCGCTTTCCCCTTCGATTCCTTCCCCGACTTTCAGTTACTTTATGCCACAGTAGTGGGCGTTCTGGCTGTTCGTTTCGAGTTTTCCGTTGATTTCCTTTGAGCGGCTGTTCTTGGGTTTTCTTGGCCGAAAATTAATCGTCTCATTTGTCCAAATGCCCGCTCTTGGCTTTAATTTGGGAATTAATGTTGTTTGGTAATAAAATCGATTTGGCTTCCGTATTTGCCCGCTTCTGGAAGTGATTTCTCGACCAAGTGAGATATCAGAATGGGGAAAGCTTAAAGGCTTTCCTCTCTTCCTGTCCATGTATGGCCTTTTTGGCCATTATGTTAATCTCTGCCATAAGGACGGACGGAAGGCCGAAATGGAA